ACGTAACTTCTGGTCTTTCGCCGAGCCGGTCCCGAAATTTCTCCGAATAAATCCGTTTAAACGCCATAAAGAGAGGGATCACGGCAAAGGGAGCGGAATTAAAGAGAGTTTTTCTTTTATTTGTGTTCGTCGCGACATATATTCACAACAACTTATATATTTTTCCTGCGCCTTATGGAAATATAAAAGGGACCTTTGACGTTAAACCTCGTGCTGATAATAAGGCGCATCCTCTTTTGGAAAATGCCGTGATCCCAGAAAAATAAATACTTATATAAAGAGTGATTTAGTATTTAGTATTAGATATTAGTATTAGTATATAATATCAATTTCAACCTTTTCCAGTTCCCTATACCAACGCATTTTTGTGCACTAATCCCTCACCTATCCATACAAAACAGATTTCTGGGATTTAAATTTCCGTGGAAGGAACTCCAGATTCGCCAGACCAAGAATTCGCGGAGCGCAATTCGGTTTATTGCTCATCCAAACACCGATGCACGGTAATTCACTTCGTCTCCCCCGCGGCCCGGCTCAAGCCGGATCCGCTCTCAGGCTGCAAACGTCGCATTCGCCGAGAGACGACTCGACTCCGGAGCCGGGCCTCCGGACTCCGGGGCTCAGTCAATCACCGCAATCACCGGACCGCGGCCGGCCCGATTATTGTTTCGCCGGTGTAGACATATAAATGCAATATTATAAGCGGCAGCGGCGCCGGCGGGCCTCCGCCTCCAATGCCAACTAATCCGCAATCGGTTGACTCCAGCAATTAAATTTGTTTGCGTAATTGACTAGTATATGGCGGATTTAACGTAAGCCCCCGCTATTTGCCGAGCCACCCGGGAAACGCACTGCCGAGATGCGGTGATTGTTTGCCGATTCGCGCAAATTAAATTGCTCGACGTACCGTTGAACAATCCGCCAACGAATTCTAATGTTTGTTCTTTCGATCGGTAAACATATTTCATCACAATTATTCACCGTGTAAATAAGTTATAACAATGTATAATAGTCGGAGTATTGTGATAGATGCGCCTGAATTTAGGCAACCTTTCATAAACTGACGTCATTTAACTGGTATACAATTTTTTCCAGAATAGAGAGCAGAAGAGAGCAGAAGAGAGCAAAAGAGAGAGCAGAAGATAGCAGAAGAGAGCAGAAGAGAGCAGAAGAGAGCAGAAGAGAGCAGAAGAGAGCAGAAGAGAGCAGAAGAGAGCAGAAGAGAGCAGAAGAGAGCAGAAGAGAACAGAAGAGAGCAGAAGAGAGCAGAAGAGAGCAGAAGAGAGCAGAAGAGAGCAGAAGAGAGCAGAAGAGAGCAAAAGAGAGAGCAGAAGATAGCAGAAGAGAGCAGAAGAGAACAGAAGAGAGCAGAAGAGAGCAGAAGAGAGCAGAAGAGAGCAGAAGAGAGCAGAAGAGAGCAGAAGAGAGCAGAAGAGAGCAGAAGAGAGCAGAAGAGAGCAGAAGAGAGCAGAAGAGAGCAAAAGAGAGAGCAGAAGATAGCAGAAGAGAGCAGAAGAGAGCAGAAGAGAGCAAAAGAGAGAGCAGAAGATAGCAGAAGAGAGCAGAAGAGAACAGAAGAGAGCAGAAGAGAGCAGAAGAGAGCAGAAGAGAGCAGAAGAGAGCAGAAGAGAGCAGAAGAGAGCAGAAGAGAGCAGAAGAGAGCAGAAGAGAGCAGAAGAGAGCAGAAGAGAGCAGAAGAGAGCAGAAGAGAGCAGAAGAGAGCAGAAGAGAGCAGAAGAGAGCAGAAGAGAGCAGAAGAGAGCAGAAGAGAGCAGAAGAGAGCAGAAGAGAGCAGAAGAGAGCAGAAGAGAGCAGAAGAGAGCAGAAGAGAGCAGAAGAGAGCAGAAGAGAGCAGAAGAGAGCAGAAGAGAGCAGAAGAGAGCAGAAGAGAGCAGAAGAGAGCAGAAGAGAGCAGAAGAGAGCAGAAGAGAGCAGAAGAGAGCAGAAGAGAGCAGAAGAGAGCAGAAGAGAGCAGAAGAGAGCAGAAGAGAGCAGAAGAGAGCAGAAGATAGCAGAAGAGAGCAGAAGAGAGCAGAAGAGAGCAGAAGAGAGCAGAAGAGAGCAGAAGAGAGCAGAAGAGAGCAGAAGAGAGCAGAAGAGAGCAGAAGAGAGCAGAAGAGAGCAGAAGAGAGCAGAAGAGAGCAGAGAGTATAAAGTAGAAAATAAGGATTGGAGAGCAGAGAGTAAATAGTAGAAAGCAGGAGTAGAGAGTCCCTATAGCCCAAATGAACAAGATAGAATCTGTCCCTGATTCATATTTTGGCAGTTTCGTAGAGAATATTTCCAATTCCAGTCCATACCTATTTATAATCTAGCGGATAGATATCCGGTATTGGGAAGATACAAGTAGTAATTTATTTTCAATCTCGTTTACTCTTCGAAATTACGGCGGAAATCCTTTCGGCGCGAGCGGCAGCTTGTTAAAACGTTTCCATAGTTCAAATCATATCTGGAGCATGACCTCTAATCCCGCGGGGACCAATAACCGCTTCCAGATGAAAAACTATTACGGCGAGAATTCGAAAAGAACGTGCGGATATTCGGCGGGGTTTCTCCCGAATCGAGCGTGCCGCATTCTCCCCAGTTTTAGGCGATTCCGGACGCGAATTGTCGGGGAAAAAATAAGAGATTTTGCGAGATATTCGCTAAAAAAGGGTAATAGAAGATCGATGAGGTATTTCATTATGAACCATCAGGGGCATTTAGCAACCGGTTTTTGTATTGGCTTATTCAATTAGCACCGAATAAAGGCGAGCGAAAGGGAACAACTAGGGAGAATAACCGCGTTGTTAAAAGTTAAAACATCCTCTACTAATTAAGGCGTTAGTTTCGAATGGGGAAAGAAGCTTCGGGGAAATTGAACGATTCAATTATCGAGTTAAAGAATTAATTCCCGTTCGCATGTTCATTATTCGGGAGAAACGAATGTTTGGGGCGTTACAAGGAATCAATATTGACATTTTGTTATGGAGGATCCCTTAAATCTGCGGCACATGTCCGAATCGCACACAGCCTGAATTATAACCGTGACACATATCTTCGGTAAGCGATAGATCGGAAGATAGATATTCAGTTTCTGTTATCGATCAATTTATTACTTTCCGGCGCTCGTTTGTCAACGGCTGCCTTAAAATATTTTCCGCGAATACTGCCCGTCTGCGTACATTCCGCGCCGTAAATTTATGGAAATGTTACGTCACGGGAAATTGAGTAATCACCAGATAACGTCGAAAATAAGCAACCTTATAGAATGTGTAGCGTATAGGTAATAATAGCGGGTTACCTCTTGATGGATTCCATTATCTCCATGGACATTAATTTATCGGATTAATATCTAAAGGGAATTGAAATTGGCGCAGTCACTAGGATATTTCTTGTAAATATAGGTACTTGTAATATATTATTTTAAACTAGACAAAATTACCTAGCATATTTGATTGATAATTTAACTATACTCAACTCTATTATAAGTTAAACTAGCACTGTTCTAAAACTACAAATTCCAACTATAATTTGAACGCTTATTGGAATTTGCGGAAGTTCGGCGATATCTACATTACAGAATAAATATTTGCCGTGTTTTGCTCCCTTATTATATTCGGTCGGTAACGGTACAGCCGAAGGGGAACTTGACAACAAAGTTCAGCCCAAGAACCGAACAAAAGCAACTAAATAACAAACAAAGCGTTGATAGCGACTTAGCGCCTCCGGGGTGTCTACCTCTACGCGGGTCCCATAAATATCGCGAGCCCTTTTATTTTAATTAAAAGTGTTCCCTGTCTTCCGCCGAAAATTAAAACGCTGATTTTAGCGTCGCGTTTTTAAGTGGAACGCGTGTTCGGAAGGCGAGCTTTGATTGCGTTTCCAGAAGCGTGAATTTAGCCGTTATTGTCGAATTTTATTCTTCTGCTCGAGATTAAAAATCGTGTGAATTTATTATAAAACGATTGCAGTGAAAATAACAGTTAGGTAGTATCTAGATAGCCGGCGCTTTAAGCAGGAAAAAAACTGTCGTAAACCAGACTCGATATCTAGGATGTGAAAATAAAAAAAATCGCGGAAAATACATAAATACGAAAGAGCGGTATAGGTGCTTACTGAGCAGAAAAATCCGGTTCAATGTTCATAAAGGAAATATATAATTTCCAGCATGAAATAAAACCGGCATTTATTGCTTTTGTCTTTAACGGCTACGTTCAGTGAAATATACATTAAATACAACCGAAAAGACACATAAATCATGCGCGTTTTTTTTAAATGTTCGATTTTATTGTCCGTTTTCGGGCTATCGCGAAAAATCCGGCAATTTGGAAAATCCAGAAAATATTTATACGCACCGAGTGCGCCAAAAAAACTCAACATCAAGGAAGAAAATGTAATGCATATACAGGGTGATTCATAATTACACTTTAAGATATACACCTAAGTGCATAAACGTTTGAAACGTTTGAAAGATGGATTTAGATGGATTTAGATGGATTTGAAAGATGGATTTAACACAATATCACTCTTTCTTTTTCCTTTATAAGTGTCTAATAGAAGTTGTCTTTGTTATACTCGTAGCCTATATTGCAAACTTAAATGCATCAAACAGTATATTGTTTAATGCAGAAATTTGATTTTGTATTTTTAATGGAACCAATTCAAAATTTTGCAAACAAAAACAAAATTGATAAATTTACATTATCTTCCATTCATCACTTTTTAATTATGTTTGCATAACATTTTAATCAAGAGTGCGTAATTATTAATGTTGTCATTACACAAATTTGGTATAATTTTCTATGTATTATGATAGTAAAATAAATATAATACCATATCATTTTGTTTGACCTAATAATTGGCAAAATCAACGAAAAAAAATTTATTTAGTAATTATTTTAGGAAAACAGATGATTCATTCATATATTCCGAATGCTTTTAAATTTGAAAATCCTTCAAAACCCCCATAAAAACACCCCCTATATTCAACTTTCCAGCACTAGGTACACAAATAAAAAACGAAGAATATTTAATTCCATCCCGGCACGAAATCAACGTCACATCAAAATGTCAATCAAAATTCCCCGTACAAACAGCAAAATCAATCCGGCAATTACCCGAAACACCGACCATCAGCAAACATGAAAACCCTCAAACGCGAACCGCGCCCCGCCGACGTCCGATCGCCCTGCCACTTGTGCAAAAAATCCGGCGATTATCTCATAACCATGCACCCTCTGAAAGACGACCCGGCACGAGACGAGCCCTACATAAAATGTAAACCGATGCAATTCAAAATCACGCGAAATCACGACGATCTGATCGATTCCAGTTCGGACAGCGAGCTGGACATCGAATTCACCGCACCGGCCGCGATCGCGCGGAAACCCAGGAAAAAACCCCAAGTCGGGCACATCGATTGCCAGTACGATCCCTCCGATTTCGACGGCAAATCGAAGAAAACCGCCAGGAAAACGAGCAAAATCGACAGACAGATCAAAAAAATCAACAAAATAAGCGCAAGATGTTAATCGAATAACTATACAAGTTTGCTGTACTAATTGTAAATAAAGTAAATTCCCGCAAGTATTCCCTCTAGTTTAACACGCAATTTAGTGCTTTTGCTTAAATGAAAATCCATTGCGAAGGGACCTCCGGATTTCATCCCGGCATAATTTAAAAGTCTCTTTTATCGTGCAACTTGTCACGGAAGCCGTCTTTTAAAGAACAGCCTGCGCCGGGGGAGCGGGATTTTTTCGAATTCGATTCCATGTGCCAAAAAGTTCGCGCCTATCCATCGGGAATATCCATCAAACTGACGCGGGGCCATTCTCGATTTCCCTTCTTCTGCTAGTTGTGGGGCCCGGCGGTTATCTGTTTTTGAGGAGCATCAGGGCTTGTTGCTCGGCGACCGGATTTCTTTTATGAACTCTCCTGGCTTGATCCGGCCAGGTGATAGAGGAAACGAAGATAAGGAGCAAATTTAAATGGGATTGGTATTTATGGGGTTGGGGATTCTTTGAACGGGGTTTGATGAGAGGGTGATTGTTGAACAATTTTGTAAATTAATGCTATTTTAAGTGATAAAAAAACTGGTGGGATTTCATAGTGAATGCATTATTTTGGTAAAACTTGTTTGATTTTATAAATCAATTTAATTAACTTGCGTATAATTGAAACGAGCGTTTTGTAATAATTATAAGAATAGAATAATATAATAAGAAACGATGATAAAGAGCAAATATAAATGGAATTGGTATTTATGGGGTTGGGGATTCTTTGAACGGGGTTTGATGAGAGGGTGATTGTTGAACAATTTTGTGAAATTATGCGATTTTAAGTGATAAAAAAACTGGTGGGATTTCATAGTGAATGCATTATTTTGGTAAAACTTGTTTGATTTTATAAATCAATTTAATTAACTTGCGTATAATTGAAGCGAGCGTTTTGTAATAATTGGATTCCAATTCAAATTTATGCGATTAGTTCGTTATTGGATATTGCCATGAAAAAAATACATCAACACAATTAATTCGTTTTCCAGAGAAACTTTTTTCTCTATACAGGGCGAGTCACGCTCAAAGGGGCAAACAGTACAAAAGGGGCAAACAGGTTGTCCCAATTTTAAGAAAAAATGAATATCAAACTCGCCCTTAAAAAATTGAAAAAAATGGCCAATCCTGGTATACTTTCGCAAGCAAATGTGCAAGCGTACAATAAACACAAAAAATCCATAAACCCCTTTAGGCGTATTCAATCATTTTTGTAGCAACAATTTCGATTCGGTTGACAAGTTCGGCGGGAAGGAGACCACAGGAATATTAATCATTTCGGCTTTACACGTAACGTGTCCCTTTATCCTTTCATTAATGATTTAGCCTGATAAATGGCATTCCTACGAACTCCCGACAACCCGATGAATAAACAGGTTTCGGCAACTTCGAGGAGAATTTGATACACCGACGATGAACTCGCCCTTTTGATTCGCGCAATTACAATCGCCCGGATTGTATACCACTCGATTTTGTATACGGATAACTTTTTAATTGGATTACCTCCGGTCGTGTACGATGCTGGTTCGATGGCAAAACGAGTTTTACTGCCAGCGAATGGGGAATTTAAGACACCGGTATTTGCCTCGGGTATTTAAATATTGAATGTTGGCAGTACGTGAAATGTTGTGGTGGCGACGCTGGTTTACGAGTTTGTGGCGCCCTCTTCAATTCTGTTTAATTCTTTTCTTCAAATATTGTTTATTTTTGTACGATAATTTGATTCACGCAAAAAATTGTGTTTGTTGGTGGATTATTGACTCTCTTGGGTAGATAATTGATTCTCTTAGGCGGATGAATGGTTATTTTAACTAGATAATTGACTCTACTGGCCAGATAATTGATTCTCTTGGTGAAGGAATAGCTGTTTTGGGTAGATAATTAACTCTCCTGGCCAGATAATTGATTCTCTTAGGTAAAGGAATAGCTCTTTTGGGTAGGTAATTGATTCTTTTAAATGAAAGAATGGCTTTTTTGGGTAGAAAAATGGGTCTCTTGGGTAGATGATCTTTTAGCTAAAAGATTGGCTCGTTTAGGTAGATAATTGATTCTATTATGCGAAAGAATGGCTCTTTTGGGTAGATAAATGACTCTTTTAAATAGTTAAATAACTTTAAGGGTGCATAAATTATTCTTTTTGAGATAAATGACTCTTAGGTGCACTTAAATAGATGAATGAGTGTAATTAGGGGCGAATATGATAATTGACTCAATAATTGACTCTTTTTATAGGCAATAAATGAGTATAAGTAGTAAATAATATTATACACTGCTCTTCAAAATAAGTGCCTCAAGAAACTGATAAGTATCCACTCAACTTTTTACAGTACTATAATAAGTCTTCAGAGACAAATTGCCATTCGTGGAAATTGCGCTTTGCTCGTATATTGTTGGATGCAAAACTTTTTCAAATATCCTGTCAACGTACGAGATCCTATGAATATTTCATTGCTTAAAAGCTTGATAGATATAAAGAAAATTGTAACAAGCGTACGTAACTTAAACGTGCATATTCTTTACGATATTTGGGTTAAATTTTCATGACATATTTCCTTCTATGACGGATGTTTGTTCGAACAAAATTTTTAGTGGGTAATGATTAGTCTTGAACGGCGAAAGATAGTTTTTTTAATCATTTATTTATGCAAAAATGGAGTAATATTTTTTAATAAAAAATAAGTAAGTAGTATAGTTATTTAAAATTAAATACAGTAATTGGTCGTTGGAGAGCAATAACCGAAGCAGGTTTAGATAAAAATAAAGCAAGTTCGGAGTTACTGAAATCGGCATAAATCACCCCAACAATTTCGCAGCGATCCGGTTTTAAGTCATTAAAATCCCGAGTAGTAAATCCGCGTTTCAAGCCGTTTACGAACACAGGAAAAAAAACCGACAGAAAATTTCATTCGGAAAATTTTCGTACACTTTATTTTCGAAATTAAATTCATCACTCGCCCGGCTCGACCATAAATTACCGCGAGACGGACGCGAATTTCTTATTTACCGCGATGGAATCGGAATCAGAATCGGAACTTTTCAAATTTTATTTTGATTTATCTGCGCGCCGGCTATTCTTCCTAAAAGGGTGGCCGGGAGTTGATCCGTAAGTCATTCTGATGGTTACTGACCCACCGCTCCGGCCCGGATTAATAACGTGCGTCAGAAATATTTTTCCTTTCCCATGATAAATGGGCCAATCTCTGTTTGGAAATAAGATTTCGATCGCTCCGTGACATTTTCAGCTGAATAGCCGACGAGAAAACACAATCTAGCCGATGTGAATAACCAAAAGACCGCTTTAATGTCTATATACAGGGCGTTAATGTGTAAATCACCCTGTATTCGGGGTGTAAAATTCACTTTTAAAGTGAAGATAAATTTTTTTAAGGCTCAATTATTAATAATGGAATCAAATAAGTTGGTGGAAATTGGAATTAATCGTTTTCAATAATCTCTCGTTTCGAGATTTAGTATCTACTTGAATGGATTCAACAGGCTATTTTAAAGTCCTTTTAATCTCCGAAGATCCGTACGTTTTTATCTTAGACATTTTTAGTACCTGAAATATACGGTGCGCCGAGCAAAGAAATGTCCCAATCAGGATTTTTACGTTTCATTCCACCGATACTTTGTAACTTTTCCGTTCAAAAAAGCCCCCTTAATCTCTCCCAGGACAAAATGAATTATTGGTAATTCAACGTATGCCGGGCACATAGGAACCGTTCCTTTCCTGCCGCCGCAGGCTTTTAAATAATGCATTTTATTACAGTGTTAGGTGGGATTCGAGTAGATTTAATTTTTCTTAGGAAACAAGATTTAACGGGATTTCGCCCGACACGTCGGGTCCCGAGATAAAAATTTCACCTCTCGTCCTGGGACGCTCGTGAAATATTCCTCAAATTTCGAAAATGTACTGATTACTGCTACAAATTTGTTCTTCTTGCATATAGTTCATTGTTAAATGTACCAAAACGTCTCCGAAACTACCACAGTAAGTATAAATTAGTATTTGGTTCGATATAAATAAATTATACTTCGTTCGCTATCAGGAAATAGTATAATTTGTATGCAAGAGACAACACAAATTTCACAAGCTTTTAGGCTTTTTCTATTGTGTATTAGTACTGTTTATTTTACTTTAGTAGTGCCACTCTATATACAGGGTATATAATTACAGGCGACCCTTTTCTAGTCCTAAATAAAGTGACCTGAATACAGTACACAGTAGTGCTTCTGGGAAATTAAATGTGTACTAAAAGGATGTATTAAATTAAAAATCGCTTTTATTGATCTAAACTTCTACCAGGTATATTAACCAAATTATTAATTCAATAGTGCCAACTTTAATAAGTTTTATTATCTAAACTATCTCCTGATAGCGAATGGAGTATAATCTCGAATTAAGTAATCATGCCTTAGAAAAGATTCTAATAATATGCCCAATTACTTTCATTACATATTATATAAATACAGGGTGATTCATTAGTGCCTTAAAATTATCTTCGATTATAGAGTGTCCCAATTACTACTGATTATCTCACGCTGTGTAATCAATTTTCACTATCCTTCCCTAGTTTCTAGTACACAACTATCCCCTCTTCATTATTAGTACTATACACAGAGAAAGCTTTTAATCTAAGGCCGATGTAGAAGATAGTTTTTCGAAAAGAAAATGGTTGTAATCAAGTCCTCGGGAAAATCCTCTCGATAAAACTCCGGGCGCGAGCATTACCTACCTTTTTGTGTGCTTTTCTATAAAAGCGACTAAACCGGTGTCGGCTCGGAAATTCGTCTCCACTTTGTTTAGCGCCCGTAGTTAATTCGACATTCCGAATTTTTACATGGAATTGTACACAAAAGGGACCGTGTAGGAATAGCCAGTGCATTGTATAATCCCCGAATCGATTCGCGCTGAAACCGAAATGTACTTTTAATTCCCCTTTTATAATTGAGATTTCGCAGCGATTGTCCGCATAATTGCGGGAGTTGAGGTACGTCAAATGTCGCAATTGTCAATTTTTTTGACGTCAACGCCACGGCAACTAGACGTATTTGCAGGAACTAGACGAATATTTATTAGGCAGTGAATAATCGCTTCTGGTGTAATTCCATCTCTCGCGGATTAGTAACAAACATTCGCCGCAATAAATTGCAATATGCAGGGAATATGAAATGAGCAAAAATACTACCTATTGCTTTAATAAATAATAAGAGAAGACAACTACGTGCTTCGCTTTAATGCAGGCTAACGTATCTGATATTTACACGTGTTTTTGTTGGGGAAGTATGTTTGGTTTGTTCTACTACAAAACATGGTCCTGTTTGCTTAGCGGCTTTAGCATTGTATTACATGCTGATTATAAAGGGTCGATTCAATTCCAAAATTTTATAAAATCCGTTAGGTTTAAAGACTCAACAATCTCTATAGGTGAAGAATTTGCAATAATTGGCTGTCCCAAACAACTAAATTAATTCGAATTCTTAATAATAAAATAAAAAGGAAGCAAATACTAAACCTATTATCTGGCTGGGAATAAAGTCGAGCTGGGAATAAAGTCGAGCTGGAAATAACCGAAAAAACTCTAACTTAACATGATTGTAACATTGAAAGACGCAATTTGTTTTTCCATTCGGCAGTAAAAGTTAATAACCTTTCTTTCTCGAGGTAAAAGTGCTGAAGGAGTAAGACATTTTTGGTTGCAGGTATATAGTACGGAAAGGCCGGGGAAATGGGAGCAATAAAGTAAAAAGTAACGACTTTTATTACGGTAGGTAGTGTGTTACACAGTTTCGCAATATAATTTTGTAACATTATTCATTTGCGTTGTGTTCGTAATTACTAAAACGTGTTTCGCGTCGCTTTATGTTCGAAAAAAAATTAGTAATAAGAAGCAAAATGTCAACGTATCGTTCTACTTTACGCAAATTGATGCGCAGATCGATAGGAGCGCGAGGCGCATTGAAGTTCACGCAGATCGCGTCTCTAGTTATATCTCCTGATCTGTAAGTAATAATCAATTATTTCGCATGTTAGTAAACAGGCGTGCTTGCTTTAACATCGACGCTCAGTTATTTCGAATGGAGTTTTAATTGCCAAATTCGCATTGAAAATATTTATATGCGAGAGCGTATTGGAATATTGGAAATTCCCAGCGACTTCTTTCTAAATGACTGAAACGCTTTTTCTGTCGAACCGATTATCCCTGATTTTTGGGTATCGGAAATCCTGCGTGTGACTGAATTTTAATTGGCAGAGGAATGAAAAATTTCATTTCGTTCGAGCTCTCGTTTCCAATATTTCATCCCCAGCGATGTTATTATTAAGCACCTAATATTAAATGTAAACAAAAGATTAATTTATTTTGGGTATACAGGGTGAACCATGCTCGACGAAATGATGAAGATAAATTGTAAGAGAACCAAAAACTATCATGTATAAATATTGGGAATTGTTAATAAACTTATCTAAGGTTTTTAAGTAGATTTCAAAAATAGGGTGTCTCATTTAAATTTTTATACACTACATTATTTCAAAATTGAAACAACCGGAATATGTAATTAATTTTAAATTATAACCACCATATTTAAGCCGAAAAGGAAATTAGAAATCTCTAACAAAAATGAAAAGTATTTTTGCTATATGTTTAGAGCAAATATAAATCTAGAAGGAATCTCTAATATATTACGAAAGCATAAGTACAATAACAATATCGTGATTGGTTGAAATAAGTCACAAAAAGCACTAGGGTAATTAAAATTAAAGAATTTCGAGATAAAAACCCCTAGTATAAATTTTCTATTCATATAATAACATTAGGTATATACGAGCATAGCCGATTGAATGTCGAGATAAACTCGAGTAATACACTCTTGTGATTCCTGATATCCCTCTTGTAGTTCGACACGAAAACGGGAATAGCCCGCTTTATACAGGGGCAAACTTGATACCTGCTACACACTACAATATCGACCTTAATGTTGCATGCGTGGGAACGAATGCCGGCAAAGCGTATCAGATTCAGGAAATCTACCGGATTATATTTGAATGTCGGCGTAAGATATCCTTTCAGGGTAAATTTCCTGTTTCACTGTCAACGTTTCGGCGCAATTAATGTTAACGGGACGTGTATACAGTCGTAATATTTCGTTTCCTAAATTTAACTCGGGAATTTCGATGAATTTCGATAACGCGAAAATAATATAAATAAATTATCCGAATGGGATTTACGGGTCGATTAGCGCGGATTTTCTGGATCGAATAACGTCGAAAATTATTCTCGTTCCGACCGCTCGTTTCCTGCATCTGAAATTCCGAAATTAATTTCCGTAATGCAAATAGCACTTGGAATTGATACAATATCTGCTATTTAATGAGGTAGATATTTGTCAACATTGTAGTTCGATATAATTTCTGTAGTTATTTTTGTACATTTTTTACATGCGACTACCTACACTGCAACAAGAATAGTTGTAAACACATCCTGCGCAACTTAAATGCTTATAAAAAACTATTGCGCATTCTACTTTCATTTCTAGCTATTCTACTTGTAGTTAATTAATTTTAACGCCTTAACAGTCTGATAAAAAATTTGCATAGATCAATTCCAGTAATATTAAAATGTGAAAAACGCGATAAAAACCGAAAAAAAACGAGAAAAAAATAAAGTGATTTCTAACTTTAAAAGTCGTAAAAAATAATAATAAAATTGATTTATACGCGACTGGATAACAACGGGCTTTCGTTTTTTTTTAATGTACCTAACTTTCGAAAAGTTCCATACGTAAAATTATATTATTCGGACTGCTACGTAAAATTCTCATTCTAAAAGCGCCCGTATTAAATTTCATAAGCCATAAATGCCGTGTAATCGGCCATTTATCGGAAAAACGCTTATACCTTCGCGAGTTCAGTTGTAAAACGGGATATCTATATGGAATGGGGTTTATATACGAGTCGGTGCCAGTTCGCATTGATTCATTTGCGCAAAAAAAACGCTAAATTCCCCGTTTCATATACAATATTATGTGTACTTAAAAATATAAAATAATGATAGAGATAAGATGTGGTCTTATCCAATCGAATTTAACTACTACTACCATTTTTATATTATAGTTTAATATATGCCAGTAAAAAATATTGAGTATAGTTCGATAGGGACCGTTGAAGACTCGTCCCTGGTTATTTCAAACGTTCTGTATTTATTTTATAAGCCATGTAAGCTTATAGTCATAATTATAGTTATAATCAAATTTAACTACAACTACCATTTTAATATGACAATTGAATATTTGCTAGTCAAAAAATATGAGTACAGTTCAATAGGAATAGTTATTAAATTAAGAATAGTTAATTAAATTAGCGCAGGTTGCGTCTCAAGTTATTTCAAACGTTTTGTATACATCCTACATTCATGTAAGCTTCTAATATAATCCAATTTAACGTAATAAAATCCTTTTATAGAATAACTACCAACTGCAGCATTAATTCCGTTGGGTAATATTTTAAATTGAAGCATTCCATTACAGGACATCGCGACGTGAAAATTGGACGTTAAAATACATTTTATAAAATTGAACAAAGCGTCCTTTGTCGTCGAAAATGTACATCCACATATTGCCCTAGTTATCCGCGTGTATGTTGCGCTCGCGACAAAAACCGTATTGTCAAGTCTATTTAGATAACTTACGAAATAACCGGCATATACCGCGGATCTCGTTAATAAACTTATAATAAAGCAGGACGATGCTCGGTGCTCGTAGACAATCTAAATATGCTGAATAAATTTGTATCATCGGTTGATAAAACGAAAGGAACAAAGGCGAACTATCTGAATGCCAAATAAACTCCTTTTTTTTTCTCTCGTTAGGAAGTTTCTTAAAAGTAGGTTATATTGCTTGGATAGGTTTACGGGCGTGAAATGTATATTGCTGGATTAAATTAAGTTAATTAAAAATATCGCACTGTAGTCGCGAACTTAATTAGCAGCGAAATAATTGCATTTTTAACGGCGCGATGTTTTAACGAAAAAGTGTTATTTACTTCATATCATAACATAAATTGCACGGTGTATGGAATTTTACATTTATTTGCAATATAATACAATCGAATACGAATTACATTTGGCGCAAATCCAAATTCAATTTTTCCCCCGTATATTCTCGATGGTCTTTAATTTTCGATTTGTATTTCCACCACCGACAACGGCCAATTTTAATTCCACAAAATTGCTCACTAATTCGAATATTATTTCCCACTTACTTTGCAAAACGAAAACCATCAAAATCAAAGAAGCAGCCGGCCTCATCTTCTACTTCACCGCTGCTCGCATCTCATCGAACTCGCTGATCAATCGGCTAAATAAAAATCCACAATCACTCGGATCGAGTACTCCGCAATCACATCACCTCGAACACAAACATGCCAGGAGCGCCTCGGCGCTTTTGCGAAGCGACGCTGTCGAGTGCCCCGAAAGTGGAAGCCCCAAGGCCCGCCGGTGGAGCGCCAGCGACCAAGCACGTTTCGTTTGCAGCGAGAAAGCTCCGGCGAAACACCGCTACTGAGGGAACGCGCAGCTTTCCCAACGAACCGAAAGAGACTGCTGGATGGATGGTGATGGTGGATGGATAAGCAATTTTCGGCCGGAGCAGTTTGAAGTTCTGCGAGAAAACAACGCATGTCCCTTGAAAGTGCACTGCGAGCCCTTGTAGTCCTGCTTGGATATGAAATGGTGTATGTTAGGTACGTTATCTTTATTTCGCATGGTGGAAATAAATTGTAAATGTTTTAAAATTTGAAAATAAAAAATTGATGTAAAAGTTGAATGGGTACTTTATTTTGTCTACGGCTTTGTTAAAAATATTTGTGATTTAGTAAAAATTAATTGCCCTTAATTGCTGTAATTTTCTGGCTTTTAGGATTATTAGGAGGATTTGTAATTACATTTTTGCCATCATTTTATCGTCATTTACCATGATAATTTTCTGGATTTTAGGATTATGAGGAGGATTTTTAATTTAATTTTTACCATCAATTACCACGATGATTTTCTGTTTTTTAGGATTATTAGGAGGATTTGTAATAACATCTTTTACCATCATTTTATCGTCATATACCATGATAATTTTCTGGATTTTAGGATTATGAGGAGGATTTTTAAATTAATTTTTTTCCATCAATTACCACGATGATTTTCTGTTGTTATTTAGGATTATAGGAGGGTTTTTTAAATACATTTTTTACCGTCATTTATACCATGACGATTTTCTGTTTTTTAGGATAATAAAATTACTATTTTCAATTAAATTTTTAAAATAATAATTTTCTGAAATTTAAAATTATTAAGAGAATTTTTATTTAGGTACATGTTTTACCATCATTTTACCTTGATAATTTTCTGGTTTTTAGCAGTAGGCTATTAGGATGATTTTTAATTTACATTCTATACCATCATTTTACCCTAATTTTTCAAAATAATTTTCATCATTCATCATAATCATCGTCATTTAGGTTTTTTAGGACGATTTTTAATTACATTTTTTACCATCATGATCATTTTCTGTTTTTTAGGATTGTTAAGATTTTTAGTATGAATATTTTATATTTTACCAGCATGTTAGGGTATTCATTTTACCACTATTTTACCACCATTTTACCATAATTTCATTTTACCTTAACAATTTCTTGTTTTCCACTCTGTTTTGTAAAGAAAAACCAAACTTCAACGAAAAATTCATCGTTTTCTCGCTGTGGAAATTTATTCCTGGGGTCATATTTGAAACTCGCCGGCTTTTCTCGAAGGGCGCATGCAACGTTCTTGTTTTCCTACGGGCGAAGTTCGGGGCAAATAGAGCGAACTCATGCACCGGGCCGCCGCATTTTTGCCAGTAAAACAAATATAACGAAAGATTCGCGGAGACTAAAAGGATTTGCGGAATGGCGAAAAGTTCTAACAAGTGCTCTCTCAAAGCAATACTTCAGCCTGTACTTTTAATACAGACGCGAGAAGTTCGAATTTCGGAATTTCAGGAAACGCGAATAAATCGAACATAGAAAACGACCAGAAACGTTACTTATTTATAGCCCAAGTACACCAAAAATTTAACCAAACAGAAACTATAAATATTTTTCAATATCTACCAGTATCCAACAATTATTTCATAGCAGCATTCTTTGATAATTTAACTCAAATTAAGTATAGATTTACTTTAATGCAGTTATTAAATTATACTCTTCTTTGATTACTAATTTTTATTTAAATTTTACCCGCCGTTTGCGGGACAAATAATCGATTAGAACCTGAAGCAGAGGGAATTAATAAAATTAATCTAAAGACTCGTGAAAGAGTTAACTTTAAACAGGATCTCTTTGATGAGGACGACGTAACAATAAGTTTAATTGATCGACGGAAAATTACAAGGGAAACGAAGGAATATTACTCCTCCGAGGAGCTCTAATGATTTTAATGGTTTGTTAATTTATTTTTTCTGCGATCCAAGTCTTAATAAGGTTAATTGCGAGGAATTACAGGGTAGTTAAAAAATTGTATACAAACTTCAACGCCCTGTATGTGGTATATAGTTTAGCCATGTCCCCTGTTTTAAACCCTGTTTATACTTTTATAAAAAAAATTTTTACTTTCTCTCGAATGACTGTGGATAACTGGCTGTATTTAAATCGTTATGGGTGCGCGAAACTTCAAGCGAACTTTCCCTATTTGGAAGTTTTAATCTCCGGCAATGAAAGAAACTTGCGAATAAATCTCGTTAATATGGCACCGGCGAATCTTAATCCTAATGGCCTTTATTAAATGGACAATTTACATGATTGAAGTAGAAATTGCGGTGGTAGCAAATGAGGTAGGTGTTTAGGACTGTAATAATTATCAATTTGTAAAATCCGCATATATAAAGGGAGTAGTATTAAAGGATTTAGTGTATTAATAATTACCACAAGTAATGATTAATAAACTAATAATCCTAATTGGATTCTTGCACTTTTCTATATTAAACTAGGATTGGTTCGACCATTAAGCGATATTAAAAATATAGGTGTGTTTTAATCTCTATAAATTGGGAAACACCTTAATATTTATAATCGCATATTTTCATTTATGGTTCACACAGATTTCAGATAAAATTAAATACTTTTTATAAATACTTTATATAAATTTAAATACTTTTTTTTATAAATTAGATTCGTCCTGTAGCACAGTTAAAAATTCATTCGACGCGAACGAGCGCCCATTTGTATTTTCTAGACAAGTAATTTACCTAGCGCTTTAATAATTAATCAGAAATATCCCGGATCCGATGAACCGATATAAAATTCCATTTCCAGATAGATTAAACAAATTAATCGAAAACTCGATTGCTTTCGGAACGGTCGCCGGCGATTAGATAGAAACGTTCCAAATTATCCGCGAAGCTTTTTAATGTCACCGGTTAATATTTTATGACGATCTTTTACGCCTATACAAGGCGGCACGATTTCGTTAATTTTTATAGCCTCGTTTGGACGAATCAATCGGTTAATTGCGCCTGCAGCTTTACAGTATCGTTTTAACTACTTATTTAAATGTTAACCAACGATTTCCTGGAGAACGCCACGCCGATAGCTCGGAATAAGTTGTTTATTAACCCAAACTTCCGTTACTCGGCGAAGTACAAATTGGATCTGAATTACCTTCAACGAAAACGATAAAACACCATGTATAAACGTGTACTTCCGCGAGTTAAGCCGAAGTTTCCAGCCAGAAACCGCGTTTCCAAGGAGATGGAAAGTTTGAATTTCGGGAAATAAAATAAGTGGATTTTGGGTTAAGTAATAAGCAGGAATGCAGTTCTTTGAATCTACCAAAGGCAACTTTATAGCTGAAAGGATCTCCGAGGGGAACTTTCGGCAAAGTGAGATAGTGAGATTCTGAAACTGATAGTGCCTAATTCGTTTTGTTGGTTTAAAATTTAATTAATCCATTCAGAATGGCGAGTGACAAAATCCTCTCCCCAAAAGTACGTAATTTAATACTAATATAAAGGCTTCATAGCTTCATCTAATTTCAAAACAAAATATAACTTAATAACCCAGTTTTAAAACACTGATAGTTTCAAAAGAATCCAACAGTACAAATTCTACAGTACATAGTCCTTAAATATAACTAGATCTGGTAAAAAAGTAATAAACCTGACAACATTACGAGTAAATTTGAAGCGTTATTTTGTGGAAATAAAACGGAACTATTGAAAACCGAGCCTACGTTGGGGATCGTTCGAGGGGTTTAAGAGGCATCCCTGGAAAACTCCAAAGATCTCGTTCAGATTCCCGGCCCATTGTCGTGTGGGATTTCGAAAGAACACAGATAGTCGGCCGACTTATGAGCTAAATTAAAAGAATTATACGATGCCGTATCCCCGAGGCTTACCATTCAATAGAAAATCGGAATCTCGCTGTGCGGCAGCGCCCTGGGAATTGTTCGAACGCTGGAAAACTGGAAAGGAAATTTTAAAAGGGCTTCGCATCTGAAGTATCGAGGCCACTGGGAGGTCGAATCGGTTAACAGTCTGTCGGATTTTGTTAGTTACGCGGCGCTTGAGGCTTTTGTTGCAAAGAAATGGTTGGGAAAAAATGGCTTCTGAAGAAACTGCGCCCCACTCGAAAAATAATGAACATTAAAAAAAATAATGGAAAGAATTAATAAAGTAGCGATTTTAATAACTATGAATTGAACTATGAATAACTAATGAACTATGAATATGTGTTATTTTTTTCCAAACCATTTTATTGCTATTAACAATGTTTAGATCTGTACAAAAAAGTTTTTCAATTCACGTTTTTCATTAACACCCTGTATAAATATTTCCAAATGTCTAAGTAGCTGTTTGTACTAGTTGGATTGGGCCCGAATAGGTTTTTTAACTGACTGTAGAGCAAGTAAAAGACCCTAATTTTGACAATGACATTTCGACAAGAAGATGAATTTATAATACAAATAATCTAAAATATTGAAAAAGTTTAAACCGATTATACCACTCAAAAAACGTTAAAAACTGTATTTTAATATTTAAACCGGTTTTGTATCTTCGACATTTTCTACAAACTGAGTAATTTGTCATTTATTTATTACCTCGAATACATCTAATTTCGCTATGAACAATCCGTATCTTTCAAGAAACGATAATATCATCATTCCATTAAATAAAAGCCCTGTAAGTATTCATTAAACACGAATTATTGTCACCTACATAACAACCTATCTTACTAGTTCTTAATGGGTCGAAGCCTCTCGTGCGACTACGTGTTGCCATACAAAGAAGTATCGAGGAAGCATTGCCAATTAGAAAAAAGAGAAAGCTGCTGGTACCTGAAGAATATTGTAAGCACAACTTCTATCACTCGACACTTTATCTTCACTTCAGTAATTTCAGAGTATTAATGGCACGTACCTTAACGAAGGTCTCATCGCTGAGAATGTAGCCGTTCCGATTAAAGATAACGACGTCATCAGATATCCCAGCCCCATTGAGTTAAAATACACGTTTAAATCGAATGAATTTGATGGTATTACAGATGAAGAGCTCAGTCGCACATACGATAATATGTTACAGAATTTGAACAATGATGTGGGTAGTGTTCAAGAAAATAGAGTAAACGGACAGACCTATGCCAATGCTGCACCTTTGGCTGTTGATGACGTGATAGATTTAACAGAAGATAGTGTAGTCGGTATGTTAAAGGAACAATAGCGAATTGGCTTACTTAGATTTACGTTTTTCACAGAAGTACGGGAGCCCAGGTCATCGATAATTACACTTAATGATAGCTGTACGATAGTTCCTAAACCTACGGTATCGTATTGTCTTATATGTTAACATACAGGGACACCCTGTATAATAATTGTGTTTTTTAGGTAGAGTCTGTTAATTGTCAACCCAGCACATCGGCTGCACCGTGTAATAAAACTAGAGCTAATGTAAGTTTTAATGGCTGCTCGTGTAGTTGTTTCGATCGGTTTATTGTTTTAAGGTAAATTCGGAAATGATGGATGAAGAACTGAAATGTACGATTTGTGCGGAAATCTTTATAAAGGCGATGACGTTGAATTGCTCGCACACTTTTTGCCAATTTTGCATTTACATGTGGAGTACGAAAAACAATACCTGCCCGGTTTGTCGGGTGCCCATTAAGACCATGACACCTACGTTACTCATTGATAATATTGTAGAAAAAGTAAGTAATGTGTTTTAGTTGTTAAAGATTAAGAGTTTAATAGTATTTAATATGCAGGTCGTTGAAACTTTACCTCAAGAAGAAAAGGATGCGAGAAAGAGTATAATAGATCAAAGGAATTCAATGAATCTAAAGAAACCAAAAGCATGTAAAAGTATGTACCTGCATAACTAAATATCGAATTTAAATGAGTTAATTCATCATATTTTAGATATTACTAATGTAGTCTACGTGAGTAACGGCCTGGTAACTCAGTCCGGGGGTCATCGAGGACTAGCCGTAGCCGTTCAAGTAAATCCTTACATAGAGAGAAACACCTGCCATTTTTGCCGGGCGTTCGGCCGTCACACGAGAAACTGTCCCTACCAGTAAATATTCGATATATAAATGTTAATTAAGTCTGATTGTCACCTACGTTCAGTGTTCTGTAGTTTCAGCAGCCCTTCAAACGGATGCTGACGGTAATTATTGGAAACCATCACACAAATTTATGTCGTTCAAATGCTCTATGCAGTGACACATTGATAGTAAATTGTCGCATCGGTGTTCTCATTGTGCTCAATGTTTGCTGTATTGGGAATTTAAATTTTTTGTTCTACTTATTTTCATTAAATTGTAATTTTTCAATGTATTGAAATTTTATTATTGTGTACTATAATTTTTAATCTATCTTTAATGGTAGTTTAGGGAATAAAAACGTAACAGCAATGTGGAATACGATCGAAAGGGAGATCAACACAAATTTATAACATTCAAATTTTGCGCCATTTTTATTAAAAAGAAGAAATTCTGTCTTTGCTATTCAAGTTATTCAGTCAAGGTTACATATGTTATGTTTAAAATCAAGCAGTCCTCAAATCTTACGGGTGCAAATTACAATATTACCCAAGAAAAGTATAGATAATAGTATTTTACTACTTTACTTTAACAAATAGCTTATTTAAAACAAATAGAGATTATATAAAACCTCTTACTATGTAGGCATACACCTTGCAATTGGATGGCAATTTGCAATTTGACAGTTAATAAAAAAAGTCGAAATGAGGTTAGGTTTACTTCAAATTTGTTTTTGTTTGTGATTGTTAAATAATAATAAAAGCTATTTAAATTAAAGAACTAATAAACTGAAATGAGCCAGTTTCAAAAGAACGAAATCGTGTGGGGAAAAATGCCGAAGGGCATCCCGTGGCCTTGTCTGATATTGGAATCGGACAACCAAGCACCGACGACTTCCTACTGGGTGTACTTTTTTGGCACGTACAACTACGCCAGGCTGCCGAACTCCCGACTGGCCAATTTCGAGGAGAACCGCGAGAAGAACATAAACGGCTATTGCCAGAGGTTGCTGCCCCGCTCCTACCATTCGTTCCCCGAAGCCGTGGACGAGGCCGAGCTGCATTTGGCGAAAATGAAATCGAACCCGCTCTACCAAATTCCCATACACGAATTCAAAGGCAACAAGAGGAAAAGGCCGCCCATAGCGCAAAACAACAATAAAAAATTCAAGCCGGATATCGTGTTAAAGGAACTGACTGTAAACATCACGCGGCTTAATGGCCTGAACGAGAAAGTCCAAGAGCCATCCAAAACCGTTCTAAACACAGACGAAATTATAGTATCTAAGCTTAAATTTGGCATCGTAGGAATAGGTAATATTCCCATACAAATCTCTAAACAAATTACTTACGTTTTTTATTGCAGGTATACTAGGTAGTAGAGTAGCAAAGAATTTAAGTCAATCTGGTCATTTAATAAACATATGGAATCGAACAACAAGCAAATGTAATAAACTTATGAAACAGCTGGAAGCAAGGTATAGGAATCAAGTAACCACCTTCCTCTGTCCCCGAATCTTGCTAGAAAATTCCGATGTAATTTTAGTGTGCGTATCAGATCAAGATGTAGCCAATTCCATTTTCAAAAACAACTTCGGCATCAATCACCCTACTGATGCTATTTTGAAAAATAAAGGTTTGTTATTTATTCTTTCATCGGAATGAAATATATTCGCATGATTATAGGAATAGTTCAAATGACCACAACCGGTCCGGAAGCATCCAAAGATTTTCAAGCAATCATCGAAAAGAAAGGCGGGAAATACCTAGAAGCTCAAATACAAGGAAGCAAATTCGACGATAATTTCATCATCATCACAGCAGGCGAAAAGACCCTATTCTTCGATTGCCAGTCATGCTTCAAAGCCATCGGAATCTCAGCAATGTACCTAGGCGAAGTTGGGTACGTGCGAATTAAACTATCAATACATTCCAACTAAGACGCAGTTTAATTTCAGCTATGCTTCGAAAGTAAACCTCATCTTCCAATTGATCAAAGGAGTCCATCTAGCGGCGTTTGCCGAAGCCTTTTCCTTCGCCGAACGTTGCGGATTGAAGCAGGAGCTCCTGAAGCGAATCATCGAATTCATGGACATGGTGAGCCCATATTTGTCAAGCAAGTTGAAGATCATCATGAACAGAGACTTCGACAACGTGGAGCAGGCCCTGAAGCACCTCCAGGCGGACCTGAAGCTGGGCTTGGACTTGTCGAACAGCGAGGGCGAGCCCCTTTTTCTGGCGAGCATCACCAACGAGATTTTCAAGCATTGCAAAAGACTGGAATTCGAGAATAAAGACAGCGCGTCAATTTACATGAGGACTAAGTATTAATGGTTATGTATTATACCTATAGGATTTTAAAGTTATTTTTTTACGAATGTTTTAAGACTTGCACATAGAACGTTTCATTTTTAGTTTTACTAAGTAGATTTATACTTAATTTTAATGATTAAATTAATTCGTTTGTTGTTAGATGAATTTTGATCTCATACGGTACTAACCCATAAAACAGTTCCATCTAAACTTTCTTTTATGCGTAGCCACAAAGGGGGATAGTATTTTTATAAATAGCCGTTTTGTACGTAAACGTAAGGTTTATTCGTTCAAATGTATAAAAGCTTACAATAAGGATTCCATAAAATTATATAACAATAGCAATAGAATAAGCAATGTTTACGTTGTTTAAATAAAATAAATATTTTTACCCATATTCTTTCGAGTGAAATGGAAAAGGTAAACTTATGTCCAGGATGTTTCTCTTCCTTTTGCACTTCGCTCTAGCCTGAAACGGATATATTTATTTTAAACGAATAACCAGAAGGATTCGTCACCTCAATATTGTCATTAAAAACTGTCGATTTCTCCAGCGGATGCTTCTTTTTCGACCTACCAGCATCGTTTCCATTCTTAGCTAGAATTAAACATTGTAATTTAATTCTACTACACCTCACCAAATGTAGCTTGGCAGTTGAAAATAGAATTTAACACGCAAGCGGGGAAGAAAGAGGGACAAAGTTAAAGAAAGACGGAATCTTTGGGTCTCAATTTAGCTCTCATTATCTACACTCTCTTTTCTTTAAAGTTTGCTAAGGCACACCCAACATCATAACTATTCCAACTGCCAAGCTACATCGGGCGAGGTAAACTCGAAATAAAATACCTCTATAAGAACTACAATCGATAATTTGACTTTGCCTGGAATTCGTCATCTTTCTAAAAGTGTCCGCGTTGTAATAGTGGACCTTCGAAGGGTAGGAGTTGCTTTGTTGCGAATTGAAGTCCCCGACGTTCAGCGGGGGCAAACTCTCGAATTTGGCGCGCTCCTGCAAAGCAAATCGAACACTACCTACTCGATGATTCCATAGCAATAATTACGATTTGGTTTCCTTTCGTTTGGCTATCGAAACCCTTCGTCAGCGATTGGAACCCCGGCAAGTCCTTGCCATCCTGGTGCTTGGTGAACGTGGTTTGAATCTGCCGCATCCGCTGCTTCAGCATGTTCAGTCTTTGCGCGGTGGCCGATAAGGCGAGAATGTTGTGATCGTCTACGGGCGGTCTGGATTCCTTGTTGACGAATTCGTTGTTCAGTTTTCTTTTAACCGTTCCTGTAATTTGTTTCTTATAGTTTGTGTTTGTGGCGCGAAAGAGTGCCAACCTTCGGTGAAGGAGAATCTCCATTTGGTGTCGTTGGGTTTCTTCAAAAACTCGTTCTTTTTATCCGTTGAAGTTAGGATTTCGTTCTTGTATTTCCTGAGTAGCGGATTGTCCAGCTCGGTACAGACTCTCTCCCTGAGCGCTAGTAAGAACTTTTGCGGGTACATATCGTGAGTGAAGAAACTATAAGAGGGCTATAAAGTAGTCGATTTCGATCTGTGAGGAACGTCTACCTGTGGCTGAGGAGCTCGTTGGCAGTAGATCTATCGTTAGGGTCCATTTTCAGGCATTTGCCGAGAAAATCCACGGTGTAACTCGACCAATTCGCGAACCACTTGCAAAGTCCCAGCGGCGTACCGACCTCGGGAAATTTCACGATTGCCCTAAAGTTCTCGTTTTGCGATAGGATTTGTTGGTGGCGCAAGCACGGCGGCCCTTAAAAAACGTACAAATAACCACGATTCGGACTCGACCACGCGCTTTTTTACCCAATAGTTTGGTGATGTGGTGAATTTGATCGATGTCGCTCTCGCCGGGAAACAGAGGATCGCCGGTCATCATTTCGGAGAAGAGACAACCGATGGCCCAAACGTCTATGGCGGGCCCGTACACCGGTTCCCCGACGAGGAGCTCGGGCGCTCGGTACCATCTGGTAGCCACGTATTCGGTGCAAGTTTCGCCCGATGTACTGATTAGCCTTGCGAAGCCGAAATCGCACAATTTCACTACCCCGAGCGACGAAACCAAGACATTCTCCGGCTTAACGTCCCTGTGGATAACCTGGAACCACTCGGGTTTTAAGCGCTCAATTTCATTAACACGTTGACTGCCATGCTGCAGCAGCTTAAGCTTTGTTACAGGAGCCTTGTAGGGCCATTTATACCATCACCTTTCGGTGTTCTGTAAGCTGCTGGATCGTGTACTTGACGTGTTAATTCTGGACCAGTTTTAGCTTTGTTACAGGAGCCTTGTAGGTCCATTTGGACTAGCACATTTTGGTGTTCTATAAGCTGCTGAATCGTGTAATCAACCTGTTAATTCTGGACCAGTTTTTGCTTTGTTACAGGAACCTTGTAGGTCCATTTGAACTAGCACATTTTGGTGTTTTATAAGCTGCTCGATCATGTACTTAACATGTTAATTCTGGACCAGTTTTAGCTTTGTTACAGAAGCCATATGGACCAGGACCTTTTGGTAATCTGTGAGCTGCTATCTATTAAAGTTAACGTGTTAGTTTTTGAGGCTTACATGATTGTTGTGACAGTAGGCGATTCCTCGTAACACCTGAAAAATCCTGTCCCTGCACCGTTGTTCTCCCAAGCCGCTTTGCGCCTTGTCCAATTCGTCTAGTACCGTTCCTTTTAAATACTCGAACACTAAATAGAACCGTTTCTTGTGCCGGAACACCTCTATCATTGGCACGAGATTTTCGTGTTTCAGTCTCTTTAAAAATGCGTACAAGGTGATAAGGAGGGATTGCATTGAATAAAATGATGTGTTACTTTGAGCATTCGAATTTCCCTGAAGGCCATTTTCCTTATGGTCGCGTCCTCTTCGGTTTCGAGGAATTTCTTGATGGCCACCACGACGTTGGTCTCCCGGTGCCTGCATTTCATCACCAAACCGTAGGAGCCTTCTCCGATGATTTCCAGCTGCTCGTATTTATCCATTTACTGTTCAGTTCCTTCCGACATGTGAACCTGGAACCATGCCGTTTTTATTGAATTTAATGCTGATAACATACGCACTTACTTTCAATAAAATTAATAAAACGGTATATGTCTTTTGTTTAATAAAATTACACTGCTATTTAATCCAAACAAACATTTTATCGCTATTATATCAACGATAACAGACATACATGTCAGAAATAAAGTGAGTGTTTTTTGTACAAATTAAGCTTAGTTTACATGAAAGTTTTTATTATAAATTATTGAACAATTAAGGTCCTATTATACGTAGAATTCCCGAGTAAAATATCAGATTATTTGTATGTAAAATATACTCGACTACATCAGTAAAAGAGGGATTGGAATAAAATATAAATTCTCACAATATTTTATTCAATTTATTCATTCTCTAATTCACTACTGCGCTTTTCGTTTTTGGCTTTTAAATCCTCCAATTTCTGCTTAACCTGCTCGATTTCCTCGAATGTAACAGTCACTTCGACTCCGCATGCTTTCTGCTCGTCCCGGATGTATTGCAGATTGCGAATTTTCTCTTCCAAGAAAGCTGGCTGTTCGCTCTCTAATTGCAATCTGTACTTCTCTAACCTGTAAATCGGATTTCGTAAACTCTACTATACGATATGACTCGATTGTACTGTTTCTATACCTTTGCGATTTGATGTTATCGACGTAAATACCGGTCAATCGCTGCAGGGAGTCCTTACGAGTGACTTGGAAAGGTTCCGTGGGCAAAGGCTTGTACACCAAATCCAGGGTTTCCAACAACCATTCGAATTTCTTGTAGTCCCAACGTCTCAAGTACCTCAAGTGTTTGGTTCTTTTATCGATTAGCTCTTTCAGCGCTATTTTGAGCCATTTATTCCTTGGGAATTTTTCGATGAGTTCCTGCTGGGCTCGGATGACTCCTTAAATATCAAATGAAAAGAATCGCTTAAAAACTAACAATATACGACTTACCGGTCCACCGGGCCAATTTGACTTCTATCGAACTGTAATCGTATTCGTGCCTCTTTACGCGCTGTTCCATGCTCTTGTAAAATACCTTGTTGGTGAACTTCTTAGGTGCGAATTCTAAGGTGAATAGTTTCTTGACATTTTCGTCCGCTGTTTGCAGCTCTTTGGAATTTTGGAACTCGAGGAGGAACTGCTTGCGATTTATTTCCGGAAAACTCTGTAAATCACCGCTGTTCTGCGGTTTGTAGAATGGTACTTTCTCGGGACGGACCCATTTGATTTTCAAATCGCTTTTTAACGCATAATTTCTCGAAATTACCCCGTCTATTAAGTTGTTGGCGAGAAGGGGGATGTTCGAATTAATTCGTAAGTATCTAAAACTACTCATTATTCATACTATTTTTAAATATTTCTTAATGGAAATATATGTATAAAAAGTGAGGTTGTGGTCGATGAGTTATGACAATTATGACATTTTACGTCAAATACGTCATTTATTGTGCTCTTGGGCAATTCAGAGTTAGTTCGATTTGATAGATTGGGGCGTGATTATGAATAATGCTACAACTTTTCATCTTCCGTGTCACTTGTCATTTTTTCCGGTAACAAATTGTCAACAAAAACGAAATATTTTATTGAATAATAGGGATGTTTTGAATAGAAATAATAACAATTAAATTGAATAAAGATGCCACGAGTAAAATCGTCTCCAAAGAAATGCATAAAAACGAATTTGCAACAAACGACCAATTCGTGGATATTTCTTTTAAAAGGTATGGTAATTTTTTTTTGTTTTTGCGTAAACGATGGTCTATTTTCGTCGATTTTTTCAATTAAAATCGTTCTATTATCGCGAATTACGCGTGCGGACTTCGACGTACGCCTAAAATAAATCGATTTGACGATTGATTACGTTCGCATTCTAATTAACAAAGAAACTAATTAATTCCTAAATCGTTTCAGGCGAAGCTTTGGAACTCTCCGACCAGTACACGGGAAGCGGAACGCCCGATATAGTAACATTAAGACACCCCAACACCGGGGACTCCGCCGTATTCCTATTTTCACCTGCGAATAACTCCGTACAAGAAGTGCTCACGTTCAACGAAAGCAAGCGTTCGTGGTTCATAGACGAATACGTGAAAAGTGACGGGAAATTGCACCTTTCCACCCCCATCGACCCAATATTCTTAGGTAAATTCACAACACGATACTAACACAGACCCTCTTTAATAATTCTTTATGCTTCAGTTCTTCCATATCTTAAAAAATACTGCACCAATCACGCGGTACCGTTAGATCAATTGTTGAGAGACGACGATTTTCCAGAGACTGAAAGACTGCTCAAATCCAGCGGGCTTAAATATTTAAACTTAATAGCCGATAAGAAGGTAACAACAATTTATAACCTAATTTCGTTGCGTGTAAATCGAAGCATTCCAGGGAGACGAAGAACTGAACGCCTTCAAATATAACGAAGAGAAAACGTTGACTTGGCTGAAGAAGAAGACCGAACGAGTGGCCGATATACTCAAACAGAAGAACATTAACGTGAGCGGAGGGGCTGTTTCGGCTTCGTACGTCAAGGCCAGCAGGGCGGATTCGTTAGATTACAACGCCTACTTGAAATACGCGCACGGCATCGTTTCGGAGTATTTAGTGGAGGATCTGAGCCAGAAGTTGTTGAAATACCTAAATTTGCCGGAAGAGACGGCCATTCCGAATTTAAAGAGGAAATGTTTGCCGATGACTCCCACGGAGTCGAAAAGGGTGCGTTTGTATCGAATTGAATGTAGCTAATCGTCCATATTGATAAAAATGAAGCATTTACTTTGAAGTAGAAGGCAAGAGGAAAAGGTTTTGCTCTGATCGGTAGATGGTACAGAGATTAGCGAATTCGCCAAACTAGTTGAAACGAGTCTAAATGTTTCTAAACAGTTCTAAATGATTCTGGAGCATTCTGAATTGATCTAGCCAATTCTTAATGATTCTAAACAGTTCTAAATGATTCTAGAGAGTTCTAGATGATTCTGGATTGTTCTAAATGGTTCTAGACAGTTTAAAATGATTCTAGACTATTTAAATGTTTGTGTAGCATTCCACATTATTCAAGACAGTTCTAGATGACTCTTTAGCGTTCTACATGGTTGTAAACAATTGTAAATGATTCTGAGGCGCTCTGGATTGATCTAGACAGTTCTAGAAGATTCTGGAGCGTTCTAAATGGTTCTAGACAGTTCTAATGTAAATGCACCCTGTCAGTCGTAATAAACTGAGGAAACACAGTCAAAATACACAAGACTTACATTATATACAAAAGACTTACATTTTCACAAGCAAATCCCTCTCTTTTTAAGCAATTGCTTCTTTTTATAAATACGGAAAAAATGAAACCTTTTGCTTTGAAGCAACAGCGGGGTGCTTGAAGCGAAACCTCTTCCTTTACTTCTTTTTATGCATATTCCTTGAAGCTATTGCTTCTTTTTTTTGCGACAAAAGGTTATGCTTATTTTTATAAAAATGGCCTATGTTTATTTGTTATATGTTTTTTCAGATTAAAACCGATGAAGATTTGAAAAGCACCAGTACTTCGAGTATTCTAGATTTAAGTAAGCCGGAAATTAAATTGTCCGCCAAAGACAAGGCAAGATCGAAGGCGGCCAGCGGCAGCAAGAGCCTCAATTCGTTCTTTAAGAAAGCTTAATAACCACCATTGTAGGTGTTTTACGTCAATTTTAAACTAGGATTTAAGTTGTAAACAATAATTTTCGTAAGTTTAAGCACCCCATCGAAGGGGCTCCGGTTTTAATTGCCATGTGTAATTTAGAATAATTTTTAATGTAAAGAAATTTTTTTCAGTAGCTCGTCGTTTTTTTAAATGCCCCTTTTGTTGATGAAGAATAACTAGGTTGAAAGGAGTGTTGTGGTTTAGTGAAAAAATATTTTTTAATTATAGACATGAAGTGATAATGGGGATTATCTGGTGACCTTTGTCTAAGTGAATGCGATAATTTGTAGTGAAACGTGAATTCTTAATGGTATATCTATTGGTTCTGTTTGTTTCCCGTTAAGAAAAACATTTATGGTAAGAGTTTCTTTAAAAAGATTATTAAAATTATAACAACTCTAACAAACCGCACAGAGAATACTTCATAATGATTTAACACAAACATTTAAAATTATGTAGTTTGTAAAGACAATTTAACTTCCATTTTAATCATTAATTATCTTAATGATGACTTAAATCACATTTCAGGTCATCAAAAATGAGTACTTCCTTTAAGGTTCAAGTATTTTGCCTTGCCATTTTTTCTCTAATTGGTCTAGGTAAGTAAATTTGTAATGTAAAGTTTTAAAATTCTAAAAACGTTTTAAAATGACATAGACGTCATTTTTAGTAATTTCGCGCAGTCGAAATGCCGATGCGTTCTAAATGATTCTAAACAGTTCTATGTGTTTTTGTGTTTTGGTCTAATTTTCGTCCGTTTGTATTATAATATTCAGGATCTTTGGGCTATTTTGACGGGCTACCATAATCCCCACCGATTATATTCCGTTGAACAATTGGGCATTTCCGAATTTTTTCTTCGCTTAATTACCGTCGATTCCAGGTTATTCAATCAAATGCTACCAATGCAACTCGGGGGTCGATCCCGACTGCGCCGCTTTGACAGTAAACGACACCAGCAGTAAACATTACAAAGAATGCACGGGCGACTACGAGGGAGAGTCGCCGTTCTGCAGGATTTACGTGACTAACGGTAATTATTTAAAACATATTTACGACGTCCGCCTGTGCGGGGATCGAAAAGGAAACGTGCACCTTCGGGAGAAAAGCCGGCCGTAAATTCCGCATTTAAATATTTCACGACGCGCTAATAAATTGGCCCGCTAATGTAATTTGTGCACGTGCTTTTTTGCAGTGCTGCATATACAGGAGCCCGAAAAGGCCGTGAGGATACTCAGGAGTTGCGGCTGGATAAGGAACAAAACCCTGCCGCAGCAGGAGTCCTGCAGAAACGACAATTCGGATTTCATTTTGAAAACGAAGTGCCAGTGTTTCAAAGACGGCTGCAACAGCTCGCATCATTGGGAACCCTCTAAATTATTGATGGTGCTCTTCCTTATACTACCCATTTTGTGGTAACCTGTACTCGTATACACCTACTTATTGTTAGTAGTTTAATCCAGGAAATAAAACTTTATTTAACAAAATCTACTTTATTGCTACATCGTTAGGTATTCATTAAGCTTATTTAAACCACATCGAAACATTCAGAAGCAACAATTATACTAATATAATAAGTATAAAATCGGCTAAGGTTTTAAAAAATTCTATAAATTACTTCCAAGAAACACAAAGAAAGTATCGCTAAAGCCGCGTTTGCCCTGAAGTCGCCGCTCGAATTGCACCCCTCCGTCGAACACTTTATGCACGCCACTGTTTGAGTCAATCTGGTGTTCGTTTCCCTAACCTTTTTACATATATCCAGGTTTCCTTGCTCGGCCAACTGGCAACCCCGCAGGTAGTGATCCTTGCCGTTAACTAAAAAGAAAAATTCCATAGAATTTCATTGGGTAATTCCGTTCGCCATCAAGAGATGGTAATATGGGAATTTGTGCGAACGGAGTATAATTCTCACACCCGAATAACTAACAAAATTAGATATTATTATTATCCCCTGAAGGCGAACGGAGTATACTTTCACATTAAAGACTATGGTGTGCAAACTATAATAAAGCACGACCTTTACGTTTGTTTTAGGGTGTTGTCCTCTGTCCTATTTACATTTAACCAGCTTTAATAACCCATAAAGTGTCCTATTTGGAACAATTTATTATAACCCAATACAAAGAAAAGTCCACTCTACTGCTCATCAAATATAACGAATCTTAATCACACATCAATAAATCATCATTTTAGATGAGCATTATACAATAAATTCATTGTTCTACCTACCTTTAGTGACTAATTTGAGGCAAGCCAATACCGGCGGCGTTTCGGAGATATCAACTTCAAACAATTTCGCGTAACCTTCGTCCATGTGCTGCGCGAATTTCCTGGTTTGCTCCAGAGCCGCCGTGTCGCACTTCATCAGGGAAATCTGGTTGACTTCGGGCCTGGAGCAGTCGTCGTAATTGTTGTGCGTGTAGCAGCTGTAGCATTTCACGCTGTGAGCTGCAATGGAAATTGGAATTTTGGATTTTGTTACGTGTGCTGTCTCTCTGTTAAGGGCGGGTGAAGGGAAATTCCTGAAGATCATGGAGGAGCAGAGCAGAGCAGAGCACAGCGGAGCAGAACAGAGCACAGTAGTGTAGGGTTTAATTTACATCAGTCAGGGAAATTTGAGTGATATTAGGAAGGAGAATTTGTGTTCTAAGTTGCAGTGATTCGCATCAAAATTGATGGTTCAATCATCTTTCGTTCATTCATCATTTGAAATGCTGCTATTCTTGGAGATAATAGAGATATAAGAAGTCTGCAAGAAAGCTCATGATTTTTATGTTTTTTTTTTGCTACAATTAAGTTTAGTTATTTTCTTTAGTTAATCACATCTATTTTTTTTATTTGCATATTTTAATTCATTTTATCCAAAAAAATAATCCAAATTTAACACTATTAAAACTGCTACAGTTTAAAAATAGCTTCAAGAAATTTGTAAGCGTTCATTAAAGACGCGAGAAAATAAAAACTAGGCTAATTAATTCCCGTCTAATTTGACTTATTTTCACTAAAATAAATTCATACACACCCCTATTTACGCCGAGCGTCAGCAGCACCAGGACACATCCGAAAATCTTCCACATTTTCCCCGAAAATCCAACGAAAAAACTCGCCACAAAAACTGTAGAGTAGAGGGCGGTTGGTCGGGAAAGGGCCAGGTCGCTGTGTGGAGCGTAAAGTTTGTAAACAAAATGCGTGGACGGAATGTAACTTAACCGGCGCGGCGACGTCCGAAAAGAAACGCGACGCCTCGATTTAGGGACGCCAAGGATATGTGGCGCCGATCCGCCGATTGCGATACGGCTCTAAAGGCCGTTCGTCCCGGAATTACCGGATTTTTGGAAGCGACCGCGTCTTTATAGCGGCGGCGGTTGATGTTTTTTGCTGTAAAATATAAGGATAATTTTCGTGGAACTGGAATGTTAATAATTTTTTTTTTGGTATTTTTAGGTCACTTATTGGCATGATTTTTTAAAGTAATTTAAAGGGTTTTATTAGCGTTTTTTAAAATGGTTTTTACAAGAATTTAGTGGGTTTTATGGTGCCGGTACGGTCTACCCTATCGCATCTGGTTTAGTATGCGGTCTACTCAAATTTATTTTAGACAAGGTATATCAGTAAGATTTTGAAAATTGACCTTTCATTGTGGGAAAGAAAAAAAATACTGGTATTGTATTTTTTATAAAACAGCATGCGGGTAATTCAATTTACCGAGAATTGGAGAAGTACCTGCAGTATTTATTTGAAAATATTTAATTCATTAAGCAAGTATTAAGTAATTCAATTTATCGAGAATTACAAAAGTATCAGAATTATACAGGGTGAGTTTTTTTGATGATTCTCAGTCTTGCAAAATATGACACCTGTCAAAGTATTTAAATATACTTGGGCGAGAAAATGGTGGTAGACCGCATACCAGACTGGTCACGAAAAAAATGTAAATGCTCGGTAACTATTTTAAACGTGTCAACACTGTAAATATTTGCTTGGTTACCCTGTCACAAAGTAGGCAAGATCCAGTTTACTGACTCTACCCTCCCTACCTCAACCTACCCTCTTTCAACCTTCTTTACCCCAACCTACGCCATTCTACGATCCTCTCACCGACCTATCTCTAACCTACCACCTTCAACCTTCTACCCTCCTCTGCCTCTACCTACCTTCTTTGTAGCCTTCCCTACACTTCTCCATACCTCCTTCTACCCTCATCTACCCCTACTTACAATCTTCTACCCTACTCTACCCCTCCCTAGGTCTTCCAACTTCCAACCCATATAAATATGTTGGGTTTGAGTATTACCTCTTCCATTGAATACAATGACCTACAATCTTGAGAGGGATATAGAGAACAATATTAAACTTTCCAATAAAAAATTCCTACTTATTTCACAAAATTCCCCATAAATGTAAACACAACATGCTCCAATATAATCAAATTTTACATCTAAAATAAAATCCTGTGGCATTTCCACTAAACGCGTAGTATACGTTTAAATCTTGTTGCCTACATTTCAGAGACTTTTCCAATAAAACGCTATCCTTGTATCCTTGCCATGCATTAATAAGCGACACACCTGAATCCTTCATCATTGTCTATCGCGCTGTGTGAACGCGTTTCACAGATAGCATATCTGTTGTGATCCACTTGAAATATCGACTGGCTTTTGTGAGTGGAATATTCATTCAAGTATAGTAAATGCGTGTTGTTGTATTACATAGTAGAGACTACATAGAGGTTAAATTAAAAAGTGATATCATCGTGTGTTTATGTTCGCTGTAATTCCAATTAAAATTAGTTATATTTTCGTTCCTATTATGTTGTTAAATTGATACTGTTGAAATATATAATAATCTTTAGGTTGATTCGCTGTTGATATATTTTGTGTGTTTTATTGTTGGTAAACATAAAAATAGATAGGATATATTACATTTTTCGGCGTTCCGAATCGATTTGAACGTAGCTTGCGCCAAATTCAGCAAGTATTGGAATTATGGAGAAGAAATCTTCGGGGGAAACTAGTATTTTAAGTATTATTTGTAGCGCTGTGAAAAAGGTGAGGTTTTTTTAAATATTTCTATAATTTTTTTATAATTTTTTTTCTAAATATAGTTCTTTTTTTATAGTTTTAAATTCGACTAAATTTTCTATTTTAAACATAATAAAAACATTCCAAAATCCTTCCAAACTTGTATTATTTCCGAGTAATTAATTAATGCAAATGATGAATTAAATTTCATAGAAAAGAAATACATAAAAAATGCCTTACAACTAAACTTCCGATGACGCAACATTTTTTATAATAATAACTTCTAATTGCAAATTTACCTAAAGGTAAATTTTATTTACAATCACAGTAATACATACAAAAGTGCAGATTAATCGAAAATCATGAACCTTTCATGCTAAAAATTCCGAACTAACAACTCGATAAATATTTCACCATCGTGACGTCATCACCTTATAATTTTAAACGCACTATAGCTAAATATTTTTTAATTCTTATCTTTGCAGGCATCGGTGGTTGGTGTGGTTTACCTTGCTGGGTACATGCAATGGTCTGTTGGGTGGTTCGTAGGGCCGATAGTACTTTTCGTAATTAGGGATCAATGGAAAAAATCCAGCGACAGGAAACGCGCCATAGCCAAAGCTACAGCTTTAAGCAGCGAGCAAGAAGTGGTTTTGGCGAGGCTCGATGATTTACCGGCCTGGGTAAATAAAATTATCTGTAATTATACAGGGTGCCCAAGTAGGAAATTTGTAAAAAGCCATCCTAATATCACTCGAGTCTCTTTAAACAATTTGTATTATTTTTGTTGAAGTGTCATCTACAACTTATTTATATTTAGGAAAATCTTGCCGATATAAGTACCTACATATAAATATCAACATATTTGGATTAGATAAAAATACATATGTAGGTACGAAATTAATCGGCTTTTCTAAAAATAAATGCGTTTACAATATTTTGAAAAATTGAGTCATAAATTCGAATTTTTAGTGCGAATTTATTACGAATTTCTATTTATAACAATTGGTTTTAAAATATTACCTATTAAACGAAAAAAATAAAATAACCACCATTGCCAATACCAAAAATTTATTTTCTATTTTTGGTGCAAAAAGAATATCATTTCAACTTCTACTATTTCTTACTTTTAGGTATTTTTCCCGGATATTGAGAGAGCAGAATGGATAAACAGGGTAAGTTTCCTCACATCACAAAATTTTCATTTGAATTATCCTACCTTTTAATTATCCACTAGATAATAAAGCAAGTATGGCCCAATGTGAACCAATACGTGCGCGAATTAGTTCGAGATGCCATCCAACCAATCCTTCGGGAAAGCCTAGAAAAATACAAACTCACCGGCTTCAAATTCGAAAGGATTATTTTAGGCACAGTGGTAAGTTCGCTAGTTTTATTGCATAACTCCAAATTAAGCCTAATTTATACTCAAATCTGAACTCGCATTAAAATTCCAGCCATTCAGAATCGGCGGGGTGAAAGTCTACGACAAAAACATCGATAGAAACGAAATTGTTATGGATCTTGATATATTGTAAGCATTTTAAACCTTCTAATTTCCATCTCAAATAATTGGATACATTGCAGCTACGCAGGCGATTGCGACATATCCTTCTATCTGAAAGGAATGAAAGGAGGAATCCGAGATTTCCAGGTAGTAATCACCACTTTATTGTTAAATCAAGCATCACATAATCCAATTTTCCAGTTACACGGTATGCTCAGAGTCGTAATGAAGCCTCTCATCACCTCGATACCTCTAGTAGGGGGATTGCAAGTCTTCTTCTTGAACAATCCGGATATTGATTTTGACCTGGTGGGAATAGCTGATGTCCTGGATATGCCTGGCTTGAGGTTAGAACAATACACTCGGTTTTGTATTTGACGTATATGATTTTTATTTTTTTTAGCGATATTTTGAGACGTATCGTGGTCGAGACGGTCGCTTCGATGATGGTGTTACCCAATAAATTCCCCATCAAATTGAGCGAGGAAGTCGAAGCTGTGGAATTGAAAGCGCCTGAACCGGAAGTATGTGGAAGAAAAAATATTTTTGCTGATAATTTTCGAGTTTATTTTTTAGGGCGTTTTGAGGGTGCACGTGTTCGAGGCGAGTCACTTAATGAAGAAGGATATTAGTGTTCTGGGTAAAGGTAAATCTGATCCTTACGCGGTGGTGACTGTGGGGGCGCAGGAATTTAAAACGAAAGTTATCGATAACACCGTCGATCCCAAGTGGGATTATTGGTGCGAGGTACGTAGATTTATTTTAATTTTAAAAAAATATATTAGTTTATTTTACGGTGTTGATTTGGTAGATTCTCTATGGTGCATGTATGTCACTTTATTACACAACACATGACATTTTAGACACGACATAGAGCGGATTGTATTGCCTTGAAACAAGATTAATACTACCTATTTTACCGAGAAATTTTATGCCAGATTTCACTTAATATTATCTAGTATAGAAAAAATGTTGTGTTATTACTATTATTTTCGTTTTATTATTAGTTTCAAATTCTTGAATCAAATGGACAACAACTATATTTACACGTTTTGGACAAAGATGATACGGGTGATGACGAAAACCTGGGAAGGTAAGGAAAATTTTCACGAACGGAGGAAGTTCAAAAATTTATTACAATGCGGTTTTTATCGAAACAAATACACGTTTTTTTTGTTTAAGTAGTGATGATTGCGGTGTAGAAATTTTTAAAATGTCGTTGTCGATAAAATAATTGAATTTTAATGAGAAAAGACGTTGTGTAATGGATAATATTTCGATATTTTTTTGGACTTCCAGCTGGTATTGGAAATTTTTGTATAGAAAATCTGGGAGTAGTATTTAAAAAAAATAACCAAGGCGGAGTTTTAATTGTCTTCAAATTGACACAACAGAATGCATCATACTCTCGTTTTTTGTTTGAACTGTTCTAAATTCTAAAATTAAAACTCTTTCTTCTAGTCTATTCTATTCTATTCACTCGCTGTGTCGCTTATGCACTTTTTCATTACAATCATATTCATATTTGAAATAATTCAAATATTTATACATATAAAAAACTGATACTTAGTGTTACTACATACTTATTACTACTTAGCGTCTATACTTTGGTGTATAAATATTGAATTTTTCAATTTACATTTTCCCTGTTTTCTCTTATTTCAAAAAAATAACACTAACTGATTTTTATCGATTAATTTATTAATTTTCTCATGTGGTTTAGTTTCCCCTCGAATCTGTAGACGGCACTCAACTGTTGCTGCATTTGTATGATAAAGATAAAGGTCACAAGGATGACACTTTGGGAAGGTACTAGGCAAAAAATTATAAATGTTATTTCTTTTTAGTTTCTTTCATTTCGAAATTTCCGGCAACACGACTGTTCGGGAGTTGTTATTATCTCACTAACTTTTGAAGGGAACCATTAAAACTATAAAAACCAAGAACATTGCTTCATTGTAAAGTCGCTAGATAATTAATAAGTACTAGTTCTTCATTTCTCACCTAGAAAATTCACCATTATTCCCACTAGACTCATAAGAATATAATTATTTAAATAGATAAAGTAGAATGAAGTGACGTAATTCACAAACTAGAATAAGCCAACCTCATACTTGACCTCATATGAAGTTGATTAACAATCGTGTAATTTAGCATTCTTGACTCATAGAACTTTAAAGTATCTAGCAACTTTTAAATCAATACAACCACCATTCAAAAGTTACAAACAACCTTATTGAATATTTTTTTGTAATTTAATTCATTTAATGTAAATAGTTGCATCTCATTTTATGATTTCACGCTTGTTAACTACACCTAAATGATACGGCGTAAAAATTTCATTTCCTGTAATTCCATAGGGCCACTATCGAGGTATCTAATGTCGTGAAGAAAGGCAGCGACGACATGGTATGAACTAACATTTCCCCGGTAAATTAATTCCTAAAACCGCGACATTTTTCAGTGGGTCACATTGGAACGAGCCAAGCACGGCATGGTACATTTGAGGTTGACTTGGCTCGCCCTCAGCAAGAATTACAGCGATCTAGACGCTGTAAGTTATTATTAATCCAAAATACTCATCATAAATTACAATAGTACACTAAATAACTGTTATTTAGGCCCTCACAGAAACCCAGCTGCTGCGGAACTCGAATTTACATACAGCCCTCATCACTATATTTTTAGACTCCTGCAAAAATTTACCTGTAAGTGTTATACTCTACGCACTTCATCAAGCACTTGAAACATTCTGTAAACTGTATTAGAAAGCCCGTATGTCGACGAAACCCGATCCGTACGCCGTGCTGAGGGTAGGAAACACCACCCAGCAAACGGAGACAGTCATGCGAACGATCCACCCGGTATGGGAAAAGGGTTTCAGCTTCATGGTGACGAATCCTGCGAACGACACGCTCTCCCTGAGCGTCATGGACGCCAAAACCAACACGGAAATCGGCCAGTTGAATTTCAAAATCAAAACCCTGGCGGACAAACACGACATGGAAATGAAGAAGGAGCCGTTCTCTCTGCTCCGGTCCGGGCCGGACAGCAAAGTGGTCTGGTCCATGCACTTGAGAGTAAGATTCTTCGATATCTTCACTATTACATTCTATTTCTGGATGTTTTATTAGATATTGAAGAAGGCGGAGAAACAGGAAGACTCGAAAGAGTTCCATCGAAGTTCTTCCAACATTTCCAAACGATCACTAGGTAAGGTAACAATTATAAATCACAGATATTTTTAATTGTAAAAATATTGCAGATGCCGTATCGAACGAGAATCAACCGAGCAATGAAAACGTCAACGAATCTACCGAGCCTTCAATAGCACAAGACGAGGATCACATCGAGGAAATCATCGAAGATTCCTCGATATCCAGCCTTAGTAACGTTCCAATCACTGAAAATCCGGATATCCTGTACCATCGAACACCCAGTACAACATCGTAAGTACCTGTAAAGTGGCCCTTTTGTATTTTAATAATTTTTTATGATCTAGTTCTGCTGGAGAAGCTGGTCTAGGTCGCATCCAGCTGACGCTTCGTTACAGCGTGCAAAGGCAGCGTTTGATAGTAGTAGTGCACAAAATTATGTATGTATCTTGTAAAATAAACGATAATTCGTGTGATAATTTCTGAAATATTTTCAGGAATATTCCCTTGAAGGATCCGTCGAGCATCCCAGATCCTTATGTGAAGCTCTATCTGCTGCCGGAGAGGGCTAGAGATACTAAAAGAAAAACTCAGGTGAGTTAAAAAGAATTAAAATTTGGAATTTATTTAATATTGTCTGCTTAATTGTGTGATTTTCAGGTGATTAAGGACAATGTTAATCCGATTTTTGACGAGAGCTTTGAATATGTGATCAGCCAAGGCGAAATATCATCGAAACTTTTGGAAGTTACTGCTTGTACTCAGAAGCAATTGATTTATTCCAGAAGCAACGTTTTGGGACAGGTTAGTATAAAATTGATAAATGATATCGTAGATTTTGATAATTGATAATTTTCTTTTTTTTTCAGGTTATTATCGATCTTGGCAAATTGAATCTGACTCAACCTTACAATTGCTGGTTCGATCTGCAACCCGAAAGGGATTAATTTTGTCAATTTTCGAGTGAAACATGATTTTTTTTTTAAATTACTCTTTTTTAATTCGTCCGCTTGTTAATTTATATTTTATGTATAACGTATTTATTTTACAGAAAAATGTAAATTCTTAACGTAAACTAGAATCTTTTTATATTGCGCTCAGGACTTTTTGTGTTTGCTATTTCGTTTATTTTTGTGTCATATTTTTTGATAAATATTTTTATTATTTTTTTTAATAAATATATAGATTTTTAACATTTTTAATTATTAATCAAACGTGTGATATTCTTAGAAAAAATATTAAACTATATAAGCCAACATTACAATATATTTACAATTATTTCGGCCTTGTTAAAAATTTATATCAAAATGTTCTAAACATATTCTAATATTTTTATGTCTACATACATTCATCTAACATCTATTAAATGTCTATTAAAATTTTAAAATAATAAATATGTTTTATTCTAAATTCCCTCGGCTACAAGTGGCCTCGGTTCGGTTTCTAAAATAATTCGAAAACACTCTCTACTACCACGCATCAATATTATCAGCAAAAATAACTATTGTTAACCGGCGGTTAAATTAAAAAGGTCGCCTTAGCAATTCGCTTTAATTGAATTATCACCAAACTCACGGACGTAATTCAATTCTAATTCTAAAATGCAACGAAAGACATATTCCAATCAAACATTTTCACCACGCGATATTCTCCTGCAATCAATATTTTAATAAAACTACCTTATTAAAGAGGTTTGCGAGATAGCGTGACTCGATTATATAATATCTGATTTGTATTATAATTTCCAATAACTTGTATAAAAGTAAGAGAACTGGGATATTTTATTTATTAGAAATAGAAGTTGTTGCCGTATGTTACAATGTGTAATTATAGCAATATGGAAAATTTAATTCAAATATACAGGGTGTTTTTGGGCTCATTTTAAGAAAAATAGTTTATATGAACCTATGTCCTAAACGTCTTAACTTTTGAGATATAGGGAGATAGTTTTAAGAGAAAAAATCAATTTTTTACTGTCATTTCCATACCACTTTAGATGTTGTTTGTTGTTTGTTTGTTGTTTGTTGATACTTTTATGAAATTTGGTCGACGGCGTTTATGCATATTAAAGAGCATTTTTTTAAATAAAAAACACAGGCCAAATAATTTTTGGGTAAAAGTGGTACGCCACTGCTCCCTCTTGAAATAAAAATTATTTTTGGAGGCCCCGTTCAATTTAGAACAAATTTGATTTCTTGACTTTTTTTCGTACGACTCACCGTTTCGTATAAAAAAATTAAATGCATTTAGGTAATAATAAATTTTAGTTCATATGTTCATATGAAGTTTTTTTTTTTTAATGGGGCCAAGAAACACCCAAAGCAGTATTAGCTTGTTATTAACAAACACCCAGTATACGATTGTTAATTTAATAGTTTATTAGAACTCTTAATATGTGCAAATTTAATTTTTGTATGCTAAAAATAAGATTACTAGTTTCGACAGAAGAGACACATCATCATCAGGTCTATAAACTTCAATTATCACACCGGTATATTTCTGTTATCTATATTTTTTCTATAATAAACAATTTCGCTTCTAATTCCCAAATAAATTCTATTAATAGACACATCGCTCTTCACTTTTAAATTCCGATTACGACAGGTTATGAAACACCTGTTGAATAAAACGCGTACTTAAAAGTACCTACGTTGTATTTATTTATCTAACAAAATTTACAATTCCTTGAACAATTTATTTATTCGACAATTTATTTATATCGCCAATGCGTACAATAACATTATTTTGTGAATGCGCTCACGTGCTAATTCCGAAGCACCGAAAGTGCCAAGTTATATCGATTTTTGGATCCGCATTTCCTAGTGCCCTCGTCCATAACCTGCACTTCTTCATTTAAAAGCGACACAGCGCAACTCCTGCCGCAAACCGGAGTTTAACAACAAAAGTCCAACAGTAAATAAACGCGCCTTTAGCTAGGTATACCGTAATGAACCTATGGAAACGAGGTAATTAGCCTAACGGCGAGTTAAATAAAACTTTTTAGCTCTATTATTTTTTCAACTTTTAATTGCCAGAAGCAGGAAAGTGGAGCAAATAGTTTTTTATTGTTTGTATTGTGTGGTTTTCGTGTGGTCGGTTACTAGGCTGGGAACCGCGTGTGATTCTGGAAGTGGAACACTGAGCAGTTTTGATTGTGTTTCTCGGGTAAGTGGGTATCGGCGGGCCGAGCATAATAACGTGTTGCATATTCACCGGTAACAGAGCATATGTAGCATAATAAAATCTCTTTGACGAAGATATAAACTATTTTTAGTTTGTATATTTTGAAAAGCGATATGAGGTTCAATAACTGTAGTATTAAATGCTGGATAATTGATGGATTATTAAATAATCGGATATTCAACTTTTTTATGTTCTAATAATTCAAGTGCGAGATTGTAATAATTTATATTTTTAATGTTTAATTCAACGCGAAATTGGTTTGATGAGTCATTTAAATTAATTTTAAACGGTCCGGTTTGTAGTATATTGTGTATAAATAGAAAAATTATAGCATAGGAAATTTCAATTTGCGTTAATATTTTTGTTTATCGAGGAAATTAGATATAGTTTAGTTATAATTTGGGAGTCTTATATCCGGGTCGTTTGTGCAAATTTTTGGAATTTTTTAAAATTAATTAGAAACCTTGTTAGATTTAATAAAATTAAATGCGAAAATGATAATTTCGTGCAAGTATTTTTTAAATAACTTCCTCTCTACTCAATTAATCACAAAACAAAATACGCAAAACTCCTTCATTAAAATGTCATATGTGTAGGTCGTTAAAAAAACGGGAAATAGTAAAATTTTAAAATAAATAGAACAAAGTGAAATCAAAGTCGAGAGCCAAGTTATTTAATTAAAAAAATCTTCAAAAGGAGAGGAAAAAATAACATGTAGCAACGCAACTTCTGACATTATCGCCAAATTAGCCTGAACACACTATATGTGCAGGTATAAAAAATTCTTATCACCTAATCCACCCACTTCCCATTCTTTATTAAAAACAATATTTCCTATCTCTCGCACTAAACCGAAACACTACTAAAACTCAATTGATTTGTCATCGGCAGCATTTCTCGTTTCAGATAAATTCCATCAACAACAAATATGCATTTTAAAAAATGAGCTATACCAGCAGCACGGGAGCATTTGAAAATATTTCCATCAAATTCCTCAACAAGGTAAGTTAATCAGAAATTCGAAAATTCCACCCACTACATGAAACTTATTTAATTTTTCAGCTGGTGCTTTATTCCGTAATCTATTTTATCGGGTACTTTAGTTGTTCCATGACATGGATTTTAGTACCTGCTTTGATAGGCACTTTATCAGAACGGTACAGAATCAAGCAAAGGAAAAAGAGGCATATAACCAGAGAGGCAGCTGTTGGTAATGAGAAAGAAGTGATTTTAGAGAATATCGGGGAATTACCGTCTTGGGTAAGCCCATAGTTAGTCAATTTTTCCTCTAAAGCAGCATTGAATTCTGTTGGGTAAAGCCATTATACTTGTAATAAAAATATTCTATAATTGTACGCTTTTAAGTATCTTCCAGATTTATTAGAAATAATTTTATTGCATTATCTTTTTCTCTGCTAGAACGTTGACTTGGAATTAAAAATATACCTTTTGTTCTATAAATTCATCCAAAAAATGCAACTTTTTCTTGTCTACTTTTTAAGTACCTACTTCCATCATTACGATCGTTAATTATAGCAAATAATTAATACAACATAAAAAAATTATAACGAAGCTTTTTTAAACAGACATCTAATTGTAATAACAATTACTCACGAACATTGCCAACGCTTTCCTTAGAAACCCTCATTAATAATGAAGATTGGATAAAATAACATAGCGTATAATTACAAATATTGTTTTAGGTTGTTTTTCCGGACATAGAGCGAGCCGAATGGGTCAACAAAATCGTGAAGCAGTTCTGGCCCTTCGTGAATTTTTACGCGAGAGATTTGGCGAAAAATTACGTGGAAATAAAGCTGAAGAAAAATCTGGAAAAATATAGTCTCAAAGGATTCCATTTCGAACGGATTATCCTGGGCAGTACGGTGAGGATGATTTATTGGAATTAAGCGTTATGTATTTATGAGTTTCCCTTCCAGCCCTGCAGAACAGGCGGAGTCGTGGTGTACGATAATGTATCGAGAGAGGAAGTTATAATGGATGTTGATATATCGTAAGAATTTTATTTTGTTATTGTTCGCTGAACAAAAAAATTCCTCGTTGCAGATACGCCGGTGATTGCGATATAAAATTCCGTCTAAGGGGTTTACTAGGAGGCATAAAGAACTTTCAGGTTCGATAAGAGAATTCAAATAACTAAATAAATAGAGTAAAAAAATTTGATTAACTTTCAGTTATACGGGAAACTTCGCATAGTACTCAAGCCGCTCCTTCGACACTTCCCGCTCGTTGGAGGAGTACAAGTATTCTTCCTCAACAATCCTGAAGTAGAATTCGAATTGGATGGAATCGCTGGCATTTTAGACATACCAGGAATCAAGTAAAAACACACCAGAATTTCAATTAAAATATCGTTTTAATGCTTCAATTTTAGCGAATCTTTAAGAAAATGCGTTTGTGATACTATCGCTTCTTTGATGGTGTTACCAAATAAATTCCCAATCAAAATTTCCAAAGATATCAGCAGCGAACAGTTGAATACACCAAATCCAGCTGTAAGTATATTTATTTTGACAAAAAATCCTAGAGGATTTTACAGACAGATATTTGGGATACCAAAATACCTAACTGAAGCACCAACTAGATTTAGCGCCTTCTTCAAAACATCTTCTGGTACCATACTAAACCGAGATTAAGTTGATGTTCCTCAGCATACTATGTGGAAAGAAAGAAGTAATCTCAGAATCCTTTGGTACCACACTTGTTTCCAAAAAGTTCCTTTACATCTTCAAACTTTACCATCCTTTTACCTTCTTCTCTACCATCAAATGTATGCGATTAACATTGTTTAGGGTGTCCTGAGAGTGCACTGCATAGAAGCCAGAGATCTGCTCAAGAAGGACATCACGTTCACTGGAAAGAGCAAATCTGATCCTTACGCGGTGTTGGTAGTGGGAGACCAGACTTTCAAAAGCGAAACTATACCGTCTGATGTCAATCCGAAATGGGATTACTGGTGTGAGGTAAAGGATCAGCATTGTCTCGATTGCTTCATTATTAATGGATAAGCATATTTTCAGTTTGTAATTTTGGAATCTACTGGGCAGGAATTGGTTATTAGCGTTTGGGACGAGGATCCTACTGAGGATGAGTTTTTGGGGAGGTAAGTTTGTGTTATTCTGGAAGGAAAATGGTTGTGAATTTTGGATTTTTAGAGTGGCTGTGGATATTTCAACGCTTATAAAAGCTGGACTTAGCGATATGGTAATTATGGAATAAAAACAAAACTTATTTGTAATCGAATTAATTCTTTAGTGGTTGGTACTGGAAGATGTGAAACACGGTGATATCCATTTAAGAACATCCTGGTTGAATCTAACTACAGATTACGGCAATTTAAAAGAGGTAATGCTTTTAATAGGGAGTTATAATGTGTTAATAACTGTATTTTAGGCTTTATACGAAAGCCAACAATTGCAGCTATCTCACATGAGCTCGGCGCTGCTAATAGTCTACGTAGACTCAGCTACCAATCTAAGAGTAAGTACTACCCATACAAACTTTTCTTCAACCTCAAATAGAAACAACCACAGTCCTAATGTGAAGCTTTAACCTTCAGCAAGTGAGAGCTTCGACGAAACCGGATCCCTACATCCAGCTGCAGCTGGGCAGGCAGGTGAAGACCACGCACGCGGTCATGCGCACGATACACCCGGTGTGGGAGGACAGCTTCATCTTCATGGTGACCAACCCGGACTCGGAGTACCTCAACTTGAAAATATTCGACAACAAGACGGACGCCGAGCTGAACGACATCAGCTACAACTTGAGCAGCATTTGCGAGAAGGAGAACCTGGAGGTGGAGAAGGAGTCCTTGCGGTTGGAGTCGGGGAGGAGCGAGTGCAGATTGATTATATCGTTGCATTTAAAGGTGGGGTCGTTTGTGAAATACGCGGGGATTTTAGATGTAGTGAGTGAAATTGTTGTAGATATTCCACAATGAGCATTTTGAGGAGTTTTTGGAGAAGCGCCCCTCGTCGAGATATTCATCTTCCAGTATGTGTTTGTTGTTGTTTTTAAATAGTTTTTTTATGTTTTAAAATGACGTTTTATAGGTGAAAATACAATGGAAAAGGACCATTCGGATTCCGAATCGATGTCAAGTGATAGCACAAAATATTCTAGTCATAGCACACGTAGAAGCCATTGCAACCTCAGGTCCAGCGATTCTCTATCGAGGTAACTAGAATTCTTTAATTAACAGTGATAACAAATTTTGCTATTTTCCAGAATTTCTCAAGACTCCTATGGAGACATCACTCTTACCATGAGGTACAGCTTGCAAAGGCAAAGACTGATAGTTGTTGTTCATAGAGTCAGGTATTTTAACACATTTTATAACCAGGTTATTTATAAACCAAATTTCGATTTTCAGTAACCTATGCTTCGAAGATCCTACAGAAGACAAGGACATTTACGTGAAACTCTATTTACTGCCAGAGAGATGCAAGGCAACGAAGCGTAAAACAAAGGTTATTGTGAATTGTTTTGAAATATTAATCTAAACAATCAAATTGCAGGTTATCAAAAATGTACGCGAACCGATTTTCGACAAACGATTCGAGTTTCTGGTTTCACAAGACGAGCTGAACAGTAAAAGGCTCGAAATATCCGTTATAGAAGAAAAAGTGATTAAAAATGAAATTTTAGGACAAGTATTTTGCATCAACTTTGAACTACTCGTATACTAAATTATTATTTTTCAGTTAATAATCGAACTACGAAACATCAGCCTCCCCTATTCCGGAAGCTTCGAACTAACCGCCAGAATCAAACGGGACTAACACCTCCATTACAAACAATATTCCACAGTATTGATAAGGTTCTTAATGTAAAAATAAAGCTCAAAATTAAAAACGTCTCGTCAGTTAAGAAATATATTTATTAACGTTAACATTTTAATCTTCCTTCTTATTTTCGACCTTACCTCCTCTGATACGACCGGTCCTACGCGCAGCAATAAGACCGACCTTACGACCAGCGGACGTTCCTCTCTTAACGGTGGAGGCCTTACCAATGTGTTGATGGTTACCACCTCCGTGAGGATGCTCGACGGGGTTCATGGCAACACCACGCACCTTCGGCCAGCAGTTACGCTTCACCTTGTACTTGTGGTAGGCGCGACCTGCCTTCAGGATGGGCTTGTCGATACGACCACCTCCGGCAACGATACCTATAAACACAATACGATTTATAATTGGGAATTAGAAGCGAACGAGGGATCGTTAGGAGTGGATTTTAGTCAGAAAAAGCCTCTAGAAAAGTGATCTTCATTTCGTTATATCAGGGTCTAGAATTCATCATTTCGTTTCGCTTATACGCAGAGTAAAACAAGCATCAAATACTCACCGACCATAGCTCTGTTGTTGCTCGGGATAACTTTCTTGGCTCCCGATGGCAATTTAACCCTAGTTTTCTTTGTGTCGTGATTGTGGGCAATCACGGTGGCGTAGTTACCGGAAGCTCGAGCCAATCGGCCACGGTCACCAGTTTTTTCTTCCAAATTACAGACGATTGTACCTTCGGGCATAGTTCCTACAGGCAACACATTTCCTAAAACACACGAAATATTAATAGAAAAATTCACCACAAGGCAACTTCGAAGTAAAATAAACGTAAACTCAGAAAAAGCCTCTAGTTAAGACATCATACTCGCTCAGAAAGTAGGTAAATATTCAGAAATCATCATTAAAAACACTCTTTAATAGCTCACTTATTCCCAAAAATAAACTCACCAATTTGGAGGTTAGCTTTCTTTCCACAGTACAAAAATTGCCCTGTGTACATTCCCTCGGGAGCAATGAATATTTCCTTCCTAGTTTGGAACTTGTAGGGGTCCCTGAAGTGCACCAGAGCCAAGGGGGCGCCGCGACCGGGGTCGTGGATGATGTCTTTCACGACACCCTTGATGTACCCATGCCTTTCGGAGAAATCTAAGTAACGGAGCTTGGGTGCCCCTTTCCTCCTCTTAGTGTGGGATTTGAATACGGATCCCGCACCTTTACGTTGCGCTCGAATAACACGACCCATTGTAGTCTATCCTGAAACGAAAATATGTCAGTAACCTCACTTTATGCACAAACTCGGGAAAAAGTCTTCGTACACTTAAAAATACTTATTAGAACATGTAGGTTAAACTAATAAGAATGTTTTGGAATTAAATGAAGTTGTGGATGATGTGGAATTATAAAGATTTTATTAAAAATTGAGAAAACTGAAAAACAACATCAAAATCACATACCTACGTCAAAGTGAAAGGCACGTTGACAAGTTTCTTCTACCTACAATACGTCAAATATGTCATATTTTTATGTCTGTAAAATAATGAATTTGATGTAATTAACAATTTAGTTAATACATAAGACGATTATTTATAAACTTTTAAAATAAATTAAGCAGTAAATATGACTAAATAAGTAATTTGTATTAACGTGAAATTAACATCTGGCAACATCGCAATTCAGTGATTCTTCATTTTTAAAATCCGCTCATTCGGTTATTCAGCTAGGAAAAACCACCTCAATTTTAAACAAAAATGTTGTCATCATAGACAATTTAAATTTGTGTTTGTGTTCGTTTTAAAATATTTGTGAAATAAAATGTTTAACAATATACAAAATTTAATACCCCGAAATACCTTTAATATTGTAAGATTTGGTTCGAGTGCTACTAAGAAAAAGGATAGTAAGAAACCACCTAAAGAGGAAAAAAAACCGCCGAATATGAAAACGTTTCAAATCTACCGGTACGACCCGGAAGGTAAATCGAAGAAACCAACGATGAAATCGTACACCATCGATCTCAACGAGTAAAGCGCCTCCGAAACCAAATAATAAACCAAAATTACAACATTTTCATTCCAGCTGTCGGCCGACAATTCTCGACGCGCTGATGAAAATCAAAACCGAACAAGATTCGAGCCTGAGCTTCAGGAAATCTTGCAGAGAAGGAATTTGTGGTTCTTGTGGAATGAACATAGATGGATTGAATGCGCTAGCCTGCACCAGGTAAAACAATTTAGCGTGTTTCGTTGTGGCCGGGGAAACCCCACTAATATGTTCAAAAAAATGTATGCGGGTTATTCCGTTTAATTCCAGAAAAATTCAAGCCGGAGGAAAGACCAAAATCTACCCGTTACCTCACATGTACGTCATTAAAGATCTAATCGTAGACTTCACTCATTTCCTCAAACAACACGACAGGATCAAACCGTTCCTCATCAGAGACGAGGAGCCCATAAAAAACAAGCAATTCGTGCAAAGCATTAAAGACAGAGACGACCAGGTAATCAATCATCTACACTTTACACCTCAACTTTGCTAAAAACACCACAAATAAATTATAACAGATAGGCCTGGCTGAGTGCATCCTCTGCGCGTGCTGCTCTACCTCCTGCCCGGAGTACTGGTGGCACGGGCACAGCAAGGCCCCCGACGATTTCCTGGGGCCCGCGGCCCTGCTGAACGCCTACCGTTGGGTCACGGATTCCAGAGACCGCGCCACCGACGCCAGATTGAAAGAGCTGAAGAATTATTACAGCTTGTACAGGTGCCATCAGATAAACAACTGTTCAACGTGTTGTCCAAAGGTAACTGGTTCAAGTAACGCTTGGTTGGTGTATAAATGAGTTTTTTTCTCTTTAGAGATTGATACCTGGAAGGGCTATAGCTAAATTGAGGTTGTTGGTGGGAGATATGGTTGGTAAGAAAGTGCCGGATTTGCACGGAGTCGCTGTTTCGGACCCGTTGAAGGCGTGCGGCAAAAAAGTCCGGAAATCTTAATATTTCGTATTATAATTAAAAATTCGCCATTCCATACAACATGAATTTAAAGCGACTCGAAACATGATTTTTACTAAAGATTTATTAGCATTGTTATTCATTACATATACACTTCCATTTAAAAAATAAAATGATTGTTTTTGTCAAATCGTTATTGTGGATTTCTTACATCTTATGTCCTCCATACATCCCAATTTATTCGATTATAAAAAAAATAGGTGATGCAATTTTCTACGACCCTTTGTAGATCATTAATTTACACTCCCTTTTTTGCCTAACGTGGAAGTAAACTATTTTTCTTTATCCACATTTATGCCTTCAAGAGTGTCATCCCTTGTATAGTCCTTAAGGACTTCCTGGAACGTGCATTCGAGGTTCAGGTATTTGTTAAACGCGCACCAATCAATCATCCTGCCCGCTTTTGTAGGCGGCTCCGAAACCCACCACAATTCGTACTAAAAATAATTATAATCAAATTAAATGTAAGTATTACGTAATTAAAAACCCTACCCTTATATTCGTGGGTAGAAAATCGGTGGGAGGACAACGGCCCGCTTCCAAAAACTTGATTATATCAGTGTAAATGATGTTACCATTGCCGTCTTTTTCGGCGCTACAACACACAAAAACTAGGCAAAAGGACTTAATTTTTCATCGAAAACAACTTACATGTCTAAAATTCTTTCGAGTACCAAAATATCCAGAGGCAATCTGCAAGCTTTCATCACCGTAAGTGCGTCATTTCGGCTCAAAACTCCGCATCTGTAGGTATCAGCGTGGTGGAAATATTCACCTAAGCGATCCAATTCGTCGTACAGTTTTTTCTTTAATTCCGTTAGGCAATACGCTCTAAAATCCAAAATTGCTCTTACTTTTTTATTGCACTTACTCTATTATAGTTACCTCAATGTATTCCTTTCGTATCTGTCTTTGTGACATACCCCCGAGAAGGCTCTAGCTATAGTTATCATCTCGTGTTCGGTAAACTCCGGGCCCATTAATGGACAGAGTACAGACCTTAAAACAAACTTTCTACATCTCGTTTAAATATAAATGGAATTATATACACCTTAATTTTTCATAAGGAATTAGCGAAGTGTTATCTTTCGGCATGTTTGCGGCGATGAAATCTTTATAAATGGGCCTCAGCTTCTCTCTGACGTTGTCCATTATCAGTTTCACGTTGGATTTGGGATATTTATTGGAGTATCTCTCCATGTATCTCAAGCAATACTCGTCAGCGTCGATTAGAATAAACTCCCAAGTGAATATTAACACTGTAGCACCCACAAACATTCTTTCAGACGTCAATTTCAACGGCGGTTCGCTGGAGAAGTACTTTTGATTCGGCAACAGTACTGTGGTTTTCTTCAAAAAACAAGACTTTGGGAAACCTGTAAGTGCATTGGTATAAACTAGAAGTTAAATAGTAGTAAGTAGTAAGTACCCGAATGTTTGGACGGTACTTCAAAAATAGCTATAGTATCATCACACAAGTACACGAAGATTATGAAGGTCCTTCGGCAGTGTTCCGGATTATCAGACTTCATTTTAGCCTTGAATCTCAAGCAATGGCTGTCGAAACCTTTCCTACAAGCAATAACTAAATTGTTAAGAAAATGATCCAGTAAGATGCATTTATTGCTTATTCGTACTTGTCGTACTCCAGCATTTTCTTGAAGTCTTTCAGGGGCGCTTTGGGTACGACCGATTTGCAATTCTGCGCCGAATCTTCGTGACTGCCCCATCCGTTCCAAGGCGGCAACGTTCTAATCTTGAATTTCTCTTCTTTCTTTACATATGGTATGGCTATGGGAGTGAACTCGCTTATGCCGTATTTCTTGGCGTAGTACTCTTTGGTGAATTGGTCGCAATCCACCAACAGCACCTGTCTACCATACACGTTCATAATAGCACCTTACAAAGATAACATTAGATTTTTAATTTAGAGTGAAAGTTTATTTATTTTACCGATGCTTAAATCGGTCTCGCAATAATAAGCGACGTTCTCTCTGCCGCAGTCCAAGCTGTCCAGTATGTACCTCTTGGTGCCCAAGGAATTGCCCAGCACGTTGAGTATGGTCTCCGGGCAATCGAATCCAGGCGGCGGAAGATCCTTGTTGAGTTTAGCGAGTTTGGATCGCTTCAAAAACAGGAATCCCTTCTCGTGACAATCCCCTTCCAGCGGCATCTCCTGAATCTCGATGGTATCGTCCGCTAAATACAAGCGCACCTCCATGATGTGCAGGTACCCGTAGGGCGCTTTCCGATCGTCCCAGTACCCTTTGAACTTCAATATCTGAAAATCTCATTGATCAAGACGCCCTAATAAGATTGCTAGAGAATCCGTACTTTCTTATCGTTCTGTATGAACTTGGCGAATCTGGGCGTCGGCGTCCGCTTGGGCTTCTTGGGCTGCATGGACTTGGTCTCCTTGTCCCTGATGTCGAGAAATGGATCGTCGGGCATGGGGATGGGATCGGGCACCGGAATGCCGCATCTGTTGAGGAAAGTGCGCGTGAACCGGTCGCAGTCGACGATCTTGAACACCTTGCCGTAGAACTCCACCTCGTTGCCGATGTTGAAGTCCAATATGTCGTAGAAATTGTCGTCCATCAGCGGCGGGAAGCGGATCTTCTGTCTACCAATCACGATACCTGCATCACTTTACTTTTAGATTCCTACTTAGTGGAGCGTTTGGTGAAGAAGTACCTTGCGTACAACCGCTGTTTACAATGTGCGGTTCCACCACTTTGATAGTACCATCTTCGAGGTAAAAGTATATTTTAACTCTTCTCATTAGAAACGGCTGGCCTCGTACTTCTTGTAGCGTTTCGTTGAAATACGCATCGAACACTAATATCTGGAAATTATTTTTCTACAATAAATGCACCAAAAATGATCTAGGTACTAACCTTCTTATCGAACGCTACCCAAGCGGGTATCTCGATGGTTTCCCCTCTTGGATAAATAGAAGGGTACTTATCGGAAAGGGGGCCCAGCATGTTGGGCTTCACTCGTTCTCTCAATCCAGGATTTCCCGGTCCCAAGTAGTCTAATTGAGGGTGTAGACGAAAGTTGGTTCTACCGATCTGTGAATAGGGGGTCTACAATTTGATCGCTCCTGTACCATTATTTAATACTTACGTCTTTGTTGAAGGTATAGCCGGGTAGAAAGGGCATGTTGGGGCACTTGGCGGGGCACTTGGTGGACATTTTTAATGGATTTTACTTTCGATAGAGCTCGTAACGTAGAAGAAATGCGGAAAAAATGTTGAGGAAAATCGTTTTGTCGATTGGGATTATCGGTTTCTACGGTGATTACTTCTGTTGTCAAAATAATTCGAGGATAATAGAGCAGGAGCTGGCGTGTAAATCAAGTTGTATACTCTTCGTTAATGGTAATAAAAAATATTGAAAATGTAGGTAGATATTTCGTAGGAGTTAAAGCAGGATATTGAAGAGTAAGTGATTAAGTTTTATTTGATTTTCATCAACCAGCAGGTGTGTTAGATAAATATTTGTATTATTGTAATATTTATAGGTAGTTTAAGCCCCAATTTTTAATTAATTACACCATTTGGTTATTTATTTACCGATTCTACATTACTGGTACGTTATGGCGAAACGACCAGTTTAATTTGTGTTGTTGTTTTAAAATTAATAATGGGACAATAAAATTGTGTGTAATAATCCTTCATAAATTTCATAATCTACAAATATAGAACCTGGCATAAATCTAAATCTAAACCAAACAAGATAATAGTTAAACTAATATTGGTAAAGCAGATAAAATAAAAAGAAGTACAATTTTTAAAACGCTTCCACATCGCTTTCCGGTTGGAATGTGTAGACATTAAAAATTACTGAGGAATTAATTAAGATTGCTTTAAAATTCTGAATCCTTTCACAATTTCTTTTGAGCTTTTCTTTGATTTCCTTTAATCTTCTTTGTTTCGTATACAAAGATGTTAAGAATTTTAAACCCTACCGAATCCTACTGTAATGCATTATAGAAATAACATTTTGGTTTAAAGTTCAATAGCCTTCGTATTGTTATGTGCACTGTGGTAAGAAAGTAAAAATAAAACTAAATAAAAATATGCAAAATTTCCTGGCAGCAAAACGAAATCATTAGTAGTCAGATAGCACTAAGTCTAATTATCCTGCGCAGATTTCAGTTAGTAATATTTTTTATGTGCGTTTTTTTAGCTAGTCCGGTCATTTATCGCTAGTATAATCAGTAAATAGCCTCCCAAACTCCTATAACTTGTTTTACGAAGCCTGGTGAACAAATACCTTCTTAAACCTGTTCCAAGTCTAGTATAATAAATACCATGTTGAAACAGGTAAGAGTTTTAGTAAAAAAGTACATTACAAATACATTAAAAATACATTATAGGCCTTTAACTATTCCCTATACTTTCCCTACACGCGTATTTCCTTATTTCCCTTCCCGAAGAGTTTCCCTCAAGCTTGCGTATTCTCAATTCTGGGTCGACGACACTAAAATATCGACTGCCTGGTCTATATAGTCTATAGGATAGGATTTTCGTTTTAGATTTTATTTAGTATCTCGTCGACTTCGGTTCGCGACCCAACGCTTTTGTGCTTGTGTAATAGCTAAATATGCTGGTGCTTCACGCATTGTTGTCATTGAATAACAAACGGTACCAAGACGACCACGTGGAGAGCGGATTCCTTATGTTTTCCACCGGATTTTAGTTCCCGTGCGTCCGCGTAAATGCGATTGTTATGCAAAAAAATAGCGCTCGAGCGATGAAATGTTGTAGAGCGACTGGTCAGTAATTATTGGTTGTAATTCGTGTCCTAAGAGAAGGTTAAAACTGTTTGTTTTTTGTGAATATAGATGTTTGCAACAATTTGATATTTTCGAAATAACGAGGCTAATATAACAGGTAATTGTATGGTAAATTATGTAATTATGAATTGAAGAGGTTCGATAAATATTTACCTATTATTGATAGTGTTGTTTATGATTTGATAATACTGCAGATTGTAATAAATTCACTTTCGTTTATATAATTGTGGGATATAAATAACTTATTTATATTACTCCTCTTAAAACTAGTAAATGTTTTTATACAATTTTTTCAATTGCTTATTCATAAATAAACTTCATTTTAAATATTCTCATCATGAATCGAAGAGTATGATGCGCAGAAAGACACAGTTATAGCAAAATAATTTATCTTTTAATTTAAAGAAAATGTGTGGGTTTTGGCAAAATAAAATTTGAATTAATTGCTTTCTTCCATTAACTACTATTTCCTGGACTAGCATAGAGTGTGTTTTTTGTAATTTTTGCGAGTTGCGAAGGCGAGTTAATTTCATAACAGGCGCGGTTGAAATTCAAGGTTCTCCATTTAGCGCCAGCACGACTGGAACTAGATATCAATCAATTCCATGCTATATCATTCCGGCAATATCAATGAATTATTTACGTTTTGGGTCCGAGTATTCGCATGGGGGATTACAAAATCATTTTTAGAAGATTTGGTATTTTTATTTGTTTTTTCGTTTAGTTTATTGCATAAAAATTACTACTAATAGAAGAGTTCTAAATAATTTATTGCTTATCAAAAAATGTTGGGTAATTTGGAATTATGAGATGTATCTACTTGAAAAAAGTAACAAGCTGTCCTGATAAAGTTTGGTATTAATAATTCATAAAGATTCCAATTGTTTTATTTACATATACATACATAAGTCCAATTGCGATCATTTTTTGTTTTATTTAGTGTTTGGAAAAAATATAAAGTAAGTTTCGTTTGAAATAAAATTCGTGTTTATTCAATTTTTATCGTTATTTCACGTAATGTAATCTATTGTGTGCGAGTAAATATGTTGTGTATTTGTTACCTTCTCTTATCAACATTACAGTACATTTAAAAAGTTGTTTTACGTGTATATTTATTGCAGCGCAATATTTATTTACAACAAATGATTAAACTGCAATTTATCTTGATAGGCAATATTAATAATAGAAAATATCGATGATAGAACATCATTATATTTGGATATACACTTTTTTATTACACCAGTGGCGGAGGTGTTAAGAAGCCAACTTCCCCTAATTTTCGTCACTGGAAAAATTCAAATTTTTAGATATTTACTTTTTACTCTTAGTACCTATCTAAAGTGACTTGTTTCTTCAACAAAATATTTGTTAATTAGCCATACCTCTAATCTAAGTAATAGAGCTTTTTAACACCTTGTATAAACGAGTAGAATAAATTATTCCATCCAAGTTATTTGAATAAATATTCACTATCATTCAAATTTGCCTATAACACCTATGCATAAATAATCTAAAAAAATTATCAGCACACGATTATGCTTATCGATACCGTTAATTTTGTAACATTTACCACAGTACTTTCAGTATTAACACAAGCCGTATTCTTGCAACTACTAAAAACCCCCATAATCACACTCCTAATAATCAGTTTTCCTAGTTTATCATTCCCCAAAGACACGCGCTACTGCATAAAACTCGCGAAAATCAATACATCACTCCCAATTTAACAAACAACTTTGCCAAACATATTTTTATCGCATTCCTTCCCAGTTTTATGGGCGTCGCCCTAATAGCGCATTTAACTAACTATAACCCCATCGAATTTGACCCGAACACATTTGAACTCTCTGCCCACGTCTAATCATGGCTGTTTTTAAGGAACATGGACAGTTCCAATGCGGAACCAGAGCTGTCGAGCTTCGATAGCGAAGTGGACGAGAAGCAGGAAAAAAAGAAAATGAACATGAAAACCGTCGCGACGATTTTCGCCAAACGAGTGAGTTTTATTAATTTTATCGCCTTTTCCAACGGCTATTCAATCAGACAGCTGCGTTTGGGTTTTATTACGTTCATTTATATCTATTCAAACACTATATCGGTTAGATTTAAGATAGTTAGTAGAGAAATAATAGTACTATACAATCACATATTTTCGAATGCAACTTGGTTTGTTTCAGGCGGCCTTATTCTACCTGGGATACCTGATATGTTATTTCAGCTTCTCCGTAACGCTGCCTTTAATAGCTATTTGTACTTTGGTGTGGTTCGAGATGCAAAATGCGAATAAACACAACAAAATATCGAGCAAATCGAAGGCGAGTTCGTTAACGAAGAGGGACTTGTTGAAAGTGGTGGATGAACTACCATCTTGGGTGAGTTTTGAGCATATTGCGCTTTGACTTCGGCTAATTTTGGGGTATTTTTAGGTGACTTTTCCGGACAGGGAACGAGCTGAATGGCTAAACGAGGTATAAAATGCATTATGATTAATGGAAGATGGTGTGTAAATGATTTGTTCTTCAGATTATCGCTCAATTATGGCCCAGCCTATGCATTTACATAGTGAAACTGTGCAGGACGAAGTTGCAGGCGAAAATTAAGAAAAAATTCGAAGGTTTCGGATTTGGTGATATCGATTTCGGGAAAAAAGTAAGCGAAGAAATCGATTATTACAGGCTAATGTTATCAAACGTGATTTTTAGCCTCCGAAAATCGATGGCGTTAAAGTTTACAACAGGACCATTACTAAAGATTCGATTATCATCGATTTCGATATTTAGTGAGTATGAGATACATTTATTCTATTATAGTCTGTTCACAAATTCTCCTGATAGCGAACGTAGTATAACATAATTACTAACGTTTCTATTTAATAATAATTTTTAGCTACGACGGTGATTGTAAAATCGATTTCTCGGTGTCCGGAACGCAAATCGGGTGCATAAAGGACTTCCAAGTAATTATTCTCATTTGGCTACCCCTAAATCGCGAATTTTACGGAACTTGTTTCAGTTAGGAGCAGAATTGAGATTGGTTCTCAAGCCGCTGATGATTAAAACACCGATTATCGGGGGCATACAGCTCTTCTTCCTCAACACCCCCGACATAAATTTCGAATTGGAAGGTATCTCGGGAATCCCCGGATTCAGGTAGGCAACCGCCAATTAGCCCAATCGAAGTCATACCCATTGAAATTCATCTTCTAGCTATTTCATTCGGCAAAAAATCGAGGAGAGGATCAAGAAGAAACTGGTGTTTCCCAATAAGATTACCAAGAGGTTCTCGAAATCCGTAGAGGCTGTGGAATTGAAGGCTTTAGAACCAGCTGTATGTATTCATTTTCACAAGTAATTATGTAATTTACAGGGTGTAATTTGCAGGGCGTTCTTAGGGTTCACGTATTTGAAGCTAAAGATTTAGAACGAAAGGATGTCACCGGAAAATCCGATCCTTACGTGGTACTAACAGTGGGAGCCCAAGAATGCAAAACTCCTGTTATTAAAAGGGAGCTCAATCCAAAATGGGATTACTGGTGTGAAGTAGGTCATTGATAAATACTAGCCCCTGTAGATTAATACACTTTTTAATTTCCAGTTCGTGATTTTGGATCCTTTGGGGCAACATTTGCATTTTAAAATGTTCGATCAAGACGATTTAAACGAGGACGATTTTATGGGGAGGTGAGCGCGTTAATAACGAATTTATAAATTGTATATTGCAATTTTATCTGTTTCAGTGGTATTGTAGAAATCCACAACGTTATAAAAGACGGGGAAAACGATAAATGGTTCAACTTAGACAACGCTAAACACGGCAAGATTCATTTCAGGTTCTTCTGGCTCGGCCTATCACCTGACGTAGATGCCTTAAATGCGGTAAAAAAAATTTCACCACTAATGAATCACCCTGTATACGCAAATTGCATTCTTGCAGGCATCGCAAGAAACGAAGTTACTAAAAGTAGCGAATATTAGTACAGCACTTCTCACCATCTACCTGGACACAGCGCAAAATTTACAAGTACAAACTACAAGTCTTATAGCAACATTCGCATTGTAAAAATGCATCTGTTACAGAGGGTGAAATCTAAAAAGCCGGATCCCTATGCGGTGCTGACGGTGGGCAAGCTGCAGCAAAAGAGCAAGGTGAAGAAGCACACGTGCGACCCGATGTGGGAGCAGGGCTTCTCCATGCTGGTGGCGGATCCGGAGAACGATTCCCTCAATCTTTCCATTCTGGATAAGGGCAGCGACGCGAAATTGGGGCACTTGAATTACCCGTTGAAAGATTTGTTCGAAACGATCGATTTGCAAATCAGTAAAGAGGAATTCTCGCTGGGGAATCCCACGGAAAAGATTTACCTTTCGCTGCAATTAAGGGTAAGATTGTGGGTATTAATAGTAATTTTTTATAATTATAATTTGTGGTTTTTTAATGTAGATTTTGACGAATGATAATTTCGAAATTGACGATAGTGAGACTGAATCTGACAACGAACCGGCGGATAATCTATCCAGGCATCAGTCTACAAGGTCTTCTTCTTCACGATTCCATAGACAAAGTAAGATATCGAAGATTTATGATGATAATATTGTGTATAATTTTATCCACATTTTCGAAACTATGCGTTCCGGAAACTTCTTTTTTGTTTGATTCCGTAGTGAATTTTCTATGTTTCCATTGTAGATAATTTGCTAGTTTCTTCCTTATTTAGAGTTTTTATAAGGCTTATCCAGAAGTCGACTTACTTTACAATTTTGTTAATATCTCCTGAACTAATCAACGTAGAATCTTCATTTTTGTTTCCGTTTGTAGAAGAAACTTCACTCTTTTATAATCTTCAAACACATTTTCCCCAAATGCTATATTTAATGGTACATTCCGAATTTTCGCGCTTCTAATATTTAACAAATTTATGCCACATGAGAAATCTAATTTCACCAAATTTGAACCTAAAACCTTCCAGTATCTACCTCAAGCAGCGCGAGCCACACTCCGCCGAAATCTCCTTCCACGCCCACGAAAAGTGCCCCCACGCCGGACCTAGAAAATGAGGTACCCGCGAGGAAATCGTCAGTCCGCTCGAATAATTCAGCGCCAGTAAGAAGCCCTAGTTTCAAAGAGTAAGTACCGAACACACCCTTAAAACACCCCTTAAATGGACTTGTTTTTTAGAAAAACCGAACTGGGCCAGATGGAAGTAACCTTACACTACAGCGCCCCCAGGCAAAAATTAATAGTAACCGTCCACAGGCTTTCGTGAGTAGTTTTAAACACTCACTAGCTGCTTTAATAATGCAAATTCTTCTACAGGAATATACCCTTAAGAGACCCGAATAACATACCGGATCCTTACGTGAAACTCAAGCTAACAGCCCCAGGTGCTAATAAAATTAAAAACAAAACAAAAGTGAGTAATTTAGATATTTACTACTAATTGGAGATTTTATGATGGTTATTTTAATACGTAAAATTTTTGATAATGTAGTGCGACGGAAAATATAGCGAGATGATGAGTTTGTATCGGTTAGCAACGAAAATACCGGTGTTGTGGTCGTGGTTGAGGATGCCACAGCAACAGGTAAGGCCTCGTGCAGGGAAATGTCGCTTTCGGGAGTCGTTAATGTGGCATAAAGGTGGTGGTGAAACAACGATTAGCTGCAGTAAATGTTCTGTGACCGTCTAAAATGGGGTTAACATCGTAGCGATGCGATATACGTTGAAATAGTTATTTTTCTAGGTTATTATGGATAATTGCGATCCGGTGTTCGAAGAAACTTTCGAGTACCTCGTCTCCAATTCCGATCTTCCGAACAACAAGCTGGTTTTGACGGTGAAGAGCAAGAAGATGTTCCATTCGTATATCGTAGGACAAGTGAGTAATTCGCGTGAAATTATATACTTGCATTGCATTATTATTTTCGTGCAGGTAATTATAAATTTGAAGTACTTCGAACGGATCAACGAACCCTACCGCGAATGGTACGATCTAGCGCAAGCCGAAGATTCCGACTAGCATTGCCTGAATTGCGCTATTTGCTAAATGTACTCGCGCAATTGCCTTATTTTTATACGCAAAAATCGTTCACCTATATTCAAAACGTTTATGTATTTAGAAGTAAATATATGTATAACATTTCTTGTTAAAACACGTCTTTATTACTTCCAAATACTCAGGTATACATAAAAAAAATACAGTGATGAAGAAGACACAATACAAACACGATTAAATTAAATAAAAGTGAGCTTAGTTCTGGTTTGGTTCACCAACCAAACGTTCAAAGTCTCGTACTCCTCGATGCAGGCGTCCACCTGATCGGGATTGTACCCTTTGCTCGCGCACTTCTCGAGCGCGCTCGACACCATCACGCTCTTCCCGTCGCCGGCCAGTTCGCTCACGATCGCGAATATCTTATCGTTGACGTTGGGCGGCCGTTGTCCTTGGTTCTCGAACGTCTGCGTCAGCGAATCCTTGCTCATCTCCATCAGCCTGATGGCCTCGTTCACGTCGTCCTTCACCACCACGTCGGAGAGCCTCAGGCGGGCCAAGGCGGTGGACAAACGCAGGATACCGAGGAGGTTTCTCGCCGACGTGAACGTCATGTCTTTGGAATTCCTCGCGACTTTTCGCAGTTCCACGTAAGCCGCTGCAAGAAACGTTGTTATTAGGTTATCAACAGTTCGATATACATCTACTTACCGACGATAAAATCTGTTAAATCCTCCGGTATAACCGGATCTTTCAGCTTGCACATGGCTATGTACTTCCTCATGACCTTCATGTCGAGGGCCTCGACCTCCATGGGGGGCTGTTTGCTGTGCCTGTGCACGTAGGTGATGTGCTGGGCCAGCTTCAGGTCGTTGTCCCGATTCGCTTTGTCCTGGATGAGCCAGAGTAGATCGAAACGCGAGAGCAGTGCGGCGGGTAGCTGGATATTCTGCACTATGGACCTTTTGGGGTTGTAACGACCGTAAGCCGGATTAGCGGCTGCTAGAATCGACACCCTGGCGTTTAAGGTTGTTAATATACCGGCCTAAAAACGTAGGAAAATTATCATTATTAGAAGAAACGTTTGTTTGCGTGTGTCTTACTTTGGCTATACTAATGGTTTGTTGTTCCATGACTTCGTGAATGGCTGTTCGATCTTCATCGGCCATTTTATCGAACTCGTCAATGCAGCAAACTCCTTGATCAGCCAACACTAGTGCTCCTCCTTCCAGCATCATTTCGCCGGTCATCGGATCTTTCATAACCGATGCAGTCAAACCTACTCCGGAGGAACCTCTTCCCGTGGTGTACTGGCCTTAAAAACGAACGACATTCTTAAAACACCGGGAATTTTTAAGTAAGTTAAGCTTACTTCTCAGCGCTAATCTGTTGATGTAGCCCAACATTTGCGATTTGGCAACACCGGGATCGCCCATTAGGCATATGTTGATGTTGCCGCGGATTTTCATCCCGTCGGGTTTCTTGTCTACGCCTCCTACTAGTAACAGGAGCAGAGCCTTCTTAACGTCGATGTGTCCGTAGATTTCGGGCGCCAGCGACATGGCCAGCTTCGTGTAAAAATCGTCTTCAGTCAAAGTCGCTAGCTCTTCGGGAGTGAGGTGATCAGACGCGTCTGAATCCATTTTGTTGAGGCATATCAATTTCTAAAACAGAAAACATTTTTAACCGGTTTCTAGATGGTACTGTTTAGTAATCTTACGTGAGCTTCTAGGTAAGTTTCGGGCAAAGCACCGCCGATTATCTGCCTGTAGCCTTGCTTTATCAGCGGTAAAAATACACCGGTTACCGCTATGTGGTCTCCGGGAAGAGCTTGTCTGGTAACTTCGCCTCGGCAGAATATTGTTAGAGTTCGAGGAATGTGTCCGACTGGTACTTGGTCGCTCTAAACAGATTTCAAGTTACTCAAACAGTTTAAAATAAAATAAGAGCTCAAAACTAACTTGTTCCTGTATTTTAATCTCTTGGAACTTAACGAACTTGGATCCTCTGGTCTGCAGGTAGAGCCTACCGCCCGATTTGTTGGTCTTGCAATCCTCGCTTTCGCACATCACGATCGGCATGAAATTCAGGCCGGTGACGGGCTGGTAGGTCTCGGCCCCGCATTGATCGCAAGTGTAAGTAGCCACTCGCATCATTGGCTTCACTTCCGTGCAACGAGTCACGATTCCTCGTACTGTGACCAGCGTTCCGAGGTGCTCGGCTTTGATGTCTCTGATCGGCATCGGTTTGTTCGTGGTTTGATTTTGAAAGTAAATTTCGCTGAAAATTTAACGGGTAGGTTATTAAGATTGCTGCAAGTGTAGGGAACGTAGAATGATATTAAGCACAGTCTATTTCAAAATACTTTATTTCTAAATACTTCACATTTATTATCACAATTCATTAAAATAAATTAGCTAAGTGTTTAATCTTAGTTAGTAACGTTCCTACGTTTCTTTCTATGTTAACCGCCAACGAGAGTACTAGAATGGTGGAATTCCTCTTGTACCATTCCTTGTTGTAGGCCAAATGAGTACTCCAGCTCTCGTCCAAGTATTGTTTGTAGAACAAACTCATTTCGTCGGCTGTAAGTTGGGTTTTGTTGAGGTTTTTGAGGGCTGCTTGGATGTACTTGGCCTTTTCGTTCGAAAATTTCTTGTTGTGGTCGATCCAGAAGGCGTTGTTCCATTGCTGGGTGGCATCTTGCAGGTGTCTCAATCTAGCTTGCAGGGGAGTTTCATTTTCTAGTTTGTTTCTTAATATCGGTCGGAGGTTGGATACTTCGTGAGGAGGGCCGATTACTTCGACGTTATCTTGCTCGCGTATCACCACTACGGGGGTTTCTAGATGCTTATCCAGCAGGAATATAGCACCGCTTTTCGATCGCGATAGATTAGGGAGCTGTTTTAATTTGGTGCACTGGCGAACTTGATTCATTATATAACAATTAAGTTTGATTCATTTTCACGTTAAACAACACTAATCTGACTGACAGTTTCCCTCTAAATAGTTTGAGGTTAGTTACATAATTCCGTCAATGTCAATGTCAAAGAAACCGAGCCAGAACGTAACCGCACAAACAGCTACTTTTTAAAAAATCCAGTATATTATGTTTATAGATGAAAAAATACTTACAAACGTCGCATTAGCTCAGGAGGAAACTTATTCCTGGCTTCTCGGTGCTCGTTCGGTTGCGTCAGTCTGTTTTCCATCATCAGTCGATGTTCAATGTAGAGATCCAAAGCGTCCTTAGCCGTGACGTCTTTTTGTACAAACGTTGGTAAAAGTTCGTGAACAATATCGGCGAGTAATGTGTTGTAGCGCCTGGCGTTCAATTGAATAGCTTTAGCTAGGTCATCATCGAAGTCATTTACATCGTCGAGTTCTATCCACATTCCGACTTGCTCACGGTGAGCTAGTTTAGTCAGTTGGTTGGAGTATTTAAAATGCTTCGAGCCGGAGGTGTCTTGCACGCAATATTCCATTAAGAAAGTCTTCAGTTGCTCTATAAAAAAAAATAAAAATAATGAAGTTGTTTATAATTTATTTGAAGTTGTAATTACCTTTATCTTTTTCGTAATCTCTTTTAGCCATTTTGGTATTAGCTTGAAGGCACTACCACTTAAAAAACGAGGGCTCTTTTAATGGATTTAAAAACACTTTTCTTGTAAGAATATAAAAAAAACAACAGGTAACAGAAAAGCAAGTTTACCGATCACAAATGTTTTTAGGCGCGAAAATAAGCTTTTGACAGTGTTGACACTATTGACATTGACAGACTAATTGTCTTCAATTTTGTACTACTGCAACCACAATAATTGAACAAAATAGAAAGTAAATGTGTACTTAAATCGTTAATAATGTAAAACTATAATTGTTAATCAAACATAATTCAACATATTTAATAATAGATATATAATTGTTATATTATTAGGAAACAAATTTAATTTTGCTGGCCTTTGATTTTTCGGAACTCAGGCTATTACTCTATCATGTCATGTGATTGTTGATTGAGGTTAGGTTTGTTTTGAAGTTTAAATGGTTGGTTTATTAAGATTTAAATCCCATAATGGCTGATTTTACGAATACTCATCGATATTTCATACAGTACATGTTAAAACATGGTATAGCAACAATTAATAATGCCATGGAATATTGTCGTCACGTCAGTAGAGGTATATACAAAATAAATATTAATAAACGATTCTACCAATTTGCTTTTTAGGTGAAATCAATGATCAGTCAGAATTTAAAGACTTTGTGTTGGATGTAAATAGGGAAATAAAGAAAAATTCGTTTAACCTAACATTCAAAACTTGCGAGGTAACGAAAGAGAAATTTTTGGTATGGCAAACCTTGAAGAACGATATTTCTCTATTGCAAATAAAATTTTCGGCAGTGGATATAGAATATTTCCACTCGGTATTTCAAGAAATTTTACGTAACGAAGAGCATCGAATAAAACAAAACGAAGCTTTAAATTTGTCTTCCAGCCTAACGTCACGTTTGTCCCTTGAAAATGCTGAAAAATTACTAAAAACATTCGTGCAAATTGGTTATTTCGTTAGTAAGGATTCTTGTATATTCCTTGGACCCAGACTTATTTTAGAGTTTACTTCGTACCTCCAGTCGCATTTCACAGATTCCATTTGTCCACTTTGTTCTGAATTAGTGTTTTGGGTAAGATATTTTGAGTTGAAACTAATCGCTAACCACCTTATAATTAGATATTTTATATATAATGTATTTAAAGGGAAAAAGCTGCAGATCATGCGAAAAAACTGCACACATCTACTGCCTCGAAACGTACTTAAGGAACCAGAAAGACTGCCCCAATTGCCATGTCGCTTGGAGCACTCCTATGGAAGTTGAAGAGAATGGCGGTTCTGATTCAGATAGTTCAACTGATTAATTGGTAAGCTTACTACTATTAAAATTGTAAGATTAATGCCAATTTCTGGATATATTTTAGAACTCGAACTTCTATCCAACAATCATCTTAGGATTACCTATTTTTGTACATTTAATAAATACATTAACATTAATTTTTCAACCTGATTATTTTGTGTACAAAAACATAGCACAGCTTCTTGATTAGATGAAATTAATGTAAAAATCTGAAATTTTGAAACAATTTTAACGGAGGTTTTATTTGTATGTAACTTTATTCAACAATAAGTAGGTACATATAAATTGGAAGATTTTGATCTGAAGTAACAAATGAGTATAAGACAAAAACAATAACAGATATATTCAAGTTTACAAAATATTTACATAACTAATATATTACAATAAACGAACAAAGTATCAATGTAACATCTACATATTAATATCTACCAATTAAGGATAAATATTGTAAATACTCTAGTTATTTGCAAGAGGTGATAATTAAACAAAATCACTTACTTCGAGCGAAATGATATTGAAATGGATATTTCTCAATTTGCTTCGTAAAAAATGCAACTCGACAAATGGAAATAAATAAACATAAGAATAGAAACAAAGAGTTTGGAATACTTATAGCACTGGAGTTAATTTTTTAGAAATTACATGTAGCCTACTAAGCCTCAAAGCTGCAAGTAGATAAATATATTGGACTAAAATTAAACTAGACAACGCTAGATGTTTTAGTCCAATACTTCTAATTTGCTGTAGTAGACAATCGTAAAAATAATAAAAAGGAAAAATAAACGTTCAAAAAAAGTTAATATCATGGTCCCGATTTTGTGAAAATCATGATTCTGAACATATGATAGCCTATTTAAATAAATAACTAATGATTATTGTGCTATCTAAATATATACTTGAAAACGAAACATTACTTCAACAATAAAAACGATACATATAAAATAAATAGTTATTATATTACTTTTTTGCCTATGATTGAATTAGTTCGATGTACACATATGAGTTTCTGCTCGTACATTTCATTTGAGATCTCCCCTTTTTTCAATTAAATCTCTCACTTGTACACGTAATAAAATTTGCCAATTATTATCGCAAAGTGCAACGTACATCAAAAAGATAGGTTGAAATGAAGTCGAGAGTAGAGTGTCTTTCGTGCAAACACAGACAATCATAGTCCAATAATTGACTTAATTACCTAATTTATTACACAACACTTTAATTACTTTTATCTATTACGTGCGCAAGTTTAGCGAGCAAGCTACATTACGGTTTAGAATCATCAGGAGTGAGCTCAAATAAAAATGATGCTTTTTAACTATCTATCCTTCGAAAGCTTCTAAATTTTTACTTACATTGCTACGTTTCTACTGAAGCTACATGTTTCTTACTAGGCCACACGAGGTCTTAAGATAATTAAATCACATTTGAAATACAGAGTATTGCTTACAATGAAAGGAAAATATTATCAGGACTACAGGTAACTCAGCGTAAAACTAAAAATATACAACTGATATGTACAGATATACTTAAATAGATTGCTTGACACTACAAATGGTAATCGTGCGATTCGTTCGGTTAAATTTGCAACAAGTATCAAATTGGAACTGGCCAGTATATTAATATCAAACTGTAATATTACGTTTAATATTTTCGATTAATCTAAATTTATTTGTGTTTTGTAAAAACTAATATAATATAGGAATACTATATTATGTACCTCACAATCTCTCGTATTACACATGTTTTCTCTAATCTCTAATAACAAGCATATTCAAACCATTGAATGAATTTAAGTAAATCTACATATTATTTATGTAATAATGTACACACAGCATTTTTAATACCGATAAATGCTCTTCGAGAAATAAAATAGACAACAAATAATATGCTCTTTAGTTCTTTTTTATTAACATATTTTTCTTATAAAAATTAATACTCATTGGTAGATAGATTAAGGGTTCCTTCGTCTACACCAACTTACTCTACTTATTGTTAGAATAATGTAAATTCGCCTACACGAAATAAATAAGTCACCGACTATTGTCTGTAAAGTTCTGTAATTTGTAAACTTCCATTCGTTATTCAACATCATATAAAAATAAAAATAATATCTCCTACAGTTCCCTATAAAAACAAAGTAACGAGTACGCATTTAAAAATATCAGAACCGCGACTTCAATTTCGCATTTAAATCTTAACTCTTATAGATCGCATCGATAACATTTAATTCAATTCCAATGCAGCGCCAAGCACATCCCAACGAAACAAACAACATCTAAGTCAAGCTCTTGTTTTGTGTGATTGATAACAATATTATTGACGAGGTCGAAAAGCTAAACCTGTTTGCTCTCAGCTTTGCTTAAACTTATAGCTAGTTCGAGATCAGCCTGCTCCTGGAGTTGCCTCTTCAATCTGTCCTGCTCCATTTTCAGGCTCTCCATGGCGGCCCATTCCAGCTGCTGGTCCTCGCTGATCTTCGTTATCGGCGCCGACGCCCTGCCGTCGCTGCTCACGAACGGATCGTTGGCGGGCAACGGCGCCGATTGCCTGCCGTCCAGCCCGAACGGATCGAATTTCTCCTTATCCTTATCCTTATCCGTTCTACTGGCGGGAGCCGGCTCATCGTCGAACGTAATGTTAAACGGATCTTCGTATCGATAGTTACGAAACGGGTCGTCGGTAAATTCGAGAGCGCTAGAAGACTGCGGTTGGACCTTAGCGGTCGGCTTATCAGTGAACTGTAGAGGATATATGAAGGTTATTAAGGCTGGAAATTTGATTAAAATAGCGCGTTAGTGGAATTGTCGATCGAACTGCTCCTGAAATGTTTATTAATACTTGCTATTTTTTTTTTAACTAAACTGCTTCATGCTGGTGCTAGTTGAAGAAAGGCAAACTTAAAACAACGACAACTAAAAATTTTAAATCGTAAATAAAAAAGAAATTCTAATCAAACGAAAAAAATTAAGGGGCAGTTCTATGAACATTTCTGGTTAGAATATTTTTTTCAAAAAATAAGCGTTTGGTTTAAAATAAAGAAAAAAACTAGTCATTAAAAGTCTTTATAAAAATAACTTTACGCTTACTTTTTGAAGATGTACTTAAAATAAACACATATTCGTGAATTTCATGAAAATATTTTTATCAAATGACGAAAAATTAGTGAACTCTATTCATTGAACTTACTTTGAAATATTCCTATTTAATTAGAAAAAAAAACAAATTGTAGCGACAGACTTATCGAAGATTTTTCAACAAGTCCATTACTTAAAAAAAAAAAAAATAAATAATAGTGAAATTCAACAAACATACCGTGCAACTATTGGGATAGGCGAAAATTAATTGGGTAAAAAATGGATCGTTCAGTAAAGGAAAAGGTAACTTGGTATAATTTAACAGGATACTTCGGTGTAGGCACTATAAAATAAAAAAATAAATATGTAATCAACAAAATTTTGAAAGTAATTAAAAAAAACTCATTCCTACAGTCCTCTGGTGATTAAAAGAAATCTAATAAACAAAATACTTTCAAAATTTCAAAACCAACTAAAGCTAATCACAAGGCGATTCTCATACAACTACCATCGGTAGCCATTTACGCGAATCGCCCTGTAACATCAATCCGAAGCGCCCGAAGCACCCAAAGCCCCGTCGAATCTTATACCTTTGCATCGAAGTCCGAAAAATCGGCGAAACCGCCGCCGCCGCCCCCGAACGGATCGCTGCCGAACGCGTCCGACGGTTGCGAAGTTTTCCTGAATGTCGGCGGCTGGGGACGAGGCGGGGCGGGCCGGGGCGGCGGGTTCTTGCTCTTCTTCGGCGGCAGGGCCGGACTGGGGCTGGTCGGTCGCGGCGGCGCCGAACCGTCCCTCGTCGGGGCGTGCAGAATGGCGAAGGGATCGCAGCCGAACGGGTCCTTTTCGGGCTGGAATAGTACAATTAGGCGTCGTGCAACTGGTAAACATTGAGAGAAGAGACCACTTACTTCTGTTGCAGCCGGTTTGTTTTGGGCGTTATCGAATGCATTAAACGGATCGCTTTGCGAGGTATTTGAGGTAAACGAACCGCCGAATGGATCTGAGTTGAAACCGTTCTGAAATTTTAAATAGATACAATGAGACAAACTGATTTGATATATTCTTTTAGATATACTTACGTTATTGGGAAAGGCGGGTTTGAAATCTTCGTTAGAAAAGGCATCGTTACTCTTAAATGGATCTAAATAACACACACACAAACGATTATAAAATATATACTAATTAATTAAAGTTCTAAAAACGTACCGTTTTTGAACGGATCATCTTCGAATCCAGAACTTCCGTGACCGTTTTGGTTGTTGAACGGATCCTTGCCGAATCCGTTCTGAAATAAAATAAATTTTAAGCTATCGCAACGTTCAAATTATGATAAAAACGCAATACCTGCGTCTTAGAGTCTTCGTTTAATATTTTATTGTATTCCCCTTCTCTAAACTCCGGCTTAATTCGCAAAATATTGTCCGTTATTTGATTCACATCGCCGGATTCGATTGTCGAATCGCACGCTTTGATGGCATCGTTCATCTGTCTCGTTTGCTCCTGCAGTTGCGTTATCAAAGCTTTCGCCTAAAATAATACGATATATATAAAACAATCCGCGGTATTTTTTAACATATTTTACCTGGCTGATATTCAGCTGTGTATCTTGCAAATTAACCGAAAGGCTTTCCAATTTATTAATGTTCTCCATTTTTTGCTTTTCCAGCCGCTCTTCTTCCATCCGGAGGCCTTCCAGTTGTTGCTTTTTACTGTTCAATTCGGTTTCCTGAGTTTTCACCATCTCCGCTTGTTCTGCCGCTTGAACTCTCAATTTATCCACCTATAATAGTTTGATTTATTTCAATTACAGTTTATTTTATTAGAACGTTTGTTGTAAGTGGAGTTTCTTGTCCAATGATAATCCCTAAATTTTCTAATAATTAAATAAATTAAAATTGATAAAAGGAATTATCAAAACAGTATTATTTTTGTTACTCTTATTATTGAGTGTATAAAAATGGGAACGGAAGTTTTCATTCATTTAATTATCAGGATTTTATTAAACCACAGAAAGTGGTTTAATCAAATTAAAAATAGCATTTATCTACTAAACTTATATTATCTGTAGCATTCATTCAAAGCATCCATTATTAAAAATTCTATGGCTAATCGATTTAATATAACTTGCATTTTTACAAGCTGCTATATTAACAATGAACGCTAAAAAATAACGCATGCATGATTCGATTTGGTAAAAAAATATAAGCGAAAAGGCTTAAAAAACGACTTACCTTCTCTATTTGTTCTTCTAATGTCTTATTAATGCTTTCAATTTCCCCGTCCACCTGAGTTTTCTAGCAAAAAAATGAATGCAACATGCCAATCTAACTAAATTATTGTACAAATACACCAACTTTCGATGAAAAAACAGAAATTATCAAAAAAAAATCTTTGATAGTGTAAGTATTAGCTAATTTTTCAAACTCAAGCATTCAAATGCATATACAGCACTTTTGAAAAATTAGAAATCATATCGTGTAACTATAAAAAGCAAAGTGAAATTACTACGAAAAAAAAAAAGAGGCCACATGAAAACCTATCTTTACCTGCGCCTTGAGATCGCTCAGCCTCTTCTGCGCCTCGCCCTTCTGGTTCTCCAATTGCTTCAAAGTGGCCGCTAGAGTGTTCAATTCGCTTTGGAGATTCTTGATCTCACCGCTTTTAATCTTAAGATCAGCCTCTTTTTGTGCTATGTCGGTTTCTAAAGCTAATTTCTCCTTAGCTAATTCTTCTATGTTATTGGTAATCATATCTAGTTCGGGATTCGAGTATCTAGTATTATTGTTCTCCTGAAACAAAGCGACACTACACTAAATAACGCGTTCGGAATGAGAGTAGTTTGAAAACCCTTACCACAAGGCCATCTATTGGTTTAGTATTACGAAAACTGGGAGGTATCATTTCGGGCGTGAGAGACACCGGAGGCTCTATGCCTTTCAAGCACCTCGCGACCAGCCACATGGCCAAAGCGAACTGTTCGTCGTTCAATTTCCCCACCTGCTTAGTATCACAAAGAGCCCTGAAACCAAATCCAAGCTACAACTCGAGCAACCGATTACCATTCGAACGGGTTACCAAATGTGCGCCAGCACCGCCTGCGGCACTCCCGATTGCAGGAATATATCCTTGATTTCGGGACCGGACACGAACCCGTCCTTATCGGCGTCGCTTTTGACGAACAGCGCGTCCGATTTCTCCTTCTCATCGTTCGACACCACCCAAAAGAGCATCGGCTGGGCGGGCGGCGCCGCCACCGCCACCGCCGGCGGCATCGGCTTGGGCGGGATGGGCGACACCGACGGCGGCGCTATGGAAGGCGGAAGCTCCGGCTTGAAGCCGTCTTTGTTTCTAATCAACGTGGAGGTTTTCGGCGCGGCTTGTTCGATGAGCTCCGGCGGCAATACGTTAGGTATAGCGTGGTTTTCGAGGGCTCTATAAACTAAATGCATGGCCTGGAAAATAAAAATAATTCGTTTAATTTATATTGAAAGCGTTGTGTTTGTTGGTGTGCTTACGATTATGAATTCGTGTCTGTTTAAAGCGCCGTCTTTGTCCTGATCGGCTAGATCCCAAATTTTACCCAGCGTGTCTAACGGCAGTTTGGAGTCCATAAGAACATTTTTTACCTAAAATAAAAATCGATTATCACACGTAGAGTACTCGTTTCCGTAAAATTACCTTATTTCCAGGTATTAATCCGTTAGTGGGTGTGAGGGAATCGAATAATTTATCGTATTTATCCTTTTCGGATGGTTTAATTGTCCAATCCACAGCCGAAGGAGGAAGCGAAGTAATCAGAGTACCTCTCGGAGGTGGAGGTTTCGATGGCTTGGGTAAAGGTACATCGCCCTGGTAAAATAAATGAAAATTCATAAGTACTTAAAACGAAAAAAATATTTGTTGTTTCAAATTAATAATTGCACGAAATTTATGCGAGAGATAATTTTCTATAATTAATGTTGGAATTGTAAACTGTATAAACAAAGTAGGGTATATGAAATGTTTGCATTTTATATTAGAGCATTAATTTGGCTATTACAAAGATTAAACAATAATCATCATAAAATTACACTCTAGTTTTTAATCTAACAGAAATTACATATTTATAATCATCTACAAATTAGTTACCAAGAGGAATAATTACAATGCTAAATGAGGAAAGTTTAAAAATACAATTAACGATAATCTTACCATTTTTGGAGGGGGCACATCCAAATTAACATTGGAGATAGTCAAGTCTTTACCGTTTTGTACCAGGGCGACTAACTTCAAAGCGATGAACATGCCGGTTTTGTCCAGGCAACCCCTTCCGCCCGGATCGGACAGATCCCAAATTTTGGACAGGATGACATCGCTCAATCCGGACTTCTTGAGAAATCTGGCGGCTTCCATGCCTCCGACTGATCCGTACCCCTTCGGATCGACCTGTACGAAATTACAGAACGATTTTTAATCCAAAGTAGGTGCATAATTAATAAACTTACCACATTGTAATAGGCTTCATATATGGCACTGCTATTTCCTGCTACCTACAAAATACAGTACTCAATTAACATATTGGCTTATTAAAAAGGTTACTTAATATTAGAAGAAGGTAAATTGGCCACTTTATAGCATATTAAAAACATGAGTGGGTCTTGAAAACAGCAATAAAATAAGAATAGAAATAAGTAAAAAGTACATAGCAACTTAAAATCCTTGTATCATACCGCACATATAATATTTAAGACGGCTATATACCTACATATACATAAATTATAACCCCTTACGAGGTTTAAATGGTTTTCTACGAAGCACAAAAAACATTCATAGATACAAATAAAAGCGTACAATATCAACTAATGAAAACTTTTGATACTTGAGTGGTTAAATTCGATCAAATACAAGGATAATTACATTATTAAGGTTGTTTGTATTCGGAATTTCAAAGTCGTACAACTGATTCTTGCATATTTGAGTAAGTTCCAATGTAACATAGTTGAAAAACTGGAGAAGGAATATTATTAAGTAAATGCAGATATTACAAGTTCTTTTAGAACAGTAAATGGTAATTGATCGCGTGGCTAATAGCGTTTGTATTAATTTTTCAACGTTCATTTACATTAAATCAACAAATTGATCAGCAGATTTTGCTAGCATACAACACACTCAACAATCAATAATTAAAGCTGTTAATTTTCTGTTAACTAGGAGTTAACTTCTCCAAGAAACGATGCAAATTAAGCGTTCTTGTTGTAATTGTCAGGTCGATAATCGAAGAACTTATCTAGTGAATTTGAGCAATAAGAATGTTGATATTGATATTTTGAAGTAGTACGTATTAACGAAATGTCAAGGGTGTGACAATTGTACTTCGAAAACGTTTAAAAAGAACAGTTCTTTGCGAATAAATGGTAATTTTGGATATTTCCGGCCGTAAAATCGGGTAAAATTGGGGCTTTTAACAACTTTTGCTGAAATTTTACACCGCCCACTGGGATGCCGTTGTAAAAGGCATTTTTATTGCACTTAAAGGTATTCACTGCATATTTAATGAATTAACACTTTTCGGTAAATGCGAAACAACGAATTTTAATAAATGGTTCCAAAACACTAGGCACTTATTTAAAAATTTGTTCCTACCTGTGTTGGAGACGGCAACGCAGCCATCTTTTCGAATAAAACTAAAAATTTTCTGATAGGTCGCAACGTTCACCAATGGCGAGCGTAATCAATAAATTGTCTATATTCTAGTACGTTCGACAATCGTAATAAATTGAATATGCCCAACGTAAATAGATTTAAATTTATCTAATCTAATGTAAATAGTGTAAGGTTTTATGAAACTTTAAAAATTTAATTGCATGTTTACAAATTAAAAATAAAATTCATGCAGTGGCTGAATGTCTACCTAATAAAAGGACTACATTAAGTAATAAAATTGCCTGAATTGTATGCAACACGTTTTGCGTATTTCATTGTGCCATGAATAAATAATACATACAAATATCAATAATGTAGTATTAATATTGAATCATACTTTTTAATAACTTTTTATTATAAAAGTAACAACAATTCATAAAACTAATAAACAGAATTCAATACGGTTTGAATTTTCTGGCTTGTTTCATTAGTTCAACTTTCTTCTTGGCCTCTTCGAAATTCTTCCGAAGCACAGCTATATTCTTCATTTTGGATTCCCTTATTTGGAAGGTATAAAAGTTCTTTAATTCTTTCTTCTTGGTGGACTTTTGTGTTTTTTCGTTCAATTTGTTTGCAAGGCTTTCTTTTCTAGATATACCAGGTCGCCTTCCACCTTTTGTTACAACAGTCCAACCTTCATCGTCCACTACTTCTTCGGGTTTCTGCTTTTTACTCTCATCATATTGGGCCATATACGTGTTTACTTCTTGTTGTAGTTGTTCGGAATCGCATATGCTTCGATTGTAGTCCTCGATCCATTTCTCTACGCCAATCTTTATAGGCTGAGTATCCGATGAGAGGGGATTTAACTGTGTTAATTTTAGCGCTTTCAACAAATATTCTCTTTTATTAAAAACGACGAAAACTCGTTTAAAACCATCACCGCTTTGATCTTCTGCGTTTTCGAAGATTACTCGCTTTATATTGCCCACATTCGAGAATGCATTTCTTAGGCCTGTTTCACATGCGTATGGGGGAACATTTAGGATAAATAGAGTTTGTCCGAGCGGTTTTAATTCGTCTTGGTGCCTTACAGAGTGTTCCTTGAGTAATATTTCGTGCCAACTTGTACTCTGTTGAGAGAAAACTAGCGGAAGAACTAGAAAAAATAATGTTAATAAATGGAATATATTTATTGTTTCGGTCTTACTCTTAAATCCTTGCACGGACTCTTCAGTCATATTTGTTTAAATTAACGATTTATGATTAATAAATAATAAATATATTTTTATTTTCAATGTGTAAAAAATGTAAGGTTAGAAAGTTAAGAGTTCGGAATTTAATTACAGCGTTGTCAAATTTAGAGTAGACAACCTCGTAAAGCAAAAGTTACTAAAACATAATTGAGCCATATACCAAAAATAGACAATTGCGAAAGTTGTAAATATTGTAATATTTGTGTAGTCGAAATATGTGAAAACAGGCAATTATAAAAATGCATATTTTTAAGGACAAAAGTATTGTAAACAAATTTAAAATAACCGAAATTTCTGGCAACGTCGCAAATTTTTCGCTCCACAAATGACAGTTGACAACTATAATGACATTGACATTTTATACAAAGAAGAATTACCATCATTTCTTCTGCGCGTCCTTAAAAAGTGAGCGTTAAACCGACGGGGCAAAAAAATCTATCGCAAGAAGAATGATTAAATCAGAAGTAGAAACTGAAGAACGCGAAGACGAATGCACGATTACGTTAGCGTGTTTCTGTTGCGACTTCGAGACGCCCAACATCGACGAGCTTGACGAGCACATACTTGTCAATCACGGCGAGGAAAATTCCGACGAGAAATTTGAAATCGTCGCCGACGAGCCGGCCAAACCCAAGCCCAAAGCCAAGAAAACCAGAAGCCCGACGTCCCGGTCCCGAGGTAAGTTCGTCTACAGCAACCGGGATACGAAGTTCGAGATATGCCAGGACACCGAGCAGTTCTCCATCGGCGACGATGCGGACAGCCCGCGGCCGAAACGGGCCAAACGCACCCCTGCCGAAGAGATGAACTGCCACTTGTGCTCGTTCGTCACCAGGAAGAAGAGCGTTTTGGCTACTCACATGCTCAACCACTCCGATGTGATTCCTCCGGTCTACTACAAATGTTCCTTGTGCCCCTATCAAACTAAGAGGAAGAACGATATGCCCAAGCACATGTTGGGCCACTGCAGTAACGGTAAGCGAATTATTAAATACGCTAATGTCAATCAAACACACACATGCTAGATTTCGATCTGATCGAAAATAAAGTATCTTCGTTAGTTCTATGATCAAGTAGCTCAGTATTTATATTTTTCCAAACAGATAGCGTGCCGCTTTATAAATGCAAGTACTGCCCGTACTTGACGAAGAGGAAGGGAGACTTGCCTAAACATGAGATGAACCACGCCGAACGAGATAAAATAGTCTCCTGGAATTGCTCCGAATGTGAATATTCTTCCAAGAGGAAAAATGACCTGCATAAGCATATGCTAACGCACAGCGATAGACATGTATCGGGCGTGTTCAAATGCCTGAAATGCTCCTACGCTACCAACAAGGTATGTTTGTTAACTATATTGTATACGATGTATTGTTTAATTAATATTGTATCTAGGTGATCAAATTCTCTCGTCATGTGTTGAGCAAATGTAAACTTTGGGATGAGCCCGTCAACTTGGAACACCTGTTGCTGGAAGATATCTTGGCTAGTGTCGATGAAAATGGTGTTCATGTTGTGCTCGAATCTGATTCGGAAGGAGAAAATCAAGTACAAATTGAAAACGAATATGGAGAAGGTATGGATTATACATGCTGTTTGTTTAATAGTATTTATTATTGAGTTTAATTGCAGGAGTGGAGTATGTTGAATACATTGAAGGCATCGAAGAGGAAGAAACGGAAGCTGTTGTTGTTGAAGGAGAAATTGTAGAAGGGGAATATATACAAGAAGAAGGTGAGAGTGAAATGGTTGAAATTCAAAGTGAAGAACCAGGAGAACCGCTAAAAACGGAAGCCAAAGATTAGTTAGTTTTTTTTATAAGCTATTTCTATCTTTAGAGTTGGTTTTTAAGTTTGTTGGCAATGCCTATCATTGTATTTTTTTAATTTTCATGCTTAAACCTATGAAATTGTCTTACATTATTTCGGTTTATATTTTTACAGATTAGATTATAGACTATGTATATCGAAACAATTATTCACTAGTTACCATGTAAATATTATATCGTAGAACGTAACTTTTGAAGTTTGCATAAAATTACTGTATGCAACTTTACATTATGAATTTACTGAACATTCAATAAATAGTTAAACTAGGTTTGCATTTTTTCAATATATAATTTATAATTATAGTAACAAAAGTTAAGTATTGAAATTCCTGAGTAGTAACAACAAATAGATTAAAATAGAAGGTATTGTACCATATTTTTCATTTTAAAAAACATTTTTTAACTTGTATAATTCTCGAGGTGTAACGATATAGTGGCATAAAGTTTATCAAGCTATAAACCCATGTTATTGTAGAACTATTTTTATTATCAATTTATTAAAAGTACCTTTTTTATACAATATAAAAGGCCATATATTTCTTAAAAAAAGACATGACAATGACACTTGATGACAAATGACAGTGACAGAAAAGGTGTCACCTATTGTGCAGCTGTGCAAGCTTTGATGTAATAATAAAAATTCGGAAACGCTGGAATTTCTATTCGATTGATTGCCAAAAGTTTTTTTATTTTGCACGGAAAATGGAAGAATGCGAACTTAAAAACGTCTGTAGGGCTTGTCTAACGGAGCAGGGAGAGTTCCAGTCCATATTCATTACCGAAAACGATTCTGGAATTTCCCTACATGTATCAGAAATGATGACAGCGTTCGCTTCGATTCAAGTAAGTCGATTAAAGTTTAGCTTGAATTATTTATAATTAAATGAAAGTTTCCAATTCAATTGCCCAAACTGAAAATTTGCTCGTTTATTGCAGATTACCCTAGGGGATGGATTGCCTGAGCAAATTTGCAAGGCCTGCGTGACCGAAACTGTAAATTTCTACTCGTTCAAGCTAAAATGCGAGGCCAGCGATAAATTTCTAAGAGAAAAACTGAAAAAAGACGATTTATGTAAAAACAGTGATACCGAACAGTTCAAAAGTGAAGTTCTCGAGATCGATATAACCGAAGGAAACGAGAACGATATGAACTCATGCTTCGATACCTACAGTAACGACAGCGAAGATTCCAAGCAATCGAAAGAAGAAATAGAAACATCCCCTAAAGAAAAATCCAAAGAATTCTGGTGCGACATATGTACGAAGCAATTTACGAGGAACGATTTACTATTAAGGCACCGCATAGCACACGCCATGAAAATGGAGAATCAAAAATTCGATTTCAACAACGACTATCAACTCGAAGACGACGACGATAAATTCGTCGAAGTCAAAAACCTAGCATATGCATGTAACAAGTATACTCTCAGAAACACCCTTTAATTATGAAACTTAATCACGATAAATTTCAGGTGCGAATCCATTTTCGTAGAAAAGAACGATTTGGACATACACATGAAATGCCACAGCAAAGCCGAGTACAACGTGTGCTGCGAGATTTGCCACAAGAAATTCTCGAAGCTAGCACATCTAAACAGGCATTTACGCACGACACATTTAATAGAGAAACAATTCAAATGCGAAATGTGCGAAAAGACCTTTCAAAAGCAAGAACAATTAAGGAACCACATGAACGGCCACACGGGGCTCAAACCCCACATTTGCGACATTTGCTGCAAAGGTAACAAACCACTCTTTACCACACCGATTACCCCAAAAATACAAGTATTTGTGTTCAAGGTTTCAACCAAATCTCGAACTTGAAAGACCACATGCGGACCCACAACGGCGAGAAGCCTTTCCTGTGCTCCACCTGCGGTAAAGGATTCAATCAATTAGGCAACCTCAGGCAGCACACGGTGAGACACAGCGGGGTTAAGGCCCACCTGTGCAGCACCTGCGGCAGCGGGTTCGCCAGCAAAGGCGAGCTATCCGCGCATTTGCGCAAGCACACCGGCGCCCGGCCTTTTGTTTGTACTGTATGCAATCACGGATTCACCACTTCGAGTTCCTTGACGAAGCATAAGAGGATCCATTCCGGGGAGAAGCCGTACGAGTGCGATACATGCAAGATGAAATTCTCTAGGTCCGGTATTTTAGCGCGGCATAAAAGGACGCATACTGGAGAGAAACCATACAAGTGTAAAGTAAGTTAGATGTTGTTACTGGCAGATGTACTTCTAGTACACGATTGTCCAATACTTTGAGATGTAACTGTACAAATGGAGATATCTTGCTTTGTAAAGTATAAACTCCTTGTCAAAATTAGCGACTCGCTACTCTCGAGTCCACTATATTTGACGAGCGGTGTATGTGTGATAGATGATTAAACTGTGTTGTTTTCAGTTTTGTTTTAAAGCTTTTTCGCAATCGAACGATTTGACATCGCACCAAAGGATTCATACGGGGGAAAAGCCGTTTATATGCGACGAGTGCGGGCAGGCCTTCAGGCAGAGCTCGGCTCTGAAAACCCACAAGAAGACCCATAAAGAGAAAAACGTTCAGCAAGTGAAGGTTGACGCGAAACCTATTTTTGTTACCGAATTTATACCTGGATTTTAGCGAATGGAGTGAGTGGGTTTCCGTTTGGTTTTATTGAAACTGTTGGCTCCGTTTTGGGCCAATTGTTGTGTTATGTGAGGAGAAGGAGTAATTTTTTATTAGTTCTTTTAGTACGATTCTTGGAATTAAGAATAATCGCTTTAATAACGTGTTCATTAAAATAATATAAAGATTTTTTTTAGTCCTTAAGCCAAATATTAAGATAACTGTTATATTTTTACATATTGATATAAATAAACCATTATTTTTTAGTATTTTGAATTAAGTCTTTTTAAAATAGCGTAGGCATTGTTGTATATTAGTTTTATTTAAATGGCTTTAATTTTTTGTTTTTTTTATCTACGAAGAAATCCATTAGACATCTAAATAAAATTGTTTCTTCGGAAAATGCTTTACAATTTATGCTGTTACTACAAAACCAAACATTTTCTGGAGAACTTGAAATTGTAAAAAATAATCAATTACTAGTGTACGCACTTTTAAGTATTTTTTTAAGTATAAATTGTAACAATTATCTATGCAGATACTATAAAGCCTCTCGTCCATTTATTTTTAAATTGGAGATTAAAATGGCTTACGTGGGACCATCCAGATTCAAAAATATTCTTATTAAAATAGTAACAAGAGTACACACTTTAGTAGATACATTTGTTATGCTCCTTTTTGTATTATGTCTGTGGATTCAGTTGTGTTTACATCATAATTTTCAACAAATATACACATCTTTTAAGTAAAATCAATATTTAATTTTCAACCATTATATCATTTACATTATGACTATTAGTAGTTGCTGGTATGATAATTGTAAACTGTGGACTATCCTGAGTTTTCATTTTAACAACGTCGTCTAACATAAAGTCTTCATTTTGGGTATGCTCCCTTAACATAGAGTCTAGAGTTGTTACCGTAGCTTCTCCACTATCTTTCCCTAAAAAATACTCTATAAATATACTAATTTACTTGAATGTCTAAATTCACCTTTTGATTTTACAGCTCCCTTACTATTCTTAACAGCTTTCTTTTTATTATGCGTCTTGAGATGAGTATTTAAAGTACAACTTTGACTAAACGCTTTACCACATATTTTACAATTGTACGGTCGCTCCCCAGTGTGGATCCTTTCATGGGTCACGAGCATCGTCTTCGAGGCAAATGATTTATTACACGTGTGACAAACGTAAGGTTTCTCACCCGTGTGACTCCGCAAATGGATTGTTAATTGACCTGAAATTTACAATATTAACCCCGATTGTTAATATTTGTAAAACAATTACCTGTTGTAGACAATTTTTTACCGCACACTGTACATAACACTAACTTCTCCCCAGTGTGAATTCTCCTATGACTTTTTAAATCCGACGATTGTCTGAAGGAAACTCCGCAAATATCACAAGTGTATGGACGCTCGTTTGTGTGCTTCCTCATATGCACTTTCAGAATGCCTAAAATATTAGTAAACGTTACACCAGCATGTCTCGTGCAGTCTTCTAAACTTACTGCGTGCCATGAATTTCTCTTTACAAATCGTACAAGGAAACCGTTTGAGGCCGGTGTGGGTTTTTTGGTGAAAGTGCAGGGCTCCACTTTGCCTAAAACTCTTGCCGCATTCCTTGCACACGTGGGGCTTCTCCCCCGTGTGGTTCTTCATGTGTTCCGCAAGGAAACTCGGGTATGCGAACGATTTGTTACATAAATGGCAAATGTGGACTTTCTTTTTGTAATTTTCGTCGTGGGTGCGCATGTGTCGGCGTAGACTCTCAGCAGTTAAACAGCCTTAAATATTATAATAAGTACGTAGTTTTAATTTGTATTGGGTAGGTGTACCTTTATCGCATTTTGTACAGGGAAACGGTTTGGTATCTCGGTGTTTAAATTCGTGCTGTTTAAGCAAGTATTCGAAATTGAATTGTTTTCCACAAACGTTGCATTTGAATGCCTTGTCTTCGTTCGTATGGGATTTTAAGTGTAAATTTAACAGGTATTTTTTACTGTAGCTAATAGAGCACTCCGAGCATTTGTAAGGTTGGTTTTTATGGTTCCTTTGATGCAATAAAAATTTAGTTTTGTTGGTAAATTTTAAATTGCAGTTATCGCATTTGTATGTATTGATTTTTCTGGTTATAGTGAATTGCAATTCAGGAGGTAAAGGATTGTCTTTTTCTTCCGATTTCTCTGTGATTTCATCCTCGGAAATGTTTTCTACTAACGTAGGTATATCGCATTTGACGATAATTTCTTCTTCCATTTCTTGTTCTAACGCCTCTGCCTCGATTTTTCTCAACATCCTCCTGGTTTCCAAATTCCTAAGGCGAGCGTCCGAAGCTACACAAGTTTCTACGAAATCAAACGTTTCAAACACTCTTTGAGTGCAGTCACTGCATATATTCGAAGGTAAGTTTTCGGAATGTAATAACTATAAATAATTCATTATTAATAAGTAGTATTTATTTAAAAAATTATTTATAAATGTACCTTTAAATCGCTCATTTTTCTTATAAAATCCACAGCGGGCGAGCTGTCTTTTGGTATTACTAGATTAAATAAATTTTTCATATTATCTGAGTGTTTCAAACAAATTCTACAGGCATCTCTATAAGTTTCTTCGATATTAAATTCGGAATTCATTGTTTATTTTTGTAAATTTGAGGTTATGATTGACAAGAGGTTATGTTGCTAACTTCACTTCGATACTTTAGAATCTTCTTTTTTTTCCGAAACTCATCGTTAGTAATTATTTCGAAACGGCAAATAATTTTCGAAAATCATTTTGAAAATTTATTTTATTAGCCGATTTGACCAATTATCAGTTTCCTACTAGTTTTGTAATGATTAACGAATAAAATATTATGAACAAGAATGATCAAATAATTAGTATGCATTTATTTTTAAATTTTGTCAGTTTATTATTTTTTATTTATTTATTTTCTCAACCGGTTACACTTTAAATTCCTTATAATTAATAGAGAACAATCGCAGATAAAATAAAGTATACAACTTATTAAAATTCAAAGGCCCGTATTCAGCGCCTCACTTTAACTTTAAAGTGACTCTAAAGTCGCGTCTTTAACTTGACAGTTTTACATTGTTGTTATGGAGTAACTAGGGACTCGAGACTCGAGACGCGACTTTAGAGTCACGCTAGCCTTTAGAGTCACAAGTGCTTAAAAAATTGATCAAACAAAGTTTGCCTTGCTAGTATCGCTTTATTCATAAGAGAAAATAATTCAAGGTTTCCCCTCCCGCTGTTAGAGGAAATTCAAATGAAAGCCCATCGTGTATTTTCCTTTTAAATATAGGAAATATCGACTATTCAGAACGGGCGCCGTTGTCAAGGAAAGAAAACGACACTCTGCGCTGCTCCGCCGTCTAACCGGGTATATACAGCTAATAAAAGTCACGTTGCTTGCATCGTGATTGCTATCTCCTCAAGTGCAACACACTGCTCCCTCTTGTTCCATCGGCCGAGCCGCTAATTTTTCCTTCTCCTTCTAGCCTTTCACCGCTCGACGGATCGGCGTTCTATCAGTTTTAAGTTCAACTTCCAACTATTTACTACGGTGACAATCGACCTAAAGGGAAATTTTCGAAATTATGAGATTTTTCGGAAACCGCAAGACTTCGAACTTTTATGTGTTCCGTAAGTACCAATTATTTATTTACGGTTTTTTTAAGTTGTTTTAAGGGCTAGTAGGGCGCATAGGGCGCTTTGTCAAAGTTTCCTATTTGCTCTTAAATTTGTGCTTTATTTTTATTTTATTTGTATTATATTATTGGTAAATAATTTTTTTACTTTTTAATTGTTTGTTTGAATATAATTTGGTTATTTAATGGTAAGTTTTAATTATAAATTTTATTTGTTTAAAAAAAAATCTCAAGGTAGTATCTAACTCAATGCAGATATATTAAATGTTTCATAATTACTAACCTTTGACTCGTGGATAGAAAAATAAATTTGTATGGGGAAAGTGGGGGAAATACCAAAAAAATTGCAATAATATTGAAAATATAAAGAATTACTATTTAGGTTAAATGTACATTTTATTAGTTCATAGAGAGGCCTTGCTGGCCAAAAAATTCTACAGTATACCACAAGTAAAGGGTAAAATTTTAAAATTACCTTTGGGATCAAAACAACCTCTAAATGAAGGCTTTTATTAATTTTACTAATTTATGCCATTTCCCACCAGTTCCAAATCATCTGCTATAATTGCTATAAATTTTCATCTAAGCCGTTTGCAATTATTAAGAAGTTAAAAGCTCTTGCTTCATTTCCAATGAATAATCCATTTCCCCAAAGAGCCATTTAAAAGTTCTCCTTTACGTATTTTTACGACTACTTCATGTATAGATCCAGCTGTTTTAGACACCGAATTTTGAAAAACAATAAATCCCCCAAATCCAGCAAATCTCCGGTCACCCCCCATGTAATCCCCGCAATAATTTACCGATAATCATCTTTTTAGGGGCCGAATTATTCCCATTATTCAATACTAATCTCCAGTCCACATAAGGTTTTTGAACCCAAAATTTAAACTCCATATATTCAATCTATAAACTGCAATATTTATACACAAAAGGCTAATTGTACTTTCAAAAAATACGTGATTATTAAAGTAATTTTTATGAATGTTACAAAAAAAATTAACTCCTATAAACACATTGATATTTAGGGATACATATTTAATCGTCACTTGTCAATCTAGTCTCTGGTACTGAAAGAATGTATCGGTACGTCTTCAACTCGTGTCTCATTTTTTATTTCCAAATCGTACATGGATTGCAACGTGCTCTGTGCTGGATCACATCAAATCCAGGTGTCACGGACAGGACGGTTGCGTAAACTTATCTGCTTAAATAGAACAGATACTTCTGCTTATTCCAGTACACACATTTCCAACGACCTTTCCCTACAATACCGTTAGGTAATCAACAATAGTTTTGTTTTAACATTTTTGTCCCTAAATCATTATTTGAAAGCACTAAATTTTAAGGATTTTTATACTAATTATACTTAAAATAGTTGCTAATTGGTGATAATTAAGAGGGTTTTTAGTGCCAATTGATGAAGGCAGTAGTCAAAAGACAATAGTCAATAGGCAGTAGTCAAAAGACAATAGTCAATAGGCAGTAGTCAAAAGACAAAAGTCAATAGGCAGTAGTCAAAAGACAATAGTCAATAGACAGTACTCAATAGGCCGTAGTCAATAGATAATAGTCAATAGTCAGTAGTACTAGGCAGAGTAGTAGTAGTCCAATAAAATCGGCTAAGCCTATTTAGAAAAAAATTGGGGGGCATTTTTTGGTAATAAAAATATTTATTAACGGCTCTTTTAATTAGATGTATTTGAGCGATTAGAAAATGGGAAAATTTGAATGGGTTTTCCTATAAGAGGCGCCGGAAAATTACACAAGCAATCACGTTATTTTGAGCTTTCCCGGCGAAAGAAAGAGCACGTTGCGCTCGACGGTTGTGCAAAAGGGAACAAACAGATCTATTTATGGAAATGGAAAAGTTAATTTTATTCGACATACATAGAGCTTTCAGGGGTGGAAAAACAACGGAAAACCGTAGGCGATGCACGTTGAATATAGTCTGTCGCTCGTTGCGAAATTTCCATTGATAAGTTTAGTACGTTTTTAGTTCATTTTGATCCAAAATTGGTCCTAGTTATGCGATATTTAATCTGTAATTAAAGTGATTTTTGGGATTTTTTCAAATGAATTTTCATAGTTTTTTGTGTTTTTTGATATTATTATTAATATTGAAGTGAATATTAATATTTCTAAAGCAGTAACCTAAGTTTCGCTCAAATAACCATCATCAGGCCCAATTTATAACTAAAAAACAAACCAAATTACACCTACAAAATTAAATCACAAAAAAGAAACTTTACCAGAAGGAATTAAGTTAACAAAACTCCCAGAAATGTCCTGCATAGCACAATTTATTGAAGTTCCAATAAATATAGAATTCGTAAACCTAATTAAAAATAAACCAGCGTTGCATCGTTGTTTATATTCACGATGAATTGTTATTTTTGAACTGTCAATTATTAAATTACATAAGGATCTATCAGAGTGTAGTTGTGCAATATGCACCCTGTTCCTGCCATGTTTCCAACACCATCTGCTATTGTCATTATATAAATACCGGCGAAATATAGAATACAACCGGAAATAGACCTAAATGCAATTGTAAGGGTCACCTTTGTTAACACAGATATAAACTGATTGATATTACTGAAATAGAACAACCTGAAACAGATTCGCAAAATCTAATGTCTTGCTGGGTTTATGTAAATAATTGCAAGGTGATATTTTTACGCTTCTGATATATTTATTTTCAAGGTGACAGCGGGATAAGAATATTATTTTTACGGCTGTGATTATGATTAAGCCTGTCGATTTTCCGCAAATGCTAATCGAAAGTTAGGTAACGATTTCCATTCGAAGAATTTAGTAGATATACCTACCCATTTATTTCATATCCAGCATGATGCAAAATTTATTTATGAACTGGACATTCATATGCTAATACGAAAGTAGGAAGGCTATTGGTGAAATTTCTTTTATGCTGAATCCCTTTTTTCCATTATCTTCGTTTCGATTTTCCATTTATGTTCTTCCTCAATAGACAAGAAAATTTTTATACTAGGCTCTAGAGTAGTTGATCTTATTCTCTCATTCCTTATTTTCTTAAGCGCTTCTTTTGTACGTTTTTTAAAGTGAAATTCTTTATTAACACTTAAATGCAAAAGGAAATCTGATATTTCTAGCGATTGGGACATTTGATACTAAAAATTAGAGCAAATTCTTAACGTTCTCTTGTGTCTAATTGGAGCAAAATTTAGTTTATTCCACATGCCTATGAATCTCTCGTGTAACATGTAATTTTATTAATGATGTTTATTTGCCAGCGAGCTCATCGTCTTCTCACGTTGCGCTTCACGTGAACTTCGATTTACCATTTGCCTGGCGATTATTTGTAGGCTTTTACGACGTAATACCGGAACAATCGGTTTTCGATTAATTATTTTTGCGAATTTTGGGAATTTGTGTGTAGGTTTCAGGATTAGTTACAGCTGTAATCTGGGTTTAATTTTGAATTGGTATTATGATATTCGATTGAATATTGTTATAATAATAATTAAAGGAATAAATAGTGTTTTGTATTTAAAAATATCGAAGGTCGTTTTATTATATTACCTATATTGCAACACATATCTAAATCAGGTTTTTTTCTGGTCTAGACGTACGATTGATTTTTCTGCGATTAATACACTTTCATTGAATAATTTCTAGTTTAATAGCCGGCGATTATAATTCCAATCACACAACAAAAATTGACCACTAACACTCAAAATTTTTATTGCAGATTTTTTATTTTAAATACCGATGCAATTGAAGAGAAAAACGATGGAATCGAACGCGAATACTAAAATTTCCGATTCAGGATACTCGAACAGTTGCAGCAACACGAACTCCCAAAGAAGGTAAATCCGATTGAAAAATAATAATTCTACTATTTCCAAAAATAATCAATTTTAGCGCAAGTTCAAAATCAATTCACAGCGAGAGCAACTCCAGCGGCAGCAGCGGCTACTGTGGTGCCACAAATCCCACCAGCAGGTAAAACCTAGAACCTTACTTTGAATCAAACCTAGAGCTTTACCTAGAATCAAACCTACAGCCTTAATTAGATTCTTGTCTAGAGCTTTACCATGATTCCTATCTAGAGTTTTATTTAGTTTCTTACCTATGATCGTAGAACATAGAAAACTTGAGCCTTACTTAGAACCTTCTTAAATTCCTATCTAGAACCTAAAATAGTTTCTTACTTTTAACAATACCTATAATCTTTCCTTCATATTATTGATGATTATGATTAAACGATAACCAGACTTGTTATTTATTTTTTCAGCGTTCATACGGGCCCTCAACCGCCTAAGCGCAGCAAAGATAAAGACCACAAGAAGAAGAGAATCAAATCCGCGAATTTGGTGTCGACGTTAACGAGCATTGCCGGTTCGACGTTGAGTTTGGCGCCCAGCGAGACAGTCAACAGTTCCAGCACGAATTTAACGGAAGTTTTCACCGAACCGCTAGTCGGTGAGTTTCTCTAATTTCTCCTTTATTTGGCGTTTTATCCGCGAAAGTGTCGCGGAAGTTTCGCGTAGTAGTCGATGATAGATAAACTATTATTTTAGCTTCTTGAACTTCACTTCATTATAATCTTAATTCTGTATCTAGTAGTTTAATCCATTTAAGTATAAAGTGCAAATATTTTTTGTAGATTTAAAGCAAACTGCACCTAAAACAGTCGTCGAAGTCGCTGTGAACACAGAACAAATCAACGAGGACTTCTCCGAAGAGCCTCCAGTTTCAACAGAAGTCGAAGAGACATCAGGTAAGCATCTTTCACTATCTATCAATAATTCTCTAATTCAACTAAAACAACCAAACTCACTCACACACAACAAATACATCTAATCTCTTACACTAAGAATTCCATTTATATTTCCATTTTTTCACGCTAGCAGAGCCCCCGCAGCTCGATGAGGAACTGGCCGTGGCCTCCTGCCCGATCTGGGGCAGCGAGGACAAGGAGAACGAGCAGCCGGAGATCGAAGTCCCGCCGAAGGAAAAGACCGTGGAGCCCAACAAGGCCCAGCCCCCCTACCAGCCTGAGGTAGGTTAACCGTTGTCCGGTTGGTGTCGAGGCCTGTTGTGAATTTTAGTTGTTTCAGGACGGATTTTGCTGCGTGATATCGATGTACGATGGGGTCGTGTTGTACACGACTCCGAGCTTGACCAGCGTTTTGGGGTTCCCGAAGGACATGTGGCTGGGGCGGTCTTTTATAGACTTCGTGCATCCGAAGGATAGGGAGACGTTTTCCAGCCAGGTTACTACGGGAATCGCGTTTCCTTTGGTGGATTCCGAGGGAAAGTACAAAGGTACGGTGGAGGAATTTATTAATATCTATCTAAATCGATTCATTGGTTTAGTTTTAGGGTCACATAAATAATAACAATTACTTTCAGATTACAAAAATTGCCTGTACGTGTGTTTGCGCAAATACAGGGGCTTGAAATCGACCGGCTTCGGCGTCGTCGATAAGGCCATTTGTTATCAAGCCTTCCAATTGACTGTTAAGTTCAAACACATTACTGATGCACCTGAGACTAAATATTTAGAAAACAACAGCGGCATGTTCCTAGTAGTCGCCGCTGTTCCCGTTGATTCTTCATACAAAGGTAAATATAATACACAAACATGACTCGTATATATATGGTGATCCCAAAAGTGACCCAAAAATGTCCCAAAAGTGTACCTAAAATATCCTAAAAGTGTCCAAATAGTGCCTCAAGTGTCTTACAGTACCCCGAAAGCGTTCAAAAGTATTTAAAAAGTACCAAAAGTGTTATGTATATCGTTTTAGAAATTTTGGGATGACTATTTTTTGAATATGGAAACTTGATTATTTTTATTCGAAACACACTGTATATTATTTCTATACTTTTCAACGTTTCAATGATCCCTGTTCTTGAAGAGTGTTTCGAATGCGGGTTTTGTGATTGATGATTTGAGAGGTTCACGTGTGAATTTATGAATTTTATTTTCCAGTCCCGGAGGAAAAGCGGATTTCCCCGAAATTCGGCATGCGACACACCGCCGCTTGCATTTTCAGCCACGTCGATCCGGACGTGGTGACGAATTTCGGATTTCTGCCCCAGGACATGTTGGGAAAGTCTATTTTTGATTTTTATCACCCCGAAGATATGCCTTTTCTTAAAGAAATTTACGAATCTGGTGAGTGAAAATCAGCGCTGTTCCTCATAAATTATTCCCACTGACATCTAGGTGTAATTACACTAATTTTTTTGTGTTTTCAGTGATGAGAATGTGCCAAATAGCAGGATCAGTCTTTCGTAGTAAACCCTATAGATTCGCCGTACAAAACGGCACCTTCGCCAAAATCGAAACGGAGTGGTCCAGCTTCGTGAACCCTTGGTCCAGACGATTGGAATTCGTCATCGGCTTCCACAGGGTTATCGAGGTAAACCACCACCTCCCCCATTACCAACCCAAAACTTAACACGACTTTTCCAGGGACCCCTAAACCCCGACATTTTCGAACCCCCTACCGACCAAGTGACCAGACACTTGTCCGAAGAAGTCCTCAAAGAGAGCAAAATCATAAGAGGAGAAATATTATTACTCCTAAACAAGGTAAATTTAACAACTAGAATTTTTCAAATATTTGGCATTAAAAATCATCTACTGAGATTTGTAGATAACAAATTGGAAACTATAGTGTTGAAGAACTAGAATTATTCAGATATTTAGCTTAAAAAATCTTCTTCTATGATTTTTATTACACAAATTAGAAACTATAGGGTTGTTAAGTTAATATTTTGATATTTTTTTTTCTATCAGGAGTTGCCGAGACCCAATGAATCGGTGAAACACGAGGTGTCGAAGCGTTGCAAAGACCTCGCCAATTTCATGGAGTCGCTGATGGAGGAAGTGACTAAAACGAAAAACCTGCAATTAGACTTACCCCAAGAGATCGATCCGACCATCTCGGTAAGTGCGAAGAGAACGGTGAGTATTCGTTCGCTCTACGGCGATTTTCGCTTCGACTTTAATCGAATTAATCAAATAGCACACCAAACAGTTTCAATAACGCTGCAACTGCAAATTAAGGTGGCGGATTTTGAGTAATACCATTTTTTTTCATGTGAATTTGATGTGTTCAAATTAAATCGAATCTGCAAATCGATAGGAACTCTATTTTTTTCGTGATATTATAGTTCAAAATATTTAGCTTGTAATCTAAAAAATCTCTCATTTAAAAATGATCTTATTGGATTTTTCAGCTTGGGTTAGGTTCTAAATTTCAGTCGCAAATAAGCGGTCTCACTAGGTAATGGCAAACCGGCTAAATTTAATGCGCTATCCGTGAAAATATTAATAAAATACTGTGCACGTACGGACGATCTCGATAGGTCTTGAGTACCAGGGAATATTATACAATAATCTAACAAGGTCAGTAAAGCGCCAAAATGTAGACCTAGGGCTAAGACAGCGACAGAAAAGGTTTGTTGGTAGACTTTTTTTGACTCACCGGTACAACAAAGTTATGCAACAAATTAATAATTTTTCAGGTTTTTTTTTGCAGGAAAATATCCCAATAAGAAGAGGAATCGAATCAAAATTTTATTCGTTACATAATTTTGTTGTTCAGTTTCATAATATTCCCTTTTGTTAGCTGAACATTTTTTTACTTTAATTTAAGATAAAAAAAATCATTGCATTTTTAGTAGCTTTATACTTTATATCCTAAAAAGCTCTCATTTATACCGTAAATAGAAGTACTCAGTTTGCTGATGTAATTTTTTATTGCATAATTAAATCTAATTTAATTATAGATACATTTATAAGAACATAAACTTTTTACTTCTATTACATTCTTAAATTATTTTTGCCCTAAATTAAGTGAAAACAGTACCAGAATACTTTAGAAATATTGTTAATAATTTTCTTACTAACAAAGTAGACAGTATTTTATTTCTAATTTTTAATATTAAATATTATAACTAATAGTTGAAAACATCAACTACTCAAAGAGCTAAAAAAATAAGCCTTATTAATGTATTAATAATTTAAAAGCACACGCTAAATTGCTTTCAACTAACTCGCATTAGAACAATATTATTTATAATATTTAATGAACGCCCGTACGTCGTATGAAACGATAAATAACTTCGCCTGAATGATTAAATTAATTCGCTGTGAACCGATCATACCGTCGCGGCAGTTGATCTAATCGATGAATCGGGGCCTGTTGCAGGAACGCGACTCCGTCATGCTGGGCGAAATATCGCCGTACCACGATTACTACGACAGTAAATCGTCGTCGGAGACGCTGCCCAGCTACAACCAGCTCAATTATAACGAGAACCTGCAGAGGTTCTTCCAAAGCAAACCCAAGACCACGGTGTCCGAGGAGAGCAGCAACGCCCAAGGCGAGACCGACATGGAAGTCAAAGTCACCCAAGAAACTAACCAGTAAGTCTTCTCCATACACTTTAAGTACCGGAATCTTGGTGGATTCCTGTACTTGAAGGATACCGATACTTCTCCCACTAATTACCGACTAAAAGTATCCCTCTTAATAATGCATACTTAATATTTTTGTTGCGTCTGTAGAAAATGTTTGTCTCCTGTACAAAACAGCGGGGCTTCGGGCAGCGGCAGTGCGGAGAACCTGAGCTCTGTTAGTAATCCGAACATCGAAAGCGGTACCACCAGTAACACCAATACCACTACGAACGCGGATTCCTACAAGCCTCCTTTACTCACCGAATCCTTACTAGTCAAGTAATTAACCTCCTAATTCAACAATCGCACGGGTACTAATTTTGTGCATTTACCAGGCATAACGAAGATATGGAGAAGATAATGCTGAAGAAGCACCGCGAGCAAAGGTCTACAGTGAAAGATAGCAAGAAAACTCACCATAAAAGCGAGAAGATGAACAATACTGATAGAAATGCTTTCGGGCAGAACGAAGTAAGTTTGGGACAAAAATTGGGGCTTTTAGAATTTGCACAACTTGGGTGAAAATCGATACAACTTTACCAAACTCTTTGTCTCAATGATGGTATAAGAATGATAATTGGTGTGTTTGGTAAAGATGTGTTGATAAATTCATTTCATCATGGGATAATTAACTATTTTTCTTCTTTATTGCTTAGCAGTTTTTGGCCAATTATGCTCATGGTATTAAACGCAGCGGGACGCATTCACAGGACGGGGAAAATCACAAAGTATCGAAACGCGCTACTAATTCAAAAGAGGAATCCAACGTTAACATGTCTTCACCAACTAAACCCATTAACATCCATAGCCACCAACAGAACCCTACCAGCATGCATTACACGGAACAACCCATTTATCAACCAGCGGTGAGACCATCAAAATTTCTTATTAGTGCTTTACGTAAAACACCCTTTTATTATTTTAGATAAACGATATAAACTTGTGGCCTCCGTTCTCCATGACCGTCACCAACATGAGCAACACCCAAACCACCACCATGAACACAATGCTAGGAAGCCCCGGAGGACCCGGTGGACTCGGAGCAGGAATGTTTCCTTTTTACTACATACCCACTCCGCAACAGAGAACCATACCCGGTCATTTCAGCGATCCCGTTTTGCACGGTTCCCAGTATCAAGGTACTTTACATTTCACATTATGAATTTTTTCAGATAAATCTAAATAGTGTGGGATAATAATTTAGTTTTTTGGAAGTTGCCTAAGAACCAGGTCCGTTAATAAATACTCTTGGGAGATTTTGGTAATTTGGTGAAGATACATTAGTGCGGTTACTTTAGTGGAGAGACTTATTTGGTGTGGCAACATTAATGGGGCTACTTTGGTGGGACTAAATTGGTGAGGTTGCTTTGGGAAGACTAATTTAATTTCGCTACTTTGGTATGGCTGCTTTGTTGAGGCTTATTCTTTGGTGGGAAACTTTCAAAAGACATTGGTGTTGGTCTTTAATTATGAAGTATTATAGGTACTCAAATTTTGGGGATATCTTCTATTTTCCCAACATAATTTGAACCATGCTGCTGGAACAAACAAACCTTCTACATTCTCCACCGTTCAAACAGGTCCACAATTTCCCGCAACAGTCCAGTACATGCCGGCCAGCATGATATGCGGCTACAACAGCATCTACACCCCGTCGCCGTTCATCTGCTCGACGGTGCCGGTGCTGCCGCTGCCGATGGTGCCGCCGTCCATAGCGCCGCTGACCGCCGCGGCGGCGGAGGTGCGCCCGCTGGCCGCCCTGCACCCGCTGGGCGGCGGCGCGCCCGCCGTCCCCGTGCCGGTCGAGCACAAGCTCAACACGCCCCGCACGCCGCTGCAGTTCCAGCGGCCCGCCTCGCAGGCCACCTCCGTCAAAGCGGAGCCGGGCAGCTTGCTGGGCTCCATCGCGTCCGCCAGCGTCGCCAACAAAGTAAGTTTATTCATCGAGCTACACTCGAAACGGACCTATCAGTAAATACTTATTTCACTTATACTTGAGTTGCGGGTAACGTATGATACATTTGGTGTATTGTATATAGGGTTTTTTAAAGAACATGACCAGCGTGCTGGTGGAGAATTAATTGTTTATTTATTCTATATTCAAATGATCATTATAATACGGATGTTTTTTAGGCTCTATCAGAGTGTTCTAGAAAGGATATGTGGCTTCAATCGGTTTGTTTGCCTAATTCGCCGTTGGTTAGTCCACCAGATGGCGAAATGGAAGAATTTCAAACGAACAAGGTTATTTTCTACATGTGTTAACGTCACTTTAGATGTTCTCATATTGTTTTCTCAGTAGAATCGTACGTAACGAAAAGTCCTCCTAACATCCTAAAGATCTCGGTGGGATATTTAAGTTGCGCAACTATATCTACTTATTGAAAGCAATTTGCTCATTCGATCATCCGATTGCTCTCGTCCACATCCTCCATTAGCATGCATAATGTGTAAAATCGTACCTAAACGTGGTATTTCGCATGAGAATACTACATTGCACGAATCGCATTCGTTGAATGGAACAATCAGCGACCTTAAGGGATTAAAATCAAATCAATGTTGGCTTGTTACAAATCGTGACAATTGTTTGTTGCTATTTAAACTCTATTCGTTTGTAATCCTGGAAATAGAGGGAGCGAACCTTCGCGCAACGCCTCCATTCCCCGGATTATTAGCGATATAAGTAAATAATTATTTAACTCATAGCTTAGTTTCAGTACAGTGTTTCGTGAAACCGCTTCTCCGTTTACATCGAGTGATTTTTGTTTGCGTTGCATTTTAGCCTCTGGAGCCGGTACATGTGGTGAAAAAGCCCGAATTTCGAAACAACATCGACGAATCGAGCAGTTGCTACTCATCATCGTATTCGTCGTTTTTGAAAACGGACGGTGGGTCCGGATCTAATGACGATTCCAACGCGGTGGAGAGCAAATCCAAACGACAGGACGAGGTAAATTCCAGCAGCTTTGTTGTTTCGCTGTAATTCACGACTATGATGTTTCCAGAGCGCCTGGAAGAGCGAGAAGGGTTCCATGAGAAATAAGGATCCGCCGTGGTTGGAGTCTGTGAACGTTTCTCCAGATTTGATCTACAGGTACCAAGTTGCCGTAAAGGATCTCGAAGACATCCTCGCGTCCGATTTGAATTGCCTCAAGGAATTTTCTCAGGTAAAAATTAACGTTGTAATAAAAGAGGAATTTTTTTATTATGAAAATATAATTCGCTAATAACGATATTGAATTATGTTGTAGCCTGTTCTTGTAAATGACCAGCTGAAGCAATTGTACGTTGATATGGAGCTGCAGGGACTGTCGAAGAAATTAACACTTGAAGAAGGGATTACTTCAAGCAGCAGCAGTGATGAAAATTCCATGAATTTAACAAAGGTACTGACTGAAGTAATATAATTCACGTTTTTATGATATTAATGTGATTGCTTGTTTTAGCCAAAGAAGAAGCGGAAATCCTACAGTTCGTTGGTGATGATTTACGAAGAGAATGCCCCATTACCTTCTCCCGTGGATCGCCGCAATTAACGCTTATATTTTTATACGGAGAGATAGAGATGATTGTACGCGTTATAGTGAATACTTTCAAAGTATATTTTTAAATTTTGATGTAAATTTATAATAAGTAAATGTTTTTAATATTTGATAAATATTATTTATGAATCGTAGCTATATAATAGATTTTGAGATATTTATAAAGTACAGGTTGTAGTTGATGTTTTTCATTATTGCCACCGAGTTATTTCGTCTCCTTGTGTTGGTGTATTCGTTCCTCCGCGAGTAATTCAATGTTACAATGAACTACTAAGTAAATATTTACATGCGAGCTTCCAATGACTGGAAACGGTAAATTACTAAAATAAAGGCAGGAGTTCTAATTAGAATAGATACCAAGTTGTGAACCCTTCGGTGTACACGCTGCGTCGAGAAACTTTGCAATTTCAGTTGCAAAATTGGAAAATTAGCTAAGTGACAAGTAGGTAAGTTGCGCGCCAATTTACGGGATAATTTTCAATTACAAGATTCTTCTCTTTGCATTGCCGGTTGATTAGAAACTAACGCGACGAGGTTTCATGACTTTTTTCACAGATTAATAATTAATGGGAGGAGATTATCAATGTGAAAATGTTAAATTAAATCTCTACAGAACAACCTTTCCAGCGTCTTATCAGCCTTTTTTATCTAGTTTATTGCGGCATATGAAATGAGAAATCGATAAAAGTTTGAAAAAATAAAACTACACATATTAAAAAATATATATCCTTTTTATTTACAATACAAATAATAACTTAAGTCGCGATTTCAATTGATATAATCTACGTTTTACAAATTGAAATTTGTCCAAATATATACAAACAAAAAATATGAGTAAAAAAACTGTTATTCTACTACTATGTACGCATCTAATTGAACAATTCTTCGTCTGATTTATGACAATTTTTTTAAATAAAATCAAATTCAATTTAATAAAATATCAATATGACATCTTACTCGATAAATTAACAAAAATCGACGATTCGTTGTCAGCGTTAGTCGAATAAAAATTCCTAAAAATACTTCCGGATTTGTTTAAAGAATGCTTTGTAGTTCATTAGCTGCACATGGAATGTATCGAAGGCATCTTAAATTAATTATAAAAATAAAATCAATGATCCAAGCATCAGCCTTTAAGGCTATCCATCTTCACGTCCTGCAGGACCATATCTTCACCATCCAAAGATGAATCCTCTGTAACTGCGAAGAGGTATTTGTAGATTCCACAACCCAAAACTGCTCCCATATTCGGTCCCACCCAGTAAACCTACATAAAACACAGATTTTCTTTAACAAATCTTTTTAAAAAGATTTATAAAAGTAGAGAGAAAATAGTAAAATTACAGAAGACTTAAGCAGTTTTCGATCAAAATTCTCTTTAGAATATTCACTACAGATTATTCTCTAACCTGGAGAAGCATTAAAAATGAATTATGGATATTTATGCGTCCATTTATGCAAGATAGATTTCCTATAAAAGTAGAGAGAAAATTGTTACTGTTAAATTACAGATGACTTTTCGCGAAAACTATAAGAGGTTTTCGATAAAATTCTATAGAAGGATTAAAACTTCATTGTTATGGACATTTAATCGTCCATTTGTGTTCCTATAAAAGTAGAGAGAAAATTGATACTATAAAATTACAGACGATTTTTGTTTGCACTAAAAAATTAACAAATATTTAAAGCTAATAAAATCATCAGTTTGCATCGCCCAACTGATTTTTTTCCAAATCGCTTTATAAATTAACAATCGCGCTCGAACGGATTCTCACGGCAGCCTCTTAAATCATTAATTCCGATGATTAATACGCGCATTTAAAAGGCGACCCAAATCGGAGATTGTTTATCCGACTTGCGATATTGAGTATATTGAGCAACGTCCATTATGCTAATAAAATTCGCATTAATCTGACGAACGTTCGGTCTTTGGGGCGCGTTTAGGCGAGCTAATTGAGACGAAAAATGAAAAGCCACACTTACCCATTGGTGTCTGAAATCGCTGAGCCACAATGCCGGAGCGAACGTTCTCACCGTGTTCATGCTGGCTCCGGTCAAAGGGCCCTGAAATCCAATTACGAATCAATACGGTTGTTTCGATTAGTTTTATTGCCGGGAGTCGGTTGGAAATGGTTTATTTACACCGGAGATGTGTGAAATATGTGTATAACAGGAATGTTATAGCATGCTATGAATATGTTTTGAATGTTTATGTATCGGATATTTAAAAATGTTTGACTAAATTCGTGGATTTTCGAGGTTTTATTTGTAAATTTTACGATTTTTTAGAATAGGGTACTTGCTATAAATTGGTATAGATTTTTTAGATGATTTTATATGGTTTTACATGAAAATTAATGATTTTTTAGAAATAATTAACTAACGAGTTTGTTGATTTTACAGGTAAATTAGACGATTTTTTGGAATAATTAACTAATGATGAGTTAGTTGATTTTACAGGTAAATTAGGCGATTTTTTAGAATACATTAGTGGATTAGTTTTTAGTTTTTAAACTAAATTAGTGGATTTTCCAAGTGATTTCAGATGCAAATTCGACTATTTTTTAGAATTTTTTTAACTAATGAATTAAATTTTACAGATGATTTTACGCATGATTTTACAGATCATACTTATTACAAGATTTAACATGTAAATTTGACGAATTTTAATCACCTAAAATTTGCATGCAAATTTGAGGATTTTTTTAGATTACATTGAATTAGAAGTTTTTTTCTATTAGGTATAAAGCAAATTTAGTATTTTTCTAATGAATTAGTAGATTTGACCTATGATTTAAAATGTAAATTAGACGATTCTTTAGAATATTTTTACTAATGAATGACTGTTATGTTATAATGAATTAGATTTTACAGATGATTTTACGAACATTTTACATGTAAATTCGAAGATTTTTTGGAATACTTTACTGAATTAGACCATTTTACAGATGGTTTTATGAAAATTAGTCATTGTTGAGACATTTTTGAGATATTGTTATGATATTGTTGAGACATTGTTGAGACATTGTTGAAACATTTTAAAACATTTTTGAGACAAATTCTCAACTTCTTACAAACAACTCTAATCCTCTATACAAAAACGCCAAACAATTTCCCAAAAAACCATCAAAACCACTCTCTCAAATTTCACACACCTTTTTTTACACCACATTCAGAACATGCTACCGTGAACCCACCCGACCATTAAACCCGAATTTATTCCGAATTTCTAAAGACCCCAAACTTACCGCAACCATGGAAATCGCGGCCACGATCAGGGCGAACCTCACCGGCACCGAGTCCTGCTTATCCTCGTTCCTCTTGTCCCACACCGCGCACACCACGATGATCAACGTGGCCGTTATGATGGTCTCGATGGCCAGCGCCTGCATGGGGGTGATGAGCTTATGCGGCAGAGTCATGCAGAAGCCGTCCAGCCAATAGTCGGCGGGCATCAGGAGCTACACACGCAAATTTAGTACGATATTACATCCACTTCGTTCGAGGTACTCCCTACCTTTAGGAGGGCGAAGCCCAGGATGCCTCCGAAGAATTGGGCGGAGATGTAGACGAGAGACATTAGAGGCGAGACTACCTTTAGAAACACCGCTGCGAAGGTTACGGCAGGATTTAAATGGGCTCCTGATATGTGACCGAAGGCCTGCGAATAATAGGGATTATTAACATCACAAAGAGGATTTTGTATTGAGGAATAGTAGGTATATTTTGTTTCATTAAACTACCTACATTTCCTTACATCTTAAGTTTCCTTTCTTTACATTCTCCTTTTTATTTTCTATCTTGAACTACCTCTATCTGAACCACCCTGTATTTTTTGTAATACTCTTTTAGTTTCATCAGCACGGGCCAAAATCAATCTCACGAAACGGTCCACTTTCGAGTACTTTTTTTTTCATCTCGTTTTACTTTTTCCTGTTCGTTTTGCATCGTAAACTTTAATACCAGATTCGAAATAAATCGAGTGAAGCAACTCGCCCATATTAGAGTCGCTTATTATTTACCAAACGACTTCCACCAACGAGACCTTACCCAACGAAACTTGCGTAATTGGCCGGCAGTAAAAACTTATAATACGCGAATAAAACGTAAATGATAAGTAGATCTTTAGAAAAAAAACACCGGCGCATTGTTCGCTGGAAGAGATTTCGATTAAACTCGCCGTATATTTTTTATCTATTTTATGGGCTATTCAATTTGTAAGAAAACACGAGATTATTTTATTACGCGTACTCGCTCCTTTATGCCGGCAGTAAACTTTGATTTTACGTTGCTGTCGGAGCAATTTAAAAATTGAATGGAAATTTTGAAAGAAAGCGCAATAAACCCTACAATTGCGGTCCGCGGGAGCACAATGGACGAGAGGACGATAAATTTTGGCGTTGTTTAGGATTCAAATCGGATGTTTAAATTAATCGGACGGGTCCTTTAATGCTTTCCCAGGACGGGGTTTTATTGGATTCTTTGTGGAGCTTTTTTAAAGGCTATTGGATACTTTTACAACAAGAAAACTCTATAAGTAGGTATTTTATTTTGCATTAATTTTATTGAATTCTGTTAAAGGGATAGTTTATTGAGGTATCTCTAAAATTTTTGAAGTAGAAAAAGAAGGTTTTGAACTATTTTCAGTTGGGTTTTCTAGTAACTTTTAGACAAATTTTGAATGTAGAGGATAAATTACATTTGTTAGATTACATCGGAGTAAATAATAAAATTCCAGTGGCTTATTTACATACATACCTGCATGTTGGAAATTAGCGAAAATAAATAAATAAATCATGTAAATATCAACTAGATTATTATGCAACTCCAATTAAATATGTAACGACTTCCTTTATGACTTTTATGCGTTTTGATTACAAACATCAATCAAATGTTATTTTGAAAACAAACACAAATTTAGCAAGTTTTAATTTTTTTTACATTCCTGCATAAATAACTAAATTTTATATCACTCGTAACTAAACAAACCAATATTTGAAATGATAAATGAGATGGACCTGACGTCACTAATTTGGAGTTATGTTCCAACCTCTTCAATATCATACCTTGGAAATTTGTTTGCAGTATGGTCAATTTTATGAGTTGAAGAAAGAAAGATTATTAAAATAACAGTGGGTTAGAATTTAGAATGAGAAAGTTCCATTCCCACAATATCACTCTTTCTTTTTCGTTTATATGAGACTATAATGGAAGTCCTAAAGAGGAAACAAGAATTTTTGTTGATTGAAGCGCCCTCAGTGTATCAAACCGTGAACTTTTCACCCTATTCTCGTAGAGCATTTTGCATACAAATTTGCACTTATATGTCGTATGTATTTTCCGATAAATATAAAATAAATAGTACGTAATCAAATTCGTTAATAAAATAACATTGTTACCGGCTAGAGTCGGCTGTAGATAATTTTAAAACCGACAACCGAACAGCAATGTGACATTCCATAGACAAGCCCTTTAAATCGATTCGCCGGTTTAACAATGCGTTCGTTAAAATTTTTCGCATTAATAAATAATCCGAAATAAAATTAGCGACGTACGTGCTAGTCGAATGCGGGGGCGTTTCCACGGTATAACAGAGCCCGGGAATTTCGCGTGCGAAAGAGCGAAAGGCACGCGTTACCAATAATTTCATCGGGAAATGGAATTCCATTACTTACTTGTATGATTAGTAGAATGACCAGGCCGAAGGATAGGGAAGATAAATGGTGGAATGCCGGTGGATCGTCGACTTGCGGAATGCATCCCATACATCCCAGGAACATGAGGAGACCGGTCCCTAAAAATTCCGAAGCGAACAGAGCCAATGCCTTGGGCGTCGCTTTTCTCTCGCCTGTAAGAAAATAATGGTGGAATTATTTTTCGAGCGTGTATGTGTGTGTTTGTGTGCACAATACGAAGCAATACTAGGAATGATGGATGCACTCTGCAGATTATTCTCTCAGCTGGGGAGACATTAAAAATGAATTGTTGTGGATATTTATGCGTTGGATTAAATCCACTTGTGGATGATAGATTTGCTATAAAAGTAGAGAGAAAATTGTTACTGTAAAATTACAGAAGACACTTTTCGTATAAGTTAAGTTGTTTTCGATTACGCTCTCTATAAAATATTCTCTGCTGATTATTTCTTTGTTAGGGAAATATTAAAAATGAATTGTGGATATTTATGCGTTCGTTTGTGGAAGACAAATTTGCTGTAAAAGTAGAGAGAAAATTGTTGCAGCAAATTTATAGAAAACATTCTGTGGAAATTAAGCTTTTTTAGAAGCGGGATTAAATTGTTTTGTGGATAGGTATGGTAGATTTCCTATAAAAGTAGAGAGAAAATTGTTAGGTACTGTAAAATTACTTTTAAAGCAATAATTAAGCGTTTTTCGATAAAGCAGCTTTCTGTGATTCCTTAGTTGGGAAAATATTAAAAATGAAATGCGGATATTTATACTTATGCGTTCGTTTGTGGAAGACAAATTTTCTGTAAAAGTAGAGGGAAAATGGTTGCTGCAAATTTATAGAAAAAAAATTGTAAAAATTTAGCCTTCTTTTAGCGTGGGATTAAATTCTTTTGTGGATATGGTAGATTTCCTATAAAAGTAGAGAAAAAATTGTTACTGTAAAATTACTTGTAAAGCAAAAATTAAGCTGTTTTCGATAAAGCAGGGAACTTTCTGTGCAGATTATTTTCTAAGTTGGGGATATATTAAAAATGAATTGTTGTGGATATTTATGCTCGGATTAAATGCATTTGGGAATGATAGATTTCCTATAAAACTAGAGAAAAAAATGATGCAGTAAAATTACAGAAAAATTTATGTGAAAATATAAGCTTTTTTCAATTAAACTATTTTTAGAATATTTTCTGTAGATTACTCTCCAAGCTTGGGAAATAATTAAAATGAATTGTGGATTTTTAGGCGTGGGATTAAATCCTTTTGTGGATGATAGATTTTCTATAAAAGTAGAGAGAAAATTACTACTGTAAATTCACAGTAGACTTTTTATGAAAATGAAGTTTTTTTTTTCGATAAAGCTCTCTATACAATATTCTCTGTAGATTATTCTGTTAGTTGGTAAAATATTAAAAATGAATTTTGGATATTTAGGCGTGAAATTGAATCCGTTAGTGGATGATAGATCTCCTTTAAAAGTAGAGAGTTAATTATTATTGTAAATTTACAGAAGACTTTTCGTGAAAATTAAGTAGTTTTCGATAAAGCTCTCTATAAATATTCTCTGCAGATTATTTTCTAAGTCGGGGAAATATCTATTAAAAATCAATCATTATCGATATTTATGCGCCCAACTGTGAGAGATAGATTTGCCATAAAAGTGGAGAGAAAATAGTTACAGCAAAATTCATTTCGTCGAAAATTAAGCTCTTTTTAATCTCTCTTTAAAATTCATTCCAAAATCATCACCTATAATCGGAAATTGATCGCGTAGATTACAAACATTCATTATTGGCAGTTGAACTGACCTTCTGACCTCTCCGAAAATCTCGCATTTAACCTCGTCGTCGAGATGTACCGCAACTTATTATATTTTTTATAAATTCCCATCGACCTCGAGCAGTCAGATTCCCGTCGATACGGGGCTATTGTTCAATTTCAGTTTCTGCAACGTAACGGCAAATTCGGAAATGGAACTTGTTCGAGAATATGATTTCCGCGTTCGTTTCCGGCGCATTTGAAATATCATTTTAATGATAATTCGTGAAATTTTAATAGAGGTCGGATCCTTACCATTATTTATTGTTGTTTAATGAATTATTGTGGGAATTGTTTCCTCTCCATCCATTCTATTATTCGCGTATGAATTCGATAAGATTTGGTAAATGCTAAAAGAAGGTCGCGTTTAATTAATTGATTAAAAAAAGCGTCATTCGATGATGTTGCTAATATAAAAATACATTTTTGATAAATTGTTGGTGCACTTTAAACTTCAAAGAAACATAAAAATTATTGAGCAAACGGGCCAAAAAAGTGTTTCAGAATCAGCACAGCAGTTGTTACTTTGAGTATAATTAATCAATACTTAACTTATTAAGCTGTCAATAAGCTTACCTTCTTTCACAGCGGAACTTTCGCTTTAATGCAACGTAATAATAATAACAACGATTAATTTATTAACCTTTATAATTCAATTAAAGAAATCTACTTAATAGAGAATTCGTCCTTACGTTTCCAATGAATGATCTTTCGGTATTAAAATGGTTTTTTTTATCTATTTAATAAATCCAAGATCATAAGAAATTGTCGAGAAATTCACATTGTTAATGATACTCAAAAAATGAGCCTATTAGTATTATCCTTCAATGATTGCTATCGAATAATGGCACAATTTGTCATGATTTTTGCCAATTAAATTAAATGCGATTGGAAAAATTAATTCTCATGTAATATCTCAGCACATTTTAGTACTTATAAAAAGTACCATAAATCAATCACTTTATTTCTCATCGTCTGTCAATTTTTATTATCTTAAAATACTGATAAATTAATAGTGGTTTTACTGTAATATAACACTAAAATTTACTACATATCTAATGGCGTTTCAAAACAAACTATTTACAAACATTATTAATTTGCGTAAATCTGTATATCCGGAGTTTATCGGTTGTTTTTATCCAAATTACATTAATCAATTCGATAACGAAATAAGGACATTGTACACATAATTTTTACGTACTTGCTCCCATATTTTCTATTTTCTTCTCATTTCACTTCACAAGAGTTCACCGAGAAAACGTTACAAGGAATGCCGATTAACCAGATATGGATATTTTATAGCTGTATGCATTAGCATTACCATTAGCATAATTGAATTGAATTAGAAATTTAAAAAAATTAACAACTAGAAATATGGTCATGAACTAGGCATTATAACGTTGAAGAGAACGTAGATTAGATTAGATATATCTAATTGGGTAAGTAATGAAAGTAAACAGAGAAATTGAAGATTGTCGATAAGAAAATAGAAGAAAAAAGAAACTGAAAGAGTGCTATTACTAGCGAAAAAATAGCGTTACGCTAATTTGTGCGCTAAATTAACAAGTTATACGTTATTTAAGAATCATGAACAGTACAATGTAATTGTTATATTAAACGTTTGTAATTACAAAATTAATCAGCGATATAGGTAATTGGGATATAATAATTTTAGGATACGTTTTATAAACTTTCTGATAGGTTATCGGTGTTTAGCAACCAATTCCACGTAATTGGAGCAATTACGCGTATCTATTCGCATCGAATTGCAAAAATCGTTCAACTTTGATCGGAGCATTCGAAGCGATTTGCGTACATCAAATTTTCAAAATATTGTAATAGCGTTAGGTAACCGTTATACGTTTGATTATCGAGCGTAAATAATTCGATATTAATTGTTTTCCATTCGACGGGATAAACGAATTTAAATTAATTAATACGTCTGTAATTATTTAACCGTATATCGAATGGATGCTGTACCCGATGGTTTTTAATATTTAATTACCAGTGAAGCCTCGTCGATCATCAGTCTTGTAAGGGAAAGACGGATAAACGGCCGAAACAGCATCCAGGGAAAGGATGATAAAGAAAATTGAAAAATAGATGCCATTAACCATGTCAAGGGCTATTTTCGTCGGAATTAATGGAGAAATAATTTGCTGAGGGGACTCGAAATATATAGAGTTACTTAATAAACTTAAGGTCTCCGAAAGAAAGTTAGTTTTTATACTACCCGGCTTTTCCTCGCTCATGAATTGTAAGATGTTATTTTTACATTTTCAGTAAGGGGTTGTTACCCTTTAAACCTCCAGCTTTGAAGGTCTTTGACTATGCGAGTATTCAACCCTTCAAAAGCTGCTCGTATATTGGACATTTGATGCTTTTGACAGTTCATCGAGCTTTGAAGGCCTTTGACTACTTATGCATATAGCTAATATTGATCAAAGATAAAAGTTAAGATAGTTTTTAATCTGGAATTCAACGCACGTTACTTCGTGGAATTTTCTGGTAAAAAAAACAATTAATATTTCTTTTATATACACTCCCTGCCCGCAGTAAATTGAGTCTCTCACAAAGATACAACTTTTCGGGAGAAAAATAATTCAATGCCACCAACCTTTTTTCGCTTTCTCCTCCATTTCTATGGCCGCGAAAATAAGAATTAATCACCGAAAATACACACAGGATAGGGCAGGACGCACACACGCGGAATATCGCAAGCTCTTTTTTTATCCTTCGGCGTAAACCGCGGACTGCGGCAACATGCGATATCCACCAAAAGATATTTCATACAAATGTTTATATATACAATTATTTTATCTAGAAATTGGCTATCGAATAAACGGGAGACGCGTTTAGATTAGGTATCTTTTATCTGGCGTTCGTTCGGTATTTACGGAATTATGGCCGAGCTTGAGTGCACGTTGTGTAATGGAAGAGTTCAATGGATACAGACGAAAGCATCAGCGAGAATTCGCGATAAAAAGCCGTTTTTTGAAATACTTTCGAAAGTCATTAAAACCGTCGGATAACAAAGGGATTGTAAAATGAGCGAATGCACTTGAAAAGAATGTCCATTTGGAAGATTTTTTAATAGCGTTGGGTTTTAAGAGAAATGAAATATTACAATACTTTTTCTTACTAATTGTAAGTAGTAGTATTAACGAATTAATTTAAATAATTCTAATAGTTTAATATTAACGAGATGCAATTAATTAAGTATACAAAGAAGAATTATTAATAATTATATTCATTTATTTATTGTATTCTCAAATAACATAAAATGTATGTGTCTGATTTTTAAATGACTTTTATTCAAAAAAATTGTGATGCAAGATATTGCAAATAATGTTTCCAAGTAGGAAAATGCAAGATGTATCAAAATCAAAAAAAAATTGGGGTTACTATTTAAAAAAATCGTCAATGATGTCACTGCCCAAGAATGGTAAGTGGAGGAAACTTAAATTCTTTTTGAAAAATTGCGCTTTTAGTAAACAAAATTGACCTGCCCGAGCGTTTTTTCGAGAAACCAACCAATTTCATTATAATGAATTTATTCCTTTCATTTGTTACATACAGTATAGTATTATATAATGCATCACTCAAACGAAATGTTCATTTGGAAGATTTGTTCATAGTGTTAGGTTTTAAAAGAAGTATTAACGAATTTAAGCAATTACAATAATTTTAATTTATCGATTAATGAGAAACAGTTCAATAAGTAAAGCAAATCACTTAGTTAAATCGAAGCAAAATTACATTCTTTTATCTCCTTGTGCATTGATTGAGTTTCTTAATGAACTTCTGTTTTCAATGAAACGATTAAAAAGCTAACCTAATCTCATTAGTGATAAATCCGATTACAGATAAAAACATCGAAAAAGAATTTTTACTTATCAATAATTATGTTATTTACAGAAAAACAATCTTATCGATTGATGTATGTAGTAATTAATTATAATAATTTTGCGCAAAATAACCCATACAATTTTATAAACCTATTTATCTCGTGTCTGCATCTCTTGAACATCTCTTTTTTCCTTATTTTATTCCATACAATCGAACTCGACTTTGCATAGATATACGCGTATTTTTTTCCTTTTGTTCATTACGCCGCGCCGTACATTTCTCAATAATCCTCCCATAAATTCCGGCGATTTTTCGCCCGGGTAATCCCAGATGAACGATAGGAATATTAGGCGACACATGCAGTGATACAACCCAATTTACATTCCAATTCGTCCGGATCCGGCAGGACAGCGATATTTCTCTATACGGAATAGAAATTTCATTACCGATTTTTGATAGGTGCTCGTTTCAACTCGGAATTAATTTTTTTACTGCGATTTGATTTTTTTTAACGCCGGATCCGAATGTGTAGATTATATACGCGTGTGCAGTGCACTAGAAAAATCTTTTTTCGAGTTCGTTCGTGCGTTCGAATCGCACTCAAAAGCGCGAAATATTCGCTTTATCTCCGCTTTAATTTTTGCGCATCAATATCTACTGTTCGCCGTCGAAAAAATCACAAACAGACTTTGGATACGAATCGTGCAAATTGAGCTGGCACGGGAGTGCTTTCGAGTTGCAATAAATATTTACACTGCCTTGCTAAAGTGGCCTACTGTTAGGGCCGGAGACTTCTGGAAAGGTAAACCGTAAATACAGGGAGTTTCTTTAATTTCCTACTATAAACATTTACACACTTGATTGCAGCTGGATATGTTATGAAGACTTGCCCTCTGGTATCATAATATTGGCAGTTTCAAATAGATTTTATTCGGAATGAATGCGGGTACATTAATCAGAAACGGGTACGTGTGTTATCGATGTAACAAACATCCGATAACAAGGGCAGATTTTCGGGAGAGACAGTAAAATATGAGTTCAATTTCGGGCCCGTCAAAATATATTGGTAAAACGATAATCTTAGATGAAGGATGGGTGGATGCGAGATAAAATATAAAAGTGGAATATGAAAAAAGCGTCGCGTAGTGGATTTGCGATATCGGTGTGCATTGAATTTACAGATGATCTATGTGAAGATGCCGTAACGCTAACGGCTCCACGTCAACAAGTTTTCTATTTCGCGTTACCGGGAAATTTATTTATCGTCTGCTTTGTAAAGGATAATCTCCAGATTAAGAAGATTATAAATAAACAAAACTGCAGGAACAAACTTTTTGTTACCTGCATGCGCTGCATTAATCCCACAAAGGAATTCCTCACACTATTTTACTCTCTACTTCTCTCTACTTTTTACTGTCAACTCTCTACTTTTTTCTTTCTCTCTAGTTTCTTCATCTCCGCTTTCTCTATACTCTAATGTAGGTACTCTACCTTTAGATCCTTCCCTTGTAAAATATACAGTTTTGATAGATAATTAGTTTTCCACGTTCAATGCAAATACTACATACACATATTTCCAAATTTCAGAGTATGTAAAAATTAAATTAAAGTTTTGAGGTACTCAATTAGGTATTATTTTGGTGCAAAATTCCGTTACAACGATTTCAAGGAAAATATTCGCTACATTTTTTTTTCAAATAATAATTATAGCGAGTTAGGGATTCACCAAATTTGCAGTGTTACCGCAAATTTCCCAGATTTTCGTGGGATTTACTGCTAAATGTTCACCGTGAAAGCAAATTATAATAATCAAAACATGCAATGTATGCAATGTAACGATTTTATAATAAAATTGTTGGATTAAATTACTTGTAACCGGCGTTGACAACAATGAGGAAAAAACCCAAAGCGATAATGATTTAAAAATACAATTTGAATTATAATAATAAATTTGTTTTTTCATTAAAGTGCTATCGAACAGATTATAGTAATTAATTAAGCTCGGTTGTAATGTAGTAATTAATTTGGAGCGGCTTCAATAGTTATCGCAATGCCAGTGAATTTGTTATCGGTTTTCGATCGATTTAAATTTCAAACCACTCAAATCGATGTGAAAGTGCCAGAGGTAATTATTCTCTAATAATGCCTGGTTGAAATATCACCTATTTCTAATTTCTTACTTGATTAATTTTAACTTGGTATAATCAACTGAGTTATTAAGCACTTACAATCAAATCTTGTAAATATCTTTATCCACTATTTATTGCAGTATCTTTAATAGTCATTATTAATTTTCATTTAATTTTTCTTTACTTCATTGAATATTCCAAATGAAGTCACTCTTATCCAACAAAACGTGTCAATTTAATCACAAATAAATTATATGAATACAATAGCTATTTGTACAGAGATTGATTGAGTCAACGATGCTATCAATTAATTTATATAAAATATTAAAATAATAAAAAGTTGAGTAAACGTTTTGTTGTTTTATTACAACCGTAAAATTTAAGTATTGCAAACATAACGCTTTCTTGAAGGAGTTCCTTTAATAAAATTATTCCAATAACACTTACGGTTGTTCGTTATCATGGTGTCCTTCTTATCGTTGTTCTTCTCCCGGGTTTTCTCGGCCTTATCCGCCTTCTGCAGATCGCAGACTTGCAGCAGGATACCATTAGTGATGTTTCTCGCAGTGTTTTTGGTCACCTCTTCCAACATTCCAAATCTAAGAGGACACAGAAACGATGTAAATTCGATAAACTGAAAAATTTTTGTTGTAAGAGAAAACTTTCTCTTATGCGCGTGTGCATTCTTCGGACTGGAAGATATTCCGAAACCGTGAAAATCTAATTATTCGCAAGTATAATAAGAAAGTAAATAATAATTTAAACAGTTAAATTTTGTGTTTTTGGAGTAACTAACGTACCTTCGAAAATAGTGCGTTTGTATTGAATAACTAATTTTAACAAAAACATCTCCATTGCAGTTGCAAGTTAAATAAGTACTAATAACAAGCTTATCTATTTGTTTTAAACATTGATAGAACACGCTAAAAATTTAAAAATGGGAAAAAGTAATGTGTATCTACTTACTCTAGCGAGCGATTTTGAAACTGTCTGGAATACCAACGATGTTACTATTTGTATTTAATTGCAATGACAAATTAGCTAATTATGATTATTATGATTGCTAATTATTATTATAATGAACTTTAGAATTACACAGGATGTTAACTTGGACAGTTTTTTTAAATATTTGTTATACATCAATTACGCTATTTCCAAAGTCGACAAAAAATACGACCAGTACCTAAATACATTTTAAATATTTCTCGAAAAAAAACTGAATGAATTTGCACCCAATTAATAAAAGCTAGAGAAAGTTGACTGACTTAATTTCCTATAGGAACTAATTGGTTTTTTCTTGCATAGAATCCGAGCGAGAAATAGTGAAATCAGATTCGGGCCTTTTACGTAGCTACAATACGTTTACCAATTCAAATGCCGCAATTTCCATACCGCACCGAAACGCAATTTTTCGATCATTTATTTCGGCCCGTTCGAAGCGAAATGGCCGTTGAAATTTTCATTGCCCTGTAGCCGTTATGTTTTGCAGCATTACACAACAATTACATTGCGACAAAAAAACAAATAAAATCACAATAGTACATTTGCGGCATCGGAACGGCGGCTAGTAGGAGTAAAGTTTGTTTAATTACCCGATATTTTCGCTCGTTTCGACATTCATAATATACAAGGAAGATTATTGTTTATTTACGACTCGATATTAATTGTGATTTAACAGTTGCAAGCGAGTAAATAAATGAGTAATATTTTAGAGTAGGTATCGAAATATATTACAAGGTTCCGTTTGATCAATCGAGTGTCCCTTTTAAATAAATTTAATAAGCTCGAGTGTGTGACTAACTAGCATTTATTAGACCCCTTGGCGAATTTCAATTAATAACAATAGCGGCTTTAATGGACTCCTCGACGGTTCTGTGCAATTAAACAAATTGGATTCGATAATGAAATACAAATGAACGTGGTACCTGCCGCAGAAGGTTAAAAATGTATAATATTCAATTAAACCCCGACTTTGTTATTTCAATTCGATTTCGATTCGCGTCCGACGCGAATATGAAAAACTCCGCATGGTATTGTGGATTTAAAACAAACAGACTGTAAAATATCGTTTCAATTTTCCGGCCAACGACCGTCGACGCCCGGCGTCGTCGCCGCATCATATTATATGTATCGGAAAACCCATGATCATAGATGAAGGATGGGAACGAGGGAGATAAGAAAGCACGAGCGGCAATGCGAGAGGGCTCGCCGTATAGTTTTCGTTACAAAGTTTTTGATTTTATAAACCTAATTTTAGATTCGTTTTGTTTGGAACAAGTTCGAAATGGCCGGGTAGTGGCAATGTATTTTATTCTTATGACTTTACTGGAAATTTATGTGGTTGCTTTGCATTTTTGGATGAATTTCTAAAGATTTTTTTTGTCCTTTGTAATGAAATATTAAGGATTTTGTTTTTCTTGTATCTTGGAGATCAGTATCGTTTCGAGTTTATTTAGTTTGATAAATATATTTCAACTAAAAAAAATATTCTGTTAGATAATTACAGAGTGCTTTGCATTTTTGAATAAATTTTTAAGCTTTTTTTGTAATAAATATTAAGGATTTTGTTTTTCTTGTATCTTGGAGATCAGTATCGTTTCGAGTTTATGTATGTTTTATTTACTTTGATAAATATTTCTCGATTAAAAAAATAATTTGTTAGATAATTGAAGAGCTAGATACTTGGAATAGTTGATTTTGTATATCTGATTTTTATTAATAAAGTAGGTTTTACGCAAAACCCATTTAAAATGTACGTTTTTAGGTACATTTTAAAATAAAAAAAATATTATAATCCGATAATAAATTTCAACAACACTTTAATTAAATTATACCTACGACATAATCTACATTAGTAGACGTTTATTTAATTTTTAATATACATATAAACGAGCACCATATCAACTTTTCCAACCTTATTCTAATGCATCATTGCCATTCAATCTGCATGTTTAATAACGTTACAACTTCAATATCGTCAACAGCTTTGTTTTTATGATTCTTTTATTAGAGAATATCCGTCTCAGTTAGTGGAAGTTATTTTTATATCTCCCGAAATTGCTTTGTTAATGCGATTGTCTGCATCTTCTTTGTTGTCAAACGATGAACTGGGGACCGTTCTTTACGATTTCTGGATCCAGAAACTTTATTAAACTCAGCAACACGATTCAGCGATTTTTATTTATAAGATACAAAAACGGTTTCATAATAAATACTCGAGTAATTTCGAGTAAATATTGTGCAAAAATTTTGTTGAAATTGAAATGCGACAATAATTGTCATGAATGTTTTACACTCGAACGGAAATTAATTAATTGTCTGTGCTTATGCAGGCGTTATTGTTATAGGTGTAATAAATTGTTGTAAATACATTGTAGAAAAAAACCTATTATACAGGGTGTTAAGTTAATGTACTTATTTTGGAGGATATAATAACAAAATTTGACCATCAGTTCAATATCGTTATCATATCATTAGGAAAATCCTCTTTTTAACATAACGACATTAACCCATATTTTATTTAATATTAACGCTACTTTATACAAGAAACGGTGGATTTATTTTTATAGGTAAAAATTATGCGAAGAAAATCGTTCCCCAGCGGCCTCCCCGGGCATTTAAATTCGAAGAGCCCGCCCGTCGGGGGGGCCGCGACTCGCCCACTTAATTTTTTCCCCATCGCGAAATTGGACGCATAAACGTTAACATAACAAACCGACATAACAATTCGCTTTTTAAATTGAAAATCTCGCGTTACCCGGCGCGAAAACGGGCGAGCGGCGCAGCTCATTTGATTTAACCAGTGTTTGCGACAAGAGGAAAAAAATACATTTCAATCAATAAGGTTAACAAGGACGGGGAGAAACAAAAGAGACGGGAGCGCACAAAAGAAAAACGTTCTCGGTCGGCGCTAAGTCTTTATAACAGATAGGGGAAATTACGTTGATTTGGCACAAAATAGAACAGTTTTAGAGGCAGGAAAAGGACGCGCCGCGAAAAAGGGAATCCCTCCTGATCGGCGTGACTGATAAAGATGAAATGGCGACGTAATTTCGGTCTTAGAGAAAACGGGACTTTCACGGCTGATGTTCGCTTTGGTGCTGATAAAGGTTAGATGTATGTTTACCTGTGAAATTGCCATTATTTCAAACTTTTATGGCTGTAATTTGTTCTTATATTGGCCGGGAATAAGGTGGATCCCCTTTTCGATTTTTATATATAGGCTGTCCCAAAACATATCTCTACAATTTTGATACATACAGGAGTTCTTATAACTTGTTTATTTTATTTTTTCACATGATTTTTCCAGCACCCAAGTTTAGATTTTTCAGGCGATTTTATAAAGGAATTAGATGATTATTGAGAATGTTTTAATAAATGAGTTGATTTTTCAGCTGAATTAACAAGATTTTAAAGATAATTTAGACTCTATTTGAGGATATTTCAGTAAATTAGTTGTTTTTTCAAGTGAATTTACAAGTTTTTACTGATAAATTAGACGATTTTTAAGGACATTTCAGTCAATTAGTTATTTTTTAAGTAAATTTACAAGTTTTTACTGATAAATTAGATGAGTTTTCAAGATATTTCAGTGATTTAGTCGATTTTTCAGGTGAATTTTCAAATATCCTATAAAATTTAAGCAAATTTTGAAGATATTTCAGTAGATAAATTAGTTGTTTTTTTAGGTGAATTTTTTATAGATAAATTAAGACCATTTTTAAGACATTTAAGATATTTTATAAGTTACTCGATTTTTCACAAGATTTTGCAAATGAATTACAACAATTCATGAGTAGGTACTCAGATATACCAAACTTTAGCCACCAATTTTTGGACACCCTGTATTTGCACTACTTTTAGTACTAATAACAATTAACAACAGTATTTTAATCATCGTGCTCAACTTAGTCAATTTATTGCACACCATTTTCCATCAACTTCTTCCATCGTGAGCCGTCACAAATCATATTCAAATTTCGAGACACCTGGCATAATTTTTATTGGCGAAATTTTCACGAAACGTTCTATATTTTGTTACTAATTCCTCGGCTGTATTCAAAACCGAATAAACCCGTCGCTTCGATTAGCACACGTCGTCAATTTGGGAGATTTATGAAGTCCGATTCGATCCGTTGCGAAACTCATTTTTATGCCGCTGACATTTTTCCACATCCGATTCTTCTAAAAACTCGCCGATAAATCTCGCTCCCAACGGTCTTTAGTAGATCAAGGATAAGAATCGGTGTGCAGGCACGTTACACGGACTGCTATTGCTGTTACAGTTCATAATTACCGAACGTTACCGTTTTTTTTTCTCTCTTCTAATCTACTGTAAGTAGCTATTATAAAAAAAGCGGCGTGTAAATCGCACATCCACTCCGTTCTACTACTCCTATTTGGATAATTCTGTTTTGTTTCGTTACATAGACGTACTCCAATAGAATTTTTTTAATCTATTTTATAGGGGATTTTCCTTTCTGGTTAAATATTACTCGCGTCAAGTTGGCTTCTTTAGCAGATAACTTTTTTGGTAACTGAATAATGATCGAACTTAAGGCCACAGGATTTTTCTACGTAGTTCGAGAGGAT